AACATTTAAATACTTTAATTTAAAAATAAAATTCACAGTATGATGTATTATTAGAACAAATGATATCTTACCTTTGCAATGTAAACGGCATTAATTCTCTGGCCAATGGGAACAAAATGGGTTAACACCATTCCTCTAATGTCAAAGAATGTCACAACCATTTGTTTCTTTTGTGGAATTCCTGGTACTATTTTAGGCTTGGTTGGTGTTGGGGAGTTGTCATGTTTCCACGATGAACTTTGTTGCGTGGTCTCTGGGATGTAGAATGATAGCAATGATTCGTCACTCGTAATGATCTTGTTAAGAAAGTCATCTCCATCTCTCCGATATTTTGCAAGAAAGTCCCTTGAAGCCTTAACACGCCGGTCTTTCTGCTCCTGTGTCAAGTCATGCGGCACCCATTTAGCAGACACCTTCTTTAACAGACAGTTCTTTGTCAGTATCCGTTGCACAGTCCCATAGCTCAGATCGTGTTTTTCAGCCAATTCTCTGATAGAAATTTGCCTATTGTCCATAACATCAGCTTCAATTGCTTTGATGGTTTGATCATCGAATGACGACACTGGCCTGCCTCCTCGCTGCTTGTCTACCACTTCATCATATCCACTGGAATACTTGTTAAACCACCTGTAAATGTTTCTCTCAGCAATGGCAGCTTTACCATATGCCTTCTTTATCTGTCTTATAGTCTCTTTTACACCTTTCCCCAACTTTACACAGAACTTAATGTTTGTTCTTTGCTCTATTTTACTCTGACTTGGCGCCATCTTGAATTGGGTGGGTTAGTGTCCTTGGTCATGTTAGTATTTGTCATGGATGATGGAAGCAATTCAAAGAAATTGAAAGCTTTTTATGAATGCCTATTGTGACATCACAACTATTACATATTTGTTACCATGGCAACAAATATAAAAATCATAGAAAACAAACAATGAACATTTTCAAATGTTACTGACTTTTTAAATTAGAGAAATTCACAAAAACGTTATGGTTTCTCTTCAATTTGCCCCGGGTTACGCGATATCGGGTTACTATAGCAACCATAATTTCAACCAATGAAATGATTGAATTCCAATCTTTGAGATGGTAACTCAGAAATGTTGTGGGTACATGTATACCAAATTTCATGAAGATCTGATGAATACTTTTGAAATTACAACATCTTTGACGTTACTTCTGGATCACCCTGTATATACTAAATTTGTCGTCTAGGAGCTCACAATTCAAGGTAAAAACATAACATATAGCATATTCTCTCTAATAAACGCACATATCTACTATATTTGATCGATTTAAGGTATAGAAGTAAATTTTCACCTATTATCGCCCACCATCATAATTTTTTAGAATTCCCGGGGATTTAGCTGCTTGAAACCTCTCCCCCACGGGAATTTGCTAAGCGCACTGTGCGTTTATTAGAGATAATATGGTAATTAATAAGGGGAATCATCCGCCATCTTCAGATCATGGCTTGATAGGCTTTTATGCAAACCAATCTAATCATTTGATAAAATCTCCTTTTATGGATAATGAAAAACAGCCGTTTTTATATAATTCGAGTACTCTCAAGCAATTATATCCATTTATATGGTGGTACTTATTCCCCTTCTCAACTGTCATAATGTTTTTATATTCCCAGGGAATACAAAGTTCCATCAGACTGATGCAATGCATGATATAAACAGTAAGACATACTTGAAAAACTGTCAGTATGCTTAAATTGTATTATTCTAGAAAAAACAATAAGTAATATTTTAGATACGACACTATCCTTCAATTCAGGTACATCATTCAGGAAATCATACATTTTGGACAGAAATTTTAAAGACTAGCACATCCAGAGATACATTAGATGCATATAGTCAGTGATACATAAAAGAATCAATGTTAAACTCATGTTGATTGATTACTCATGATTAGTCATGCTTCATCGAGCACATTATGGGGAAATTATTTCAGCATCATACTATTCTGATGTTAATTAACAATTTCTACTATATTGAGTATATCTAACCAGAAAGTCTGTGATTTAGCCAATATTATCAGTGGGATCATAGTTTTTTTATGTCACCACCAGAAGTGGTGACATATTGTTATAGTCTCCACCTTTTATGTGGATAGTGTTTGGCATCCGGCAGTCCATGTATGGCATTTGTAACAAATGGCAGGTGTCTATTATTTCTATCCAGGAATCTTATGAAATTCATAAGATTAGTCTAAAAGAATTGAAAGTTTTCTGACTAAAAATATTCTATATTATATTTCATAGTATTCTCTTTATATTGAATTTTCAAAAAATAAACTTTCAAAATTGATGAAAGATTTGCAAACTTTGTAAAAGATGGTTGTAGACATTTACATATTTACCATGTAAGAATAAAACAAAATTTGCATATATTTGTATTTCTTTTTGTGAACGAACTTCTTTAAGAATACCTTTTTAGTTCTGCTCGATTATACAATGAGACAAATACATCCCTATTACGATTCATCGAGTATTATAAATAGCTTAGAATCATTGATCAGTAAGAATTGAGATATACTGAGCTGAATATATCACTGTCTTGATTCAAATCAATATATTGAATTCACACAATATGCGAAATAAGCAGATGATCTTGTAATGTTATCATGCTCAGAAGATCATAGGAAACCTATTAGTCAGCATGAAGAAAATTAGTTTAAACAAAGTTGCATCCTGTGTCAAGGACCGGTTAGTAGTTACTATATTCCAGTGGATTTGAACTCTACTCAGGACCCTTTGATTACCATTGATTACTATTTTGGAGCTATAAGAGCTGATTGGCTGATTCAGACACATCGACATTGTATAATAAAACCTGTATAAATGACTCTTTTGGTACCTCAGAGTAGTGTCCTAATTTTGAGATGTCACAGTAGCATTGCAGCCATGTCTTTTATGGCTAGTATTGGCTAGTAGCCTTGTGTTAGGAATACAGGAATATCATATTGTCAAATTTTGACCTTAGACTATAATATCAAAAGAAAAAAAATGGCCCAAATATTTAATATTCAAGACCAGAAATATAAATTCCCATGTTCAATTCTAGTAGCTACAAGATGTCAAAACTGATAAGTTAGTCTTAGCTGGTTAGTCTTATTACTGCTTTGAAAATTGAAACATCTATTGATACATGGATATATTAAATCTATAAGATCGCTCATTTCCCAAATGAGCTCCTCAAATCCCATAATAATCTTATTCTCTTGTTTCAAAGGAAGAAATTTCCCATGAGTCCCAGGAAGATGTCTCATACTTTGATGTTGGGTTCAGAAATTGGCTTTTGTTATAAGTATACTCATTAGAAGAAGTGTCAAGAAAGACAGTTAGAACAGTCTGTTGTTATAAATGTTTATGTTTTTTTTAATATCACAAACATGGATCCTACAGTAATAAATCAGTAGACCTAATTCTTAAAATTTTAGAATCCTACATTTTGTATCATATTTACAAATTGAAGTGGTTTCATTCTAGCATATGATCCAGGACTTTATGCAAGACAATACTGTAGTGTCAATTATAAGTAGATGTACTTGTTAATAACAATCATGTAAGTGACAATAAAAGAAATATATGACATATGTCACATAATTGCACTATCTTGGAGAACATTATCTCCTTACCAGATGTTTTGTAGGTGTCATATCTGTTTCGTTTGTTTCCATCTTGTAGGGTTATCTATTGAGATAAGAAATAAGGTATATATGGGTACATTGATCAAATGCATGGAAGGTAACAATTTTTGCATGTATATTGAGGCTATCAGAGCTAAAAATATTTTTTCTCTGAATCCAGAATTTCCAATAAATGAAGCCATTTTTTTAAACATCCTAAATGTGTAACAAATTCAAACTTCTTACTATTAGGTCAATTCTGGCCATTAACTTTTTGGGGTATTTAAAAGTCAGAAAGCCCTTCAGAACTGCCTTCGCATTGTATAGATAAAGCTTTTGGAACATGTTCAGCCTCATCTCATGTCTGATTTAATGGCCGAATTCCCTGAAAATACCTCCGGCATCCTCAATCTAATTGACCAAATGTACAAAAGGCTAAAGGTTTTCTTGTGCCATTTTTACCAGAATCTTGTTTATTTTGAGGAATTTGTAACTGCTTCCATGGTGAAATTATAACCGCCAATAATCTTGCCTATTGTTTTCATTAATTCTGTCTGTTGTCAGAATTTCTAATAAAATTCCTGACAGGCCATAAGTGATTCCACTCATCATATTTCTAAATTAATTGGTTTGGGAAATGCATGGAACCAGAGACCAACATCATGGCAGACATTTAATGACAGTTGACACTGTAATCTCCAGTGCACAAACTCCACATGTTGCCAAAGTTATAAAACTGTTACTTGGAAATGACAAGATCAAGTCAGTTAGATATACAATGTATTTTCTACGGGCCTGATCAGTGATGCACAAAGTCATTCAGAATTCTTCATGTTCATGAAGAAAATGTAACATATCAAGTAGTTTATATTTTCTATGCTCAAAAATTTGTGGAGGTGGTTGTTTGTTTTGTTTTTGTATCATGATATGTTTTTTCTATATCATGTATCATATTTGTATGTTTATGTCATTTTGTTTTGTTTGTATAACATGATTATTAGTAATTCAATGTTTTACTGTAAAATCCATTAAGGTAGACATCTAGATTTTCGTATATGTCTATTGTACTATATATAGACAAACACACTATATTGTACTGTTTATTATAGTATAACTTATATTTTCTTTTACTTATCTTTTACTTGCAGGGCATATTCCATGGTAGATTCTTCAAGAGTCTCCACATTTGTGATCTCAATACTCCTTATATTGTACTGTTTATTGTACTATAACTTGTATCTTTCTTCTACTTGCAGGGCATATTCCATGGTAGATTCTTCAAGAGTCTCCACATTTGTGATTTCAATACTCCTTATATTGTACTGTTTATTGTACTATAACTTGTATCTTTCTTCTACTTGCAGGGCATATTCCATGGTAGATTCTTCAAGAGTCTCCACATTTGTGATCTCAATACTCCTTATAGTTTATGGAAGCTTCAGGTGAGTCGTTCATCATATAATTATATTAATATTGTATTATTTTAATCAATTTAGAAAAATGAAACACTCTTTATATTAGCTTATCTTTCAATAGAATTAAGAAACACAAGTAAATCTAAATATAAAGAATAGATGTATGTATTAAAAAATAAGAAGTATTGAATGTAAAATTGGATATGGTTTGGCTCATTACAGAGCTGCTTCAACCTAGAAATAGACTTAAGGGTATGCTTAAAGTCAACCTCTGAACACTGGGCTCCTCCAAACATCACAGAGGGGATGATCTCTAGAGCCCTGTGTTCATTGTATGACTTACAGTATTTTTGACAGAAAATCATTTTCTATTTCAAGATCTCCTACTTTGATCTCACAAAATATTTATATTTAACAAAACACATTTTAATACATATAACATGTATTATTGATTTTTTTATTTTAAATTATTTTTAAACGTTAATTCTCATGATTATATTTTTTCTGAAAACATATTCAGTTATTTCCATTTCTGTGTTTTCATCTGTAGATGATCTGGGTATTATATGTTATCAGTGAGGCATGTTACTCTAAAGTGTCACAGATTAGCGTCACAGGCTACAATATACAAAAAATATAATATAATATTGTTATGTATTCCAATGGAGAAATCAATATCAAGACTATTGGAATTCAAGAAAATTGTTTCTGATATTTTTAAGAAAGCGAAGAAGCGTAGCATTCATTCTAATATGTTTTTTTGGCCAAAAAGATTAAGAAAATTGGTTCATAAGTGAGGATTGAACTCATCCATGCATGAAAGTAGAACTGTTTTGAGGGACCAAAGGTGTTCTAAATACACTTCTTTACTTCTAGAAATTGATCTCCATGGAAACAATCCTCTTTTGTTTGTAGATCTCTTAATCTGGAGCAGGAAAACAAAGAGAAGAGCAAAGAGAAAGAAAAGGAAGCTTATACCAATGGCACAGCACAACCTGGCAGTCCTAGTGCACCAGAACAGGAACAAAGTAAGATATTGATATTCTTTGCTCTTGTGTTCCCAAGGGGTAGGGGACCAGTGGAGGAGGGGGTCATGAACTTGCTGCCATTAGTTGTAATTCTTATCCTAGATGACCCTAAAATACTTTATATTCAAAATATTATGTAACTGACACAACCAACAAATTTGACATAAACCTTCTTTTCTGAATAAATCAAAACTTCAAAAAAGATTCTCACCTTGGAAAGTTAGTATAACAATGATTTTTTAATAAGCATCTTAATTACGTAATGTTTCATTTCTTCTTGCAGATGTACAGACAATTGACTCATGTCAGGCAATGTTTCTGCCAATCGGGGCATCAATCTCTCTCCTCATTATGTTTTTATTCTTCGACTCACTTCAGATGGTTTTTGCCGTCTGTACAGCCAGTAAGTAAAAAACTATTTTTAGGGTTTTATGAAAAACATATAATTATGTGTTTTTAACATTTTAATCTGTCTATAGTAAATCATATTTTTGCCATCCAAAGAAACAACCTTGTTTGTAACATATTGATTAGTATTTCATTACTTTAATCTAGATAGAGGTGAAGTATACATGTATATAGGGGTGGGGGTCACAATGTTTTGAAGCAAGACTAAAAAATAATCAATCCCATCATGGTTGAAGATCTGTCATACATAGACAACCATTGTATGATTTTCTCCTGGCACAAATACTAATGAAATATTGCATGTAAAATATGTTCGCCTTTTCAAAGTTCTAGGTTGTTCACCTTTAAATGATGAATAATTCAATGACTCCTCCACTTACTTCCATTGAGTTAAAGTTCTAGAATGAATATGTTCTTCTTCAATTAATCAATCATTGGAAGATTTCCTATACTTTGCATTTGGTTGTTTTTATAATTCTCAATCGGATGTAATATAATTCCCACTTGTTTGCTTTTTGGGTGTGATATAATTCTCAACTGGATATAATATAATTCTCAAATGGGTGCAAAATAATTCTCAATTAAATGCAGTATAATACTCAACTGGCAAAGTAATTCTCAACTTGGTGTGAAGTAAATTTCAACTGGGTGCAAAATTACTTCCAACTGGTTGAGGCTAAACACCCAGTCACTTCAATGCAAATTATCCAAAAATGCCAAAATAATTTGTGCTAACATAAAACATCAGTCCAATGAAAACCTCTTTCATGATTCTTTGTTTTGTTCTTGTTATATCAATATTCAGAGTAAAAGCATGTTGACCTTAAAAATCAATGTCATATAATTAGTTATGACTAGGTTAACTGAAAGATTAACTTATTATGTATCACAACATATCGATTTTTAACTATGCGGAACTGTGCTTTTTAATTAGAACAAATAAGCCTGCTGCGATAAAAATATTGTGTTGGTTAACCGATGAAGGATTGAATTATGACATCAATAAAGTTGAACTGATATTTTATATAGAGAATCATAAAAAAATGATTGTGTTGCGTCTCAGAATATTGATCACATCTTGATGATGTTATGAACATATAAGGCATCATGGCATTTATACAATAAATTATTTCAAATGTGTATTTTTCTGATTTGGCTCATAACGAGAAAAACATCATGTCCAGCTTCAGGAAATATGGCTATGTTTATGATTGAACGGAGGGTAAAATCAATATAAGCCATTTCTTGATGATTTGATGTGCATATACTGTATAAGGATGTCATTTTAATATATACAGTATTAAGTAACTTCATGAATGTTGTAATGCAAGAAGCCCCTGTGTCCCCCAACCAACATAAATACCAAATCTAGGGAGGGAGATAAATAATAAGGGAGCGGGACTAGAGACATTATGATATAACACATTTTATATTTATTTATTTATTTTTTTGTTTCAGTTCTAGCCACAGTAGCTTTTGCGTTCCTACTCCTTCCAATGTGCCAGTATTTATGTAGACCATTCGTTCACAACCAAAAGTAAGTATTAAGATTCTTTATTGTGAAACAATGTCAAACATATACAAGCATAATTCCTTGAAATTTCAACAATACATGCCAAGTACCATGACAAGTACCATGCCAAGTACCATAATAAAAGATAATAGTAATGGAGTTATCCTTGGTTTTTGATTGGGTCTCTCGTAAGAGAGGCTGTTTACATTGGATCTTATACAAGACAAAATAAGATCACAACATGCACTTTTAAAACCACCAAGTTAATAAAATGTAGTGAACCTCCTCAATTTATGTTAAAGTGTTGTAAAAACTAGTTTTATACTCCAAAGCTAGTTATATATTGGCATCAATGTACCTAGTTCCTAGGTATAGAATAGAATCTTTTCTATAATCATTTTTTCTGTATAAAAAGTTGTACAAATACAATATTGTTGAAAGAAATCATACAGTAGTTGCATATGCTATAATATCGTATTTATATATAATATTAGCCTTATTTAGCATAGTAGTTTTGATAAAAAGAGTAAGGGAAAGGGGGGGGGGCAGGGGAAAAGGCAAGAGGGTGACTTTTTGTGATTTTCTGCTCGATGGTTTGAGCTTGGTGAGGGGGTTTTTATGTTCCCAGTGTGTATTTTACTACGTTATGAAATGTTTGAGTTTCAACCATTGCTGTTCCATAAGTTCAGGTTTTTTTCTTCTTTGGCTGATGCTTTCTTCTATTTTTTTCTCTGTTTTTAGGAAGTTTTGCCAGCCTATCATATTAGGTCTCCTTATTTTCCTTTTACATGTGTTTAGGAATATCTTTTGTTTCAGGTATAGATGTTCGTTTTCTGTTTTTCCATCTCCGAAAAGGAATTTCTCAATCGTGGGTACATCTTCGTCAAGTTGGTTGAAAGATGTTATTAGGAAGTCTTGTACGGCCTCACAATGGTATATTCCATGTTCTAAAGTATCTATGTCACTACGGCATAGACTGCATATATCAGTGTTATAGCCGTCTATGTTCATTTGTTTTAGTTGTTTGTTATAGTATAGTATCCGGAAGAATATTTTTATTTGGAAATATTTCTCTTTTGTCCTGAGAATATTTTTTCTATTTTTGTGGATTTTGGCCCACATCAATGGATTTTGTAGTTGCAGTTTGTTTTGCCACTTATCTTCCATCTTCTTTGGCAGTTTCACAGCATTGTTCTTTTTTAGTAAAATCTTGTAAACTTCTTTATTGTTTGTCTTTTTTAACCATTCTGTGTTAATTGTGACATTCGGATTCTCGGTTTCTTCTTCATTTTCTCTTGGGTGTCTTAATTTTCTTTTCCAATTTTGGGGGATGGCTGTAATTATACTGTTATATTTCAAAGTATTCCTTTGGTTCATAACAATATCATATTTATGGCCTAATTCTGCTGCTGTGAGGAATCGATTTTCGTCCTGGATGTCTTTTATAAATTCAATACCTTTTTGTATCCATACTTCGTTTTTCATGATTTCTCCATTGATTTTTATCTGTTCATTGTGCCATAATGATTGTTGCTCTGGGTTTCTCGTATCCGGAATTGTTTGATATTTTAGACTGCACCAATTTTTGTAGACTGTCTTCAGGTACCTTAAGTCTAAAACATTTATTTTGTCACTATTTTTTGAAAGGTTCAAAGCCCATACTTCTCCCTGCGTCAGGTTCTTCAGGTAGTAGTTCCATATCTTCTTCCATTTGCCACTATATGTAGGGTCTATATATTTCTTTATCCATTTGATGCTTAGGTTTTTTACGTATGATTGTAAGTGGAGCATGTTTAGGCCACCTCTCTCTTGTTCGTTCATCATTATCTTTCTTCCAATTTTGTCTGGCTTCTCATCCCATATAAAGTTGAAAAACATGTTTTCTATTTCTTTGATAAAGTCATCTGTTGGTGTGAGCACTGTACATAGATATGTCAGCTGAGATACGAGGAGTGATTTTATCATTATTATTTTTCCTAGAGGTGTGATGTTTCTACTTTTCCATGCTCTAATAAGTCCTTGAATTTTGTTTCTTTTCTCTGGGAAATTTAAACTGTTTATGTCTCTTCCATCTAAAGGAATGGTTATACCAAGGACTTTTATATCTTTATCTTGGTATTTTAGCCCTGATGCCATGCTTTCATCTCTTACTTGTTGCTGTAATAGTGCATTTTCTCTGCCTATCACGGCTTCTTCTGTTTTGTGGAGATTGATGTTCAGTCCTGAGATTTCTCCAAAATTTCTGAACTTTTTAATTACTTTTTTCGCGGATGCAATATTTCTTACAAAGACTGATGTATCATCGGCGTATTGTGAGATCTTTACTTCTCCATCTGGTATTTGTATGCCTTCAATTTCTTCATCTCTTCTGATTGATTCACTCAATATTTCGGCACATAGAATAAATAAATACGGACTTAGGGGGCATCCCTGTCGTACTCCTCTGTTCAGGTTAAAGTAGCGTGATGTATACCCGTTATTTATTACTGAGCTTTTTGCATCATTGTATATGGTTTTGATCCATTTTCTAAAGTCTGGTCCAAAATTGAAGTAATCTAGCGTCCGATCAATAAATTTCCATTCCACTGTGTCAAAAGCTTTTTCAAAGTCGATGAAAAGCATTATGCCAGATTCATTGTTTGATTTAAGGTGTTCCATACAGTCTATTATGAGTCTAATATTTTCTGATATATTTCTCCCTTTAATAAAACCTGTTTGGTCTTCGTTAATTATTTTTTTTAAATGGGCTTTCATTCTTTCTGCTAGACATCCTGTAATTATTTTGTAGTCTGTGTTTAGCAGTGATATTGGTCGCCAATTTAATAGGCATAGAATGTCACGGTCTTTTTTAGGTAGTTGGGTTATAATGCTTCTTTTTTGTTCGGTTGATAATTCTTCTTTATCCAATGCTTCCTTGTAGCTTTTTACCAGTATTGGCACAACTGGTTCTTGGAAACATCTATAAAATTCGCTTGTTAAGCCGTCGCTACCTGGTGACTTCCCGGTCTTCAGGGACTTGATCTGTGTTGTTATTTCTTCTAAGGTAATATAGCCCTCGCAGCTCTGTTTTTCCTCTTCTGTGAGACTGGTGATTGATTTTATAGCAGGGAAGAATGTTTCTGAGTGCTGCCTAATGTTTGGGAGCCTGCTTCTGTACAGTTCTTCATAGAACCTTGCACTTTCTTTCCTTATTTGTTCAGGATCATTTAGTTCCCTGCCATCGTCTGTATTCAGTTGTGTGATGTTCTTTTTTGCAAAATTTCTTTTTTCTAACTTCAGGAAGTAACTAGATTGTTTTTTACCTTCTTCCGCCCATCTTATTTTTGCTCGAAGTATTGCGCCCTTTGCTTTTTCATCATTCATCTCTTCTATCTCTCTTTGGAGTTGTTGTTCTTCTTCTCGTAGCTGTGTTTCATGGATGTAGTTATCTCTTAGGTTTGCCTCTATTTCTTGTAGCCGTCTTATTTTGTTGGTGATATCTAGGTGTTTTCCAGCGTTTTTTTGCTTAGAGTACCTAATGGACTCTGTTTTGATTTTGAATTTTATGAGTTCCCATAAATTTTGAGCAGTCATGTCCTTGTGCTCTTCAACCAAACCTCTGATTAGGTTTTTTATCAAAGCTACATATTCTCTATCTTCTGTTAACCTTGCATTGAATTTCCACAAACCCGGGCCACGCTCTTGAGTGCCCATCCTTAGTTGCAATTGAACAAATTGGTGGTCAGCTATTTTGTAGGATTTTGGAGTGTGAATGTCTACGTCACTGGTATTGTTGATTAGTGGAGAGGCTATAAGGAAATAATCTAGTCTGGATTTCGTAGTGGTAGCGGCATTTGACCAGGTGAAATTTCTTTTGGTAGGGTTATTTACTCTCCATATGTCCACAAGATCATGTTCCTCCATTAGCTGCTTTATCTGCTGTCTTGTGTTTCTATGTGCATCCTGGTTGGTATTGCCTGTTTGGCTTTCTTTATCTTTGTTTGGCTCTAGGGGCACGTTGAAATCTCCTCCTATTATAATAGAATAATGATTACGCCCTTCTCTCAGTTTTTTTGCGATATTGTTGAAAAGAGTATTGTTGTCATTGTTATGTCCATATATGTTCACTAAGGTTATTTCCTTTCCTTCTATTTTAGTATTTATTATTATGTATCTTCCATCTTCTCCGATGTCGCTGTCTTCAATTTGGATGTCTGCCTTATGAGAGAATAGTATACCAACTCCGACTGAATTTGTGGCCCTTTCTGTAAAATATGATGTCATGCCCCATTCATTTTCCCATTGTTTTGCTTGTTTCATGCCGCAGTGGGTCTCTTGTATGAGTAGAACGTCATAATTTTCGTTCCGAGCGTGTAAGAAGAGTTTTCTTCTTTTTACCTGGTCTTGCAAGCCCCTCACATTAATGGTACCTATTTTAACCACCATCGTCCTTGTATTTGTATATAGGCCCTCTTGAAATTAGCCCTGCCCCCTTTTTTATATACATAATAATGTCTTTTATTTGACACTTTTCTATGTTTTTAAGGCACTTAGGAAAATGCCTCATTTTTTTTTTGTAAAAAAGATAGAAATACGAAAGTTGCAAAGAATGAGAAGATTGAGGAGAAATTGACAAATCAACCTGAAAAGTTAATCGGTCAATTTTCCATCATGTGGGATTGAGACTTCCAGGGTACTCCTTGAAAATTATTTTCTTGTGCGATTGAAACGGAGTTGAGGTTTGCTATTTAGACATTGATTGTGCTATAGGCTGTGGTTGACATTAACTCCGATACTATTTGCCTAAAAATAAATAAAAAATTGATCTAGCCTACAGTCACAGTGACCTAAAAAGGGAAACTGTTTTTTGAAAAAGCGAAGATAATTTTACCTTGAAATTGTCAGTGTTTATCCCTCTTTGTATTGTCTAGGACTGGGGGTTGAATACATGAAGCGCTAGGTAAAGCCGGCCTCTCGCGTGTTATTATCGGAAACTTCTTATGATTAGGTTGTAAAGTTGAGAAATTGCTGAAATTATTATGATTTTTGAATTTTTCTTTTCCGCTGACGTCATTGAGGAAGGTAATTCATTTTGATTGGTTGAGCCAGCGTTATGCGCGCGCAGCGTATCGATTACCTAGTAACGGCTTTATTGATAAACAAATATGTGTGTTTTTACCTTGGAAAGCTTTACTTCCTTGTTTTTGTTTCATGTTTTCAACCCCTTCGTCCTCTATTTTTGTGAAGAGAAAATATCTTAATTTACTTTCTCGATAAAACTGATAATATTAGCGTAATATAAGTTTCGGTTGGCTTATGAGGGGAGTTATTTAGTGTGGAAATTAACGGGTTTTGATACTGTATTTTTGTCTGACGGTAAAACATTTTCTCAGGGTTGTTGTCTCTTAATCGTCTTTGAGTGTGGCCCTGGGCTGCTTTTCATCCCTGTTTCTGGTCTTGCTTAGCGCTTCTGTGTAGATGGCATCCAGGTTTACTTTCTTTCCGTCGATCCATAAATGCAAGCCTGCCCATCTGTACTTTTTCTGGCCCTCTTTTGCAGGTTTAATATACGTTTTGAAGGCTTGACTTTTTATATTGCGTGCTTCTTCCGGCAGGTCTTCACCGATTTTACTGTTTATAGGTGGTTTTTTAACCCACGCCTTTGATCTGATTTGTTCAGCCGTTGGTGCATCTGCAAGTTGTACTATCAATGGTCTAGCTTTAGTTTTAATTTGTTGTTGTTCTAAGCGTCCGATTCTGTACGCATTCAGCACCCGGACGGGACAGAGTTTTGTTAACTCAGTTTCTGCCGCTTTGATGGGAATTTCCGTCCTTTCCTCTGGAAGATCATAAATAATGACATTGTTTCTTCTGAGAGACATGTTCACTTCAATGTTTTTTATCTGTAGTTCGCGCATTCCGCCTATCAATTCCGGTCTTTTCTCCATTTTTTCTTTCAAATCCGAAAAATCGTTGTTGATTTTTTCGATCTTTTCTTCCATTTTCGTCGATAGCTCTCCGAAACTACCTTCCAAATTGGCTTGTAGTGTTTTTATTTCATTAAGTTCAGGCCTGAGAGCTTCTAAAAGTTCTTTAACAAGCGTATTTCTTGAAGATTCTGCTATGTTAGTTTTTTCAGCGACTGGATTTGCCGACGCCATATTTGATTGTCCTTTGTTTACATTGTCAACCGATTCCAAATTATTTTCTTCTTTGTTTTTTGTCTCTGAAACGGCCGAAGCGTGTTGTTTTAGGAAGAATCTTGTGATTCTCCGATTGCTGTCTTTTTTTGGCAGTTTAATACCTGGTTTATTGTCCCTTTTTGGCATTTATTTAGCTTATATACGGGAGCCCCAAAAAGTCTGACTTCCCTTTATCTCCTCTCCATGGCAACCTTTTCTATAATCATGTTTTAAACAACAATATTATTTTGTTTATTTGTTTGTTTTCAGAATGTCATTTGGTTGCTGTGGACGTTTTACACCACCTGAAATTATGGCATTCTGTTTGTCCTTCCTCCTAGTTTGTATATGGGTCCTCACCGGACATTGGCTTCTTATGGATGGTAAGAACTGTTACACTACAATCTCAACAAAATTGTTCTTCCCAAATGTTATTTGTATGCAGACGTATTTGTTTATTTTTATGTCACCCCCACAAGTGGTGACATATTGTTACAGTCTTCAACTTTTTTTGTGGACATTGCCAGTCATCAGCATTCAGTGGTTGTCATCTGTAACATCTGTAACAAATGGCAGGTGGTGACCTTTTGCATGTTAATGTCTTGTTTGTTAAACATTTACTTAACAGAGGCAATCGATAGTTTATGAGGGCAAGGTTTAAAAGGAAATTATTAATTTCCCATGATTATACTGCGAACATATTAAACCTCCAGTTATTACCCTTTCTCTTATAAATGATAGTTTTAACAGCTGTTGATGTCATATTTTAACAAGTTAATAATATGACATTATGTTATTGATAGAAATATTGTCTAGACTATAATACGGAAAGTTCTATATTTAATCATGAGCTGATTGAAACGTCATAACAAGAATTGATTCATGTGAAGCCCACCTGTGCGCCAAAATTCCCAGCCACATGTCCATCAGCGCAAGTTGATGACAATATAGCGCTTTTTCAAAGGGTGATAAAAACCAGTAATGAATGTTTTTTATTATTTTGCAGCCCTTGGAATGGGATTATGTGTCGCGTTTATAGCTCTAGTAAGACTCCCTAGTCTCAAGGTCTCAACTCTACTTCTTGTGGGACTCCTTGTATATGATGTATTCTGGGTAAGTACTCCTTTTTGATCTTCTATTTGCTGGGTAAGGACTCCCTGTGGAGCTCTCTCCATATTCTATATGGTATATCTGGGTAAGGACCTCCTTTAATCATTGCATTGCATTATGGGTGATTAAATCCCAATCCAAATGTGTTTATTCAGCTGAGGTAATATTATAAGCAAGAATACGTGATAAATAAGATAAACAATTATGAAATAATTTATAAATAGTTTAATTCAATATAGATGATTAGGCATATTAAAATGAAACATTTAGATATGGCAGTGACATTTAACAGATTTTATCCTGCAATTTCATTGAACTTAAATTGATCCAGGGTAACACAAAGAGACAGTATACACAAAACTATAAAATATGAATCTAAATGTAATCTCTTTAAATCTAATGATAAAATAAGCTTAGACTTGTACATTTTACAGGTGTTTTTTTCATCAATGATATTTAGCGCAAATGTAATGGTACAGGTTGCTACACGACCAGCCGATAACCCCGTGAGTGATGCCTTATATGGTCATGCACTAGCATCAGTAGTTACTTGCGACCCTGTATTAGCTAGCCACTTACGAAAAATTGCTTATGTTTTAATTTTATTTCCCAGAAGAAACGAAATAAAGAAATGATAACATCAAAATGTGTATCAATGTTGTGAAGTCTCCCTCAGTAAAGAGTGGAGGAGTTGTCCTCCTTCCCTCTTTATAATCTATGTCCAAAGTTTTCATACATTGAACCTAAAGACTGGGAAATGTGAAACATGAGCAGTTTTAAGCTGGTTGCTTTCCTTCATGGTTAAATCATGGTGGTGTTTTCCTTGAATCATGGTGTACATGAGGTGTTCATTTTTTATTTTTCAGGTGTTCTTTTCTTCATATATATTTAATACCAATGTAATGGTGAAAGTAGCTACAAGGCCTGCAGAAAATCCAGTAAGTTTGACCCAGGGTTAAAAATCCTACAAAGTTCACGATAGAGTTTATCAGTGAACAAAGGCTAAACGACTTTGGATGTACATGTTCACATATATAGCCTTGTCTACAGATCAGCTCTATCTGCTCCTGATCCTAAAATCCCAACTTGGGTGATACCCTCTTATCAATTCAAATAAGATTGATCCATATATATGCATGGCTCTTATGTGGTATACTTGAAAGATATGTTCTCTTGGTGGATGGATGGGATTGATCATCTTGAGTTTCATTCATGCATCTTTCCCTGCATCTTAGAATGTGCTTTTAAAGAGGCTTTTATAAGATCTACCTGCTATATAGTAGTTGTAATTGTATACTGCATAAAATTGGAGTACCATTTTGTATCCTGATTGTTCAAAGAATACTTTCAATAAATACTAGCGAAGCCAATCAAAAGTAAGAAACTTCAACTATTTGTTTACACTTATTTATCTGTATGGATTTTCAGTTGCATACGTGAAGGAATTTTACAGAGAAGTATGTATATAAACATTGTCATGTATGTCTATTCTAGGTTGGTGTTTTGGCCAAGAAGCTCCACTTAACTGGGTTAGTCAGGGATGCACCCAAACTCTCCCTTCCGGGTAAACTAGTCTTTCCAAGGTACGTAAACTCAACTTAACTGAATAAACTAAAACTAATATTTTTACTGTGCCACCTCTCCTCTTCCTCAAAAAGTCAGAATATCTGAGAAACACCCTGTTGTTTTACCATTTTTTAATTTTGGGGAATTTACTTATATGCTTACTTACAGTATGTAGAATAACAAAACAAAATTTTACATCCTCCCCTATTGTGTAATTATCATATTTGAATATCATTATATTGACATGTTCCCCATAGTCAGAATATCTCTTATTTGGCAATAGTAAATACTAATAAGTTCAACTTTTGTGCTTTTAGTATGCAGAACAGTGGACACTTTTCCATGTTGGGCTTAGGAGATATCGTCATGCCGGGACTACTTTTATGTTTTGTCTTACGTTATGACGCGTACAGGAAGACACAGTTTGTCATTGATAGTGGCCTACCACCACCTGCAACGTATTATAACCGAATCACATACTTCCATTGCTCATTGCTAGGATATTTCCTTGGTAAGTTTGTGGAGAAATAACCTCAAATCTATTGTAAATTAGAACAGGAATTAGCAACGAATGGTCATGGTTTATGCTGAACAAAACTCAAAGTTTTGAATTTCTTAGAAAATTATTCTGCTCCTCATCACCTCTGGAAGAACTTGGAGAAAGAAGATGAAATGTTTTATTATAATGCAGGAAACTCATATTTCAGTCTTTTAGAGAGAGAAATATCTCCTTTTTGAATATTCACTAAAGTACAGGGAGGCAACGTCGTCCTTTTAGGTAATTGTCGGACACTCAATGCAGGACTACCTTTTGTCCGACAATTGCCTACATGGACGACATTGCCTCCCTGTCCTGTATTACAGTATTACAGTATAATGAAAAGAGAGGAATCAGCAAAATATACTTTTAGTTCAAAAGCATCCTTTTAGTTAGAGAAATGGTTTCTGTATTTGTAGGGTTGTTAACAGCTACCGTATCATCAGAAGTGTTCAAAGCAGCCCAGCCTGCTTTGTTGTATCTTGTGCCATTCACACTATTGCCCCTCTTTACAATGGCATATCTTAAGGTAAGACCCTCATATCTTGTGCCATTCACACTATTGCCCCTCTTTACAATGGCATATCTTAAGGTAAGACCCTCATATCTTGTGCAATTCACAAGTTTCATTAATATATAATAATATGAAGTAAGAGAATCATTTTTCAAACTGTTTTTCATTCAAAATATTTGCACTGTCAAAAAGTCTCAATAACAAGGATAGGTTGTCCAGCATTAAAATTTTTTTTTAGTATTTTACTATTTCTCCAAAATTCAGGTGATTAATACAAAAGTTTTGATGAAACAATGAATTTTAATAAACTGATTGTTTTTTTTCAGGGAGATTTGAGGCGAATGTGGTTTGAACCATTTGAAGCCACTAAACCTCCCAAATATGTGGATGTCTGACCTCACCCCCTTTACAGGAGTTAAAGACCATAATACAATGACCTTGACCTTCTAGCCCATACAGCTGTGTCTGATCATTAGGTCATCACATGTTATCACCATATACGGTGTGTGGACAATGGATTAATACCAAATATGGGAGTGACATATCAGAGCCATATATGGTTGGGTAGTCATAGCAAACATTGGGTGGTTTCCAAATAAGGACAAGGGATACTCTAGATCTGAATATAGGATAATACATCTAGATAATGTTACTTTTTAATGAACAATGAAATTTTGGATAATTTTGCCAGAATTCCTGGATCTTGACAGTAAAAATGAAAAACTGAATCTGGGCAGTGAATTGTGTTGAAAATTAAAAATGGAAGGAAATATCGATAGCAGCAAATCTTGAAAATATGGAAATTTGAAACATCATATCTCTAAGAAATGTATTTTGGAAAGACTTGGAAAAGGATTTGACATCCTGAATACCTCTGAAGCTAAATAGCCTATACAGTAAATGAAAAACCAAATTATGAATAATCCAGGATTCTGGGATACAGTGTACCTTGGTGTGTGGTCATATTTAAAAATGCAAAATATGATAAAAAAATTAACAAGATTTTTACAGTTTAGCCTGAATAATTGTAAGAAAACTGTGTTCATAAATTGAGACCAAAAAGCAGGACCACTAATCACATGGGATGGCCACTAAAAACAAGAAATGGCCACTTAAAACAACAAAGAATTTCCAAATTGATACACAGCCTCAAGAACTGCATCAATATGAGGTAAAACACTTCATTTACACAGGAGGAGATTACCCAGAATGCTTACCTTATTTTTGGAGACAAGAAAGTTTTGAACCAATCACAGTTTTGGATTATCTCGAATTGTTTTTTCAAAATCTACCCATTAAGTCCCCAAAGAGTGAGGCAAGGCTTCTATTTTATTAGATTGAGGCAAAATAGTGGGGAGCAAATTAGAATTCAGTAGTTTGCCTCAATATAACAGCCAATTAAGCACTATTGGTACGTTTTCTCATGCCAGTGAATGTGACATGTTTTCTCATGCCAGTGAATGTGACATGTTTTCTTGTGGCAGGGAATGTGACATGTTTTCTCATGCCAGTGAATGTGACATGTTTTCTCATGCCAGTGAATGTGACATGTTTTCTCATGCCAGTGAATGTGACATGTTTTCTTGTGGCAGGGAATGTGACATGTTTTCTCATGGCAGGGAATGTGACATGTTTTCTCATGGCAGGGAATGTGACATGTTTTCTCATGCCAGGGAATGTGACATGTTTTCTCATGGCAGGGAATGTGACATGTTTTCTCGTGGCAGGGAATGTGACATGTTTTCTCGTGGCAGGGAATGTGACATGTTTTCTCGTGGCAGGGAATGTGACATGTTTTCTCGTGGCAGTGAATGTGACATGTTTTCTCATGCCAGTGAATGTGACATGTTTTCTCATGCCAGTGAATGTGACATGTTTTCTCATGGCAGTGAATGTGACATGTTTTCTCATGCCAGTGAATGTGACATGTTTTCTCATGGCAGTGAATGTGACATGTTTTCTCATGCCAGTGAATGTGACATGTTTTCTCGTGGCAGGGAATGTGACATGTTTTCTCGTGGCAGGGAATGTGACCATGGTCTGTCATGTAATGTGGTTGTTGTTCTATAATGATAGGTGCAGTATAGTGAATGGTTGGGCAATGATATATCAAAGCCCTGAAATGCAGTCTTTACCACTCATTCATTTATAACATACAAAAATAGATATAAAATAGATAGCATGTGCTCATCATATACAATTATGATTTGGAATTACAGCTCTTCTGAATTATTTTTCATTGATTTATAATTAACTTTGTTTTTCTTCATTTTTAATGTCAACTTTTCTACTGTTGAGATTCAGATTTGAATTTTTAATGCATTCAAGCCTTGCCACATTTTTAAACATGGCACGTATTTTCAATTTCGAGGTGTCTCTTTTTTCATTTTCTTAGCAGCTTATATTCTAATAAAAGAGAAAAAATGATTTTTGTTGTTTACAAATCAGAAATTGTTATTTGGATGGTAGTTGTACTTGAATGTTGCATGTTGTGTACGGTTATGGAATTTTCATTTCATTCAAGTTTTGATAGTATGTATAGTTAGTGATTTGGGCCGCTAGGCTTGGTGCAATATACATGTGTAGTTCATACATTTCCATCACAGGAGAAAATGCTTTCGCGTGGTAGATTATTTCCATATCTTTGCCTTTTATCAGCTGAAAGTATTTTTGGAAATATGCATGAAGAAAGCTATTTTGGGATGGTTATGTTTAGAACATACTTACAGGAGAGAAGGGTAAGAAATAATTGCATTTTGTTCAGAATTATTTAACAAATGTCTAGATCAAGCGTGAATTGATGAGACCATTAGTTTTTTTATGTTGCAGAAATCAAGCCATTCTTGAGTCCTGCATATGGAGAAGTGCTCATTCTCCAAGTTCAGGGCCTCGGCCATTATCTACTTAGTTCCCTTCTTCTTTCCCCTTGCAGAAAGGAAAGAGGAAAGACAAATCTGGAGCTTGATATCTTAATTCATGAAAAGGGGAGAAAATTATTCTGTTCATAATCTGTAGATGCTCATATTTTAATTTCTACTGCAGGTAACAATTTTATTGAAAAACGTGATACTTGCTTATTGAATGAATGCCAAGAATTTTATTTATTTTAATTTCAATTATTTTGTGATAATTTCAGCAATTTCGATTAAGAAGGGAATTAATAAAAAGAATGATTAACGTATATTCAAATTATGAATTAATGGTCATACATCTAGGATATTTTCACCAGTTTCTATAGAAATACATCCTTTACCAGCTGAAACGTGTACATTATATGTTTGTCAAGGAGTAGATAGTAAGACAAATTTTAACAAAAATTATTGCTAAACATAAAATTTCATTTTTTCTAACCTAGGGGACTAAATCAATATTTCGATGTTTACCTATCACCTAATTTATTACTTATGAAAGTCAATTGTAAGGAAAGGTTTTTTACCCCTTCCCCAAATATAATTAAAAATTATGTTTGTAGGTGTACATCGATATATTTCTTTTTGTCCCCTGCTTTTTATGTTATCTCTTACACTTATTTATTGAATTTTAATTTGTTTCACAATGCACCAAGTTGTTGTTCGAGCACATTTTATAGTTAATGGTTGTTTTTCAAGAGAAATAAGTTTTGAATTATATGAAGGATTGATCCCATATAAAAAATCATTACCTAAATATGAATTCTTAAAGGCCCTTTGCAAAATTTGAAAAGTAGTGTAAATTTTTCATAGGGCCTTTAATGACAAATGTTTTAAAGCATGTTTTGGAATATTACATTATTTTAAGTGTAAAATATTTGTAGCATTTACAATGCACACAGCCATATGTAAGTTGGTCTAATTTGGTGATAGTCTATTCAATAAGAGATTTTGCCTTAATTTGGTAGAGTTGCTGATTGAACTGGCATTTGAACTGAATTGACTATCCCATGGTTTAACTCTAAATTAATCCAAGTTTCTCATACATTGTCATATGAGTCGATATTCTGTTTAGCCAGGAAATGTAACATTCCATTTTAAATGCGTGTAATGTAAAATTGGATACCGTATTCTCTGTAATTACCGCCCACTCTCTAATAAGCGCCCACCCCGCTTCACAAAGTTCAAGAAACATCGAGGAATCAACAAGAATTGAAGAATATATCAGGAAAAAAATATTTCTCAAAATCCAGGAGCGGGCGATAATAGAGTACTTACCCTAAAACTGCTGTAAACACGACGCGTTTTGTAATTCTATGCATCCTCTCGATACATATCTATCGATGGGTGCTTCCCACACCATACCATGCTAATTGTCTCCAAATAGTCCATAATGAATGAAGGAATTGTTCTTTATCGGCATTCAGAAATTTCAAAAGCTACTGCGCAGATGTTCTGCGCATGTCAAGGTCGTGAACTTTCTGCTTTCTTTTTAATGTTTCTCGACTTTTACACGACTTTTGCACGAATAATGATGATCTCTCATCAAATTAGAAATAATGTATAACTTTAGATCGATATCCAGCAGTATCTAGTGGAAATATTGAAGGTAATCGGCGATAATGACAAAGTGGGCGTGCCGGAAATAAATTAGACATAGACGGGTCTTCAACCACTGTCAATATTGTCTAAGCGATCTTTACCGTATTCTCTCCAATAACAGCACTTGTCATATTATTATAAAAATATGTTGAAGAAAATGCATTCTTGTCAAGAAAAATTGCCATACATGAAATTCCTCGGGATTTCTGATTTCTTTCATACATGGGCGCTTATTAGAATGGTCTAAATAATGTATTTTCAATTTTCTAAACGCCCTGGGCGCTAATTACAGAGAATACGGTACTTTCTCTTTTAAAACTGTGCATGTGAAATTAGATTCAGATTCAAGATTTTCAGTGGGAAAATGAATATCTGTCTTGAAAATAGGAGACAAATATTGCTCTTTTTGATCCTTTAAGTGACCAACAATATATATATCTGTTGGCTCAACAATCTTTGAAATCTCCGTAACTTATGCGTGATCACACCAAGCAACAATAGTTGGACATCTACACTAAATTGAATGGTCTTATTCAATGGAGGTTTAAGAGTGAAATGGAATAAATAGTCTCTAGAAGAGATAAATATTTGACATTCCCACTGAAATGAAATGTATTTAAAAACTTGAGAAGTGCCTACATTTCAGAATTTTATGTTTATGTAAAAAGGTTTGGTTGATGATCTGGTGCTTTTAAAAAGACAGCCAATGTTTTAATTTTGTATTTTCATAAAACAATCTGGGATACACCTTCATACATTACATCATTTTGTACCTCAAATACATGACAGATGATATAAACTCCATCATTTTGAAAATACATGTATATTTATCTCCTCTTAAGTGAATCAAGCATATTCGTCTCCTCTTGAAAAACTATTAAGACATGATGCTTTTTGACTCATACAAAAATTTGTGGTTCATCATTTTAGGGGTCAGAAAAAGTATTTTAATTATTTTTTACATTGTTCCATTCTTTGAAAGTTAGAAAAGGTGCAATTATCAGATTATGTATGTATGTATGGGCCACAAGATTTATTGAATATAATATGGACACATTCTGCTATTGTTTGCCAAAGCACAAATTGTATTATGTGCTGAGGAACTATGGTATTGTGTCCTAAAGCACGATTGAATTATGTGCTGAGGAACTATGGTATTGTGTGCTGAAGCACAATTGAATTATGTGCTGAGGAACTATGGTATTGTGTGCTGAAGCACAATTGAATTATGTGCTATAAACAATGTACATGTATATGTGGATGTAAACAATGAATAAATTATACAAAAAATACAAAACATCATATTACTTTTTCTTAAAATATAATTTTATTATTGTAGATATATAGATTTTTTATTTACAAGCAGAATTCCAGTGTTCTATCAGATTTATATTCTTTGTATACCCATTTTATATTTTTGGGATAAGATTATGATTTTTTCTTATAAAATACAAAATATTCCCTGCTATACTCCAGTCTTACTCGAAATACAAAAAAAAACGTTCTAAGAAACTTGATCACTCCTTATGAAATTATGTACCCCTCCATAAGATTAAGTTCAGCAATAAAAATTCCCATATTGAACTACATGATCATGTAATAAGCTCTGTTGTTTAGGTTATCTATAAAGCCTAAAGGGATGGATGTTTTTCAAGGACTGGATTTAAAATGACTTTATTTCCATTACCTCTAGTTTTTGCTAAGTTTTTCCATCATTCAAACTTGGTCAGCATTTGATAATCTTTATACACTTGTATTACATACCTAGTGAAGCATTTGTATGGAAGTCAATGGAGCTGAAGGTCGCCAAACTTTTTTACCATGACAATCTTATGACGTCATTGATATAATGTAGCCATGGAAATAAAGGTATGTAATACCATAATTATGTCCGTATCATTGAATATATGCCTTTATTATATACCCAATATGTAACACTAATCCTGTTTGGTCAATACCTAGTCACGTGTTCCGAAATAGATTTACTATTTCCCTCGGAAAGTTAATTCCCTCAAATGTGACGTCAGCGGGAATATACATTTGAACTATTGCCCGCTGATGTCACGATTGCAACTTCTATTACCCTTGGAAACGTCTGCGCATCATCACTGCGCAGGCGAAAAATGGAGGATGAGCACAAACACAAATCAACTCCGTTCACCATGACAGACGTGCATGAACGATACAGTATAAGCAACGTGTATAAAGTTCCCTAAGCTCAATACGTCTGTGTAATTTCAAGTGTTATGATAATCTATTCCACGTGTTAAACGCGATTGAATTTGTCAAGTGAGAGTCTCAGAGGCTAAAATTTCTGTTGAGCATCTGATGACGTCACAGCTTATAATGCTAACAATGGACCCGGGAGGGGGCTTTCTAAGCCTTTTTGGCCTTTGCAGAGGAAACGGGACAAGAGTCAGTATAGGGTATATAATAAAACAAATAGTGACTGCCTAATTTCGAGCAATAGTGTAAATAATTTCCCCTTGGGAATATCCTCTACAATGTACTATTCCCGAAGCCGCAGGCTATATTTGTATATTTGCTCTGTCGTAATATAGCCCTCGTAAGCTCGGGCTATATTGATGACAAACCTCAGGCATATATTTATTAATGATATGGACATAACTGCTAAGTATGAATTGTAGGCTTTAACATGTAGTTCAATGGAGGAAAGCTAGAATTCGAGAGGTGAATGAACATCCATGCTACTTATATGGAAATCCCAAAATGATTAATCCAATAAAAATAATGAGCATTTCATTTTATCACACACTAATAATTGTATCACATGTCCTAGAGTTTCTAAGAAGTCAATTGTGACCATGCATACTGTATCTCTTGTCACACAACTTCATCTATTGTGATAAGACAGACTGTATTACCAGGGGTTAACAGTACAGGTGTGTGAGGTTAACAGCAATTAAAGGCAGATGTTTGATGTCACATTATGTAACACATGATGTCACATTATGAAATACATTTAGAAAGTTGCTGCCTCATATCTGCTACATTAATTCAGATGCAGAAACCTTTCTTTGTATCACATCTTAGTTAATAATTGAATTGTTTGAAAGCTACCATTTTCTTTTATTCGTGTTCTTCACATTTCTACTTCCCTTTGAGCATACTGGGAATTGCTTTAATTTAATGGCTGTTTTAATATGGCTGATTTGGCGGATTGATAAAAAACGCAAAATTAAGTTTCTGCCAATTTTTTGAAAAAATCCCAGGGACCTGAGGTCTCATTGAGAATCCTTTCAATATTTTGATTGTAACCCCATTTTTACATTTTAGCTCATATACATAATGTATATGATGCCTAGCTATCTATATTTTACTGATGAGTCAATCCTCCATATTTAATAGCAGCCAAAATTCCCAAATTTCCCCAATCAATAAATAGCACCAAATTAAAGCAGTTTATTGTTATGATTTTATACAGGGGACCATTTCTCAAAAAAGTGTAGGTCACGATTCCTTATTTTCATTTTTCTCATTGTTTTTTCACTATGTTACGACATTAATGGCAGTAATATCATATTGTTTTTCAAATATAGCTTAGGTAATATCATGATGTTTTTCAAAATGTTACTACATGAATATCATAATGTTTTTTTTACAATGTAACTTTCTTTATATCATTATGTTTCTCAAAATATAACTGTGGTAATATCATTGTTTTTTACAATGTAATATCATAATGTTTCTTACAATATAAGTGTGATAATATCATAATGTTTCTTACAATATAAGTGTGATAATATCATAATGTTCCTTACAATATAAGTGTGATAATATCATAATGTTTTTCACAATGTAAACTTTGGCAATATTGTAAAGCACAAATGAACTGGAGGAATCGTAATCCACAATGTTTTTGAAAAACAGTCCAAGAGTAATTTGCTAAGTTGAACATCTCTTCCCTTTTATTGAATAATATTTTCCATTATGTCATCATTTCCAGATTTTCCCATCTACATATTGGCTCAATAAGCAATCTTGTGGTTTAATTGCAATAACCACAACCACATTGTATGTAAACCACATTGTATTTTATAAAAATGAATGTGCATGTACATGTTAAGCCACAGAGTAACTTTTAAATACTCGTACACATTTAATTTGTGAAGCATGTTTTAGGCTGGTGGGTATTGGTACTTTAATTCTCAAGCACTAGAATTCTTTATTTATTCTTGTATCCCATACCCAATGAGCTTATACATATACATAACATACAGAATATATATTGTATACACTGAGAGAAGGGTAGACATTTTTGTATCCGTTCGACTATTTCCTGGATCAGAGACATCCAGAAATATCTATCCCCCTCCCCCAGTCCTTTGTATACAGTTTACCAAAATCAATAAATAGTTACCCTGTTACCCTTAATATGCATGCAATATCAAATGTTACCCTTTATCATGGGCGTAGTGCCTGGTACGCCTGGGACGAACAGGCGTACCTGATGGTTGCAAATACACTCCAAATACAACCATTTCTGAATGCTCCTTTTTTGCTTTGTTCAACTTGTGTTCCTATAGTGGCATTGTACTCATAAAAATAATGCAACATCCGTATTTATGTACATGTCACTTCTTTAAAACCGTATTCTCATCAATTGACCATGTGATAGTAACTCAAGACTATTCATTTTTTTTAAAAACTGCATATTTTATATTGCATATTTGTGTTTCTAGCCAGCTCAAGTTGGCCTATAAAAGCTTTGATTTCCATGCAAAGTGGCCACAAATATTAAATGTGCGGCATGGGTGACTATCTGATTATGCTTTTAATTAACTGAGCCAGAAAATCTGATTTTCTAATGTAGCATGGTGCAGATCAGTGCTGTATAATATGTAAAGTATAGATGAAATAAAAGTAAATAAATATATGTTTCACATAATTAGGTAATGAGATGTTTCCTACTATGTTTTGTTTCTACTATTATTAGAAACATTATATGCATGCATTTAGAAACATGTGTGACAATAATGTTTTTATCATACCCTTGGACTACCTTAAGGCACTTGTTTAAATTGACAACACATGTTTTTAAAGTATCCTTGGATTTATAATACATGTTTTATCATAAACTTAAACTACCTTTGAACTACCTTAAGGCACTTATGTGACAATAGATGTCTTAAAAATCATACCCTTGGACTTCCTCAAGGCATATTTGTGCAACAGTGCAGTTGACTGATTATATGAAGAATTTACATTAAAAATATTTAAAAATATATACTGTAGATGACTGCAATTTTGCATAACACATATAATATATATACATTTGTCGTTTAAAACAGAATGGAAGTAAAAAATAATCATAACCTCAAAGCATATATCTTTCGTTTTACCATAAATAACATCATAATATAAAATTCACTTCTCTATTTCTCACACTTGAGAGAAATTGGGACACAGGCACCTGGTGGATGACTATATTGAACATATTTCCAACATTAAGCACCAAATTGGGAGCATTTCAAAAGATCAGTGTCAGAAAATTAACTGTATTTGAACAGTTAGGGGAAGGGGTCTTTAACCTTAAAAGTTAGTATTCCTACATTGAAGAATTACAAAAATTGACTGCATTACATTAAAGGGACCCAACACCATGGTCACATGATCAGTCGTGTGGAGGTAAGCTCCCAGTTGAAATAAAACCACTGTCCTCCTTTGGTTTCTGTGAAAAGTAGCTAATACCCTCATGTATTGGTCAGTATGTGTGTCACACGACTAATCCCCACCATATGCTTCATTCAACATATTTTATGCTATTGAGCTGCATATATAAACAGTACTTTGCAACTAAGGTCATACAGTATACTTACCCCTTGCAAATTGTAATTTATTGAATTCACAGTAAACCCATCAATTTTTAAGAAAACAAAGAATATTGTTCTCATGGATCTATTATTTATGTTAGACTAACTATGAAAATATAAATATGAAATAATATGTTAGCTTGAAGTCATATATAAGATGAAAATATATGTTCATGCATTTGCATTTTTCCAAAGGGAATATTCCCATGTAAGTAAATACAGGTGCAATATATAATTTATATGTATATCTATGTCATCTGTCTATACATGCGCGTATAGCCTAGTGTTACATGTGAACAAGATGGTTCTGGAAAGAAATGAGCGTGACAGATTTGCTAAAATGCCACATACACCACAAAAGCAAGACCAATTTGAAAGTAAGTTCATTATTCTCAAGGGTACACTTCAAGTGAAAGCTACATTGCTACAGGGTGGCCTATCATTCTGAGACAAATGTATTATCCAACGATTGTGATTTTCGAAGCTAAAATATAATATCTTGAGCAGATGGAAATACATTCCCATGAGATATGTATATATAGTCAAAAGTGATAACTATTTATTGAGTGTAATGAAATGTATCCTTCGCTAACTGCTTTTGTTTGAGATAATTATCATGAAATGTTTTTAAATCAATTTTTATGTGTGTCATTGATCCTAATCCACCCTGTAGTCTGGTGTTTGTAGAGCATTGCGACTCGTACAACTTATTCTCACAAATATCAAACCTCATTTACTAATTAATTTTTTGTGTGAATATGAAGAGTCCAAGCATTGCTTTTTTATGTTTATTGTATAGCTATATTTAGCCTTGATATCCATGATTTTTTAAAACAAAATCTCACCGTTAGATTTCGGGCTATTCATGTTTACTCATTTGTCTAATTGGAAAACAATGCAAATCTCATTTTTTCAAAGGAAAAAAATTGAAATTCTAAGACGGTGAAAAATCATTAAAAAATACACAGATTCAGAATCCGGCAAGCATTTTCCCTTATTCCTCTCCGTTAAGAAGTTTTGCAAGGTGTTGGATTCCTTTAAATGTTTAAAAATATAGGGTTATCAATGAAATAACGCATATCAGCATTTCTCAAATACAGTTATGAGGGAGAGGGAGGAGGTCACAGATTAACTGTTCAAATACAATAGTAGGCCTAATCCAATATTGAAATATTGAGATGCTCCCTTAATCCTGATGAAAATGTTACTGGACTTATGAGCACTAAAATATGAAAATACATGTAAACATGACAGCCTGCATTGTATGTACATCTGATTAAATAACATTAGCAGTCAAATTATGCAGTTATGAACAATTAAAATGTTCAACCATATTGTCCTATCTAGGGGAAGGTCTGACCCCCAAACCCCTGTTATTTGAGCTGACAGGTAAGTGCAGAATCAGCAGTGAAAATAGACTGCATATCGAGGTGTACCCCCACTACTCCTACCCCATTATGCCCCCCTCACCCTTTATCTACCCCTCCCCACTACAATGTGTTTGACTAGAAACCATAAATGAATTGACTTTTTTGATTTTTAATCAAATGCATCTTTGAAGTGAAAGTAACACATCTACATGGTCATTACACCTATCAGTGCCAGCTTAATGATATAAAAGTAGAATATTCATGAACGCTATTTGAAATGATAGTTTTGTTCTTTAAAAGGATCATTGATGGGTGTTTGTTCTCCAATTGGTGTTGGTTCACCAATGGGTATTTGTTCACTAATGGTCGTTTGTTCTTCAATGGGTGACTGTTCTCCAATGGGCATTTGCTCACTAATTGGTGTTTGTTCTCCAATAGGCACTTGTTCATTAATGGGCATTTTTTCATCAATGGGTATTTGCTTACTGATGGGCATTTGTTCAATGATTGGCTTTTGTTCTCCAATAGGTGTTTGTTCTTCAATGGGCATTTGTTCACCAATGGGCATTTGTTCACCAATGGGCTTTTGTTCATCAACTGGGGTTTGTTCTCCCATGGGTTTTTGTTCACCAATAGGAGCTTGTTCATCAATGAGTATTTTAGGGGAGGCAAGGGTTGGGCTTGTTATCTTCACAACAGGGACAGGGGGTAGAGTATCCTCTGTATGTTCAACGTAATGTAAAGAAGGTGTAGGGGAGGGGCTCTGGAGGGCAGGGTTTTCTTTAGGAGGTGATAGCACACTGTCAGGACTAGGTTCATTAACAGGGACTTCTTTATCAGGAATTAAATCTTTGGGGTCCTCAGAAGGGACAGAAGATAGGGTCAGAGGGGGTTTATCTTTTGAAGGGTTGGGAGAGGGAGGGGGTACACCAATGGAAGAGTGGGGATACTGAGAGGAAGTGGGTCCGTCCTCAGTTGGAACACCATTGGGAGTTGGGCCATTACCATATTGAGGATTATTTTCTGACAAAAGGGGCGTTCTTTCATTCGGAGGGATATCATCAATTTCTCTCGTGCTGCCCCTGGAAAATGCATCATCAGGAATATTCCTTCGTAAGAACAAGAGAATTGCTGATACAATCACCATCAAGCTCCCTATAATGATCATCGCAATTTGAGCAACAAAACTTAGCAATTTTGGATTCAGGAGCTGCATTTGGACTTTTGCAGCACTTGCATCGTCAATGACAGTAGATTCATTGATCCAAGCCACTGGGAAGACCATTGTTTGAATGTTGCCTGTTTGAAGGACTGAATCAACTTTTTGCAGATATATATTAATCTGAAGTCGTTTGAATGCCTTCATAATGAACCCTGTGTTAGGTTCAGCACAAACATCAGTTCGATGCTGTATGCCTGGGTGCATGTTATAGATGGCGTCCTTGTACTTTGAATCAGCCATATAAAAGTGTGGGTACGATACAACAAGTGGGATATGGAATCTATCGATGATTTGACAGGTACTGATATTGAGTACACCTGTACCCATACAATGATCAGGAGGTGTGCAGAACCCTTTATTCAATGGTTCAATGGTTGCGTTAGCTAGTTCACGATAGGGGCCTGTATAGCGATATAAAGGAATACCCTGTGGTGTGACATCATCCGCTTCATAGAGGCCAATCACACTGCGACAAATATCTGATGAAAACATACCAACGATTCTGTCACGATTTAAAAATGGCGGCCCTATAGATCCATCTGTGCCATTAATTTGATCAGCAAGTGATGTGGTCCAATAAGGCACTGAGCTCATTCCATTGTACTTATCTATAACACCAAGGAACTGAATATCATTTTCGCCAGTTTGGACTGTATATAGTCCATCATCTGTGTTATTTTTCCCAGCTCGAATCCCGACCATATCTTGAGTGAACCAACTAGGATCAACAACCTTTGCAGCTGCTAGGCCTTTATCCTTATATCCCCAGACCATGTCTTTAACAGATTTCCTCACAAATAGCTCCTCTGTAAATAATCCAAGTGCAACTGTTGCAGCATCTCGTACAATTGCTGGGGAATTTACCACTGCAGTTGCAAGTGTTGCTAGGGGGATATTCACTGTCAGAAACGTCTCGTTATCCAGTCCAACAGACATCTCCGGGACAAAATTATAACTAAATATCTGTCTATAGGAAACTGTTCCATTTTGATTAAATGTAATATTTACTTTATGACGGTGTTCTCTGTATGTGTAGGGGCCACGTTCTACAACATAGGGTTTCTCCCCTTGCATCACCTCAGCTGGGTTTTTCAAATCAAATGTCCAAAATTGGAGATAAATAGGTGGCGCTGGATTCCTCCATTGTTCGTAACCTTGGGTACCATTTTTGAGTATCACATTATTGATGATCTGTTGACGGATTATGAGATGAAGGACGGGAATTGATATCAAACCAATTGCCAGGATGATGGAGCCCACGATTAAACAGATCCATGTTGTACGCCTGCTGCAATTTAACATTGTCCCAAGATGTAGTCTGAAATTAGAACATACTTATTACTTATTTAGGAAATGTGACATATGTTTAGCTCCAAAACAGCAAATAATAATATTCCAAATTCCAAGATAAGACAAGGCATTACATGCAAAATGTCACAACAGCTGTCAATTGTTACAGACACTGAACAACGAATGGCATTTGTTACAGACACTGAACAACGAATGGCATTTGTTACAGACACTGAACAACGAATGGCATTTGTTACAGACACTGAACAACGAATGGCATTTGTTACAGACACTGAGCAACGAATGGCATTTGTTACAGACACTGAACAACGAATGGCATTTGTTACAGACACTGAACAACGAATGGCATTTGTTACAGACACTGAACAACGAATGGCATTTGTTACAGACACTGAACAACGAATGGCATTTGTTACAGACACTGAACAACGAATGGCATTTGTTACAGACACTGAACAACGAATGGCATTTGTTACAGACACTGAACAACGAATGGCATTTGTTACAGACACTGAGCAACGAATGGCATTTGTTACAGACACTGAACAACGAATGGCATTTGTTACAGACACTGAACAACGAATGGCATTTGTTACAGACACTGAACAACGAATGGCATTTGTTACAGACACTGAACAACGAATGGCATTTGTTACAGACACTGAACAACGAATGGCATTTGTTACAGACACTGAACAACGAATGGCATTTGTTACAGACACTGAACAACGAATGGCATTTGTTACAGACACTGAACAACGAATGGCATTTGTTACAGACACTGAACAACGAATGGCATTTGTTACAGACACTGAACAACGAATGGCATTTGTTACAGACACTGAACAACGATTGGCATTTGTTACAGACACTGAACAACGATTGGCATTTGTTACAGACACTGAACAACGAATGGCATTTGTTACAGACACTGAACAACGAATGGCATTTGTTACAGACACTGAACAACGAATGGCATTTGTTACAGACACTGAACAACGAATGGTATTTGTAACAGACACTGAACAACGAATGATATTTGTTACAGACACTGAACAACGAATGGCATTTGTTACAGACACTGAGCAATGAATGGCATTTGTTACAGACACTGAACAACGAATGGCATTTGTTACAGACACTGAACAACGAATGGCATTTGTTACAGACACTGAACAACGAATGGCATTTGTTACAGACACTGAACAACGAATGGCATTTGTTACAGACGCCGACCAATGAATGGCATTTGTTACAGACACTGAGCAATGAATGGCATTTGTTACAGACACTGAACAACGAATGGCATTTGTTACAGACACTGAACAACGAATGGCATTTGTTACAGACACTGAACAACGAATGGCATTTGTTACAGACGCCGACCAATGAATGGCATTTGTTACAGACACTGAACAACGAATGGCATTTGTTACAGACGCCGACCAATGAATGGCATTTGTTACAGACACTGAGCAATGAATGGCATTTGTTACAGACACTGAGCAACGAATGGCATTTCTTACAGACACTGAACAAGGAATGGCATTTGTTACAGACACTGAACAACGAATGGCATTTGTTACAGACGCCGACCAATGAATGGCATTTGTTACAGACACTGAGCAATGAATGGCATTTGTTACAGACACTGAGCAACGAATGGCATTTGTTACAGACGCCGACCAATGAATGGCATTTGTTACAGACACTGAGCAATGAATGGCATTTGTTACAGACACTGAACAACGAATGGCATTTGTTACAGACACTGAGCAACGAATGGCATTTGTTACAGACGCCGACCAATGAATGGCATTTGTTACAGACACTGAGCAATGAATGGCATTTGTTACAGACACTGAGCAACGAATGGCATTTGTTACAGACGCCGACCAATGAATGGCATTTGTTACAGACACTGAGCAACGAATGGCATTTGTTACAGACACTGAACAATGAATGGCATTTGTTACAGACACTGAGCAACGAATGGCATTTGTTACAGACGCCGACCAATGAATGGCATTTGTTACAGACACTGAGCAACGAATGGCATTTGTTACAGACACTGAGCAACGAATGGCATTTGTTACAGACGCCGACCAATGAATGGCATTTGTTACAGACACTGAGCAACGAATGGCATTTGTTACAGACACCGACCAATGAATGGCATTTGTTACAGACACCGACCAATGAATGGCATTTGTTACAGACACCACACACCAAACACTGACCACCAATCACCGAATACCAGCCATAAAAAAAGTTGGAGACTATATGTCAACACTTCTGACATTATGGTGACAGAAAAACATGTCATTATTCTCTTTACACACCTGTTTTTCATCATACATTAGAAATATAATTCTAGGCATTGAAATTGTAAGTCTCTCAAACCTAAAACATTCTCTTCTCTGAAATTTTATTTTCATGTCACATAACTCATTCAAGTCCGAGCCCCAGGCGGTCATAACTTCAGTGTTAGACAATCTGTCTAATATACATTGTTTTATGTTGTAAATAATCCTGAAAATGGTTACTGCTCTTAACTGATAAATGTGACTTGCAAAAGTTGTCAAATCAACACATTCTTACCCCCTGGTCAATTTTTAGGGGGTAACTAAATAACAATAACTTTTTACCATAACTTTGAATGGAGCAAGAGAAGTTTTCACCCAAAGCCTGGAGGAGCTGTATAGCTTTAACTATAACTTTGTCACCTTAACAAAGGCTGGTAAAGTCAAGATTATACGATTTGGAGATTATTAACTTCCAGATGAATGTAACAAAGAAATTCTCAATTTATCAGCAAACTTTATTGACAAAGTTATGCACCATTCAAAAGTTTGCGTTAGACCCCCCCCACGCAGGGACCGGAGGGTAAGGGATTTGATACACAATATTGTCCCAAGTGGTAAGAATTTGACAAAGATTGTCTTCACGGGGGTGAGGAATTTGATTTACATGTGCCTGGGTATGGGGATTTTTGACTGAATCTGTTTCGTCCAGTATACACTTTAGGAATAATACTGAGCAGTTTTTCTAGAATAATACTGAGCAGTGTCGTAGCAGATTTATTGCTCCAAGGGTAGGGAAATTGACACATTTATTTGGCCATATTGTAGAACTGACAAATCGTTTAAAATTCCTAATTTTAAACAAGGAGTCCCAATTATAAAGATTTTCAAATTTAGACATGGAAACACTTTACACTTAGCGGGTTGATTTGAAACTAATTTTCTGGCTACTCGAGTCCATAAAAACTCTGATAGTGCGAGTCTTTTTATGAACATAATGTTTCTAATAGAAATCATTTGACGATTATGAGAAAGCATTAAGTCAAATCCAAAGTGGAATCTGAAATAAAAGTGAAAAAATATTGCACGGATGTGAAAGAACAAACTTCTGGTTTAATAAAAATGGCGGAGACGAAGGTGATGAAGGAAGACGAAGAATTAGAGGATTTTCTTTTGCCATTATCAATCAATATAAGGTACATACACAAATTCTAGTTGCATATATGGAAAATAGATACATTTCCAAAGGCTATAACAAAAATAGAAACATTTATATTTATCCCAACTTTGTATATTATAGTTTGTTTTGTAGATTAGCTATCATATCTGTGTCCTCTTATATTTTGATACTTCTCTGCCATGTTATTTTCAGAAAAATTAACATGGCTGAAACTCCCTAAATTACGAAAGGCCACAGCTTTGCTGCACATTATACATTACTATCTGAAATAAACAAAAGTTAGGATAAGTATAAATGTTTCTATTTCTACATAAACTGTTTCAATTTGGTCGTTTGATTGCTTATTAAATTCAAAGTACTCACACATTAAAAATTTTACTATAGCCACTGGCGGATTAGGGGGGGGGGGCCCAGAAAAAAAAAATTGGGCCCAAAAATTTTTTTTGGCCAAACAAGGCCTTCAGGCCCCAAAAAGTGGGCCTTTTTGGTCATTACCGGGCCTTTGAATCTTTGAAGGCCTTATTTTTTAATTTCAGGCCAAATTTTGAAGAAAATGGGCCTCAAAATTTCAAAGTTTGGGCCCAATTTTGGATTTTAGGGGCCTAAAATTTTTTTCCGCGCAAGCGCAGACGTTTTTTTCTCTGACCTGAAATTTGGGCCCCCCCTTGTTGATTCCTGGATCCGCCCCTGATAGCACAGGCACATTTATGGGTTGCATTCATTTTGGGTAGATGGTTCAGGTTCTAAAATATTTGGATTCTATCTGATAAAATGCCGAAGAAAATACCATTGCATACCAATTCAAAAGTAATTTGAATGAATTTACTTTATTTTTTGGTTTCTGCCAAGAGTTATTGTAGATTGCATGGACAAATACACAGTGCTCACTTACCTAAACTATATGACAACAATAGGAATACTATCTTGAAACATCCTGCATGACATACATTATGTGTCACATGATGTAAATTAGGTTATCATCGCGAATCAAGGTCAGATAAACAAGGAAGTTCAAAGTTTCAAAAACTATTTTTTATTATCGCCCATAAATGCTCTAAATGTCGACTTTTGAAAGCTGAAACGAAGGCATTAATTTTCTTACATTTTTTTTATCAGAGCAGTCTTCGCTGAAGTTTAAAGTAAACTAGAGATACAAAATCTCTACAAAAATAGTTTATAGAATTTGATGATGAATCTCATGATGTCACTCATTTTAAAAAAGTAAACAAAAACACGCCGAAAGAGGGCGTGTCAATTCAGCCACAGTCCATATTTCAGAAATTTTTGTTTTCAAAATATTTCAATGTTTTATAAGGGATAGCAACATAAATAGACAACTGGATTAACAAAGGGGCAGTTATGTCGTCCATGCACGTGCCAAGGGTCATTTCCCAGAGGGGAAAGAGCAGTTTGGAAGTAGAGAGAGAGAACTTTGAAAGAACACAGGTCAGTTGAGTTTTTTACTGAATTTATTTAGCCTATCGTGTTCAGTCCAACTGCACAGTGCAGTGACCAGTGTAGGGCAAAATGAAAGTGATGTTCTCTACATGTTTCTAGTAACTTCTTGACAATGATATTTTCATGTGTGCCATTGAGTCCCGTTGCAATCAAATATATACAACTGTCAAATAAAATATTCGACATTTGGTTGGTGATTAAGCTTAGGGCTGTGGTATCAGTTTAGACCTGAGGCCCGGGTTTAGACTATATCCTCTAGTCTGAAATTTGGAATGAAGATATTCAGACTAAAGCCCATGTATGTTAAAGTTTGGGATCGATAATTATTTGTTTACATATGAAGTGTCATTCAATATGGCCGATTGAGTAAATTAATTTGCATATTTGTTACTTCCCCTAGCTTTGCTTCCATTCGACAATAAGCTTTGTTACTTTTTATAGCATTTAATTCTACCTTACTACTTAATTGAATTGTTATAATGTCTATTTTTGGGAAGTGAAGCTTCCTAGAATTGATAATTTTTGTGCAGGAAATTTCCTGTTTTTTCCCACAGGAGGGACGTAATGATCAATAGACTGAATGCTCAGGATATTCACTCTATTGGATATTATAGACTAGGTATCAGTTGTAAGATATGAAGTTTCCTCAAATAGTAATAATGCTTTTATAGTTGGCAGATTATCAAGCAACACCTTTCCAGATTGTTTGTCTGATATCAAGTCCATGGAGCCATCATGCATCATTCCCTTCCATTTATTGAAGTACACTGTAGAATGGTATCAAGATCTGCATGGCAAGATCATTTATATGTTGCAGTAAAATACAATTTTTTTTTTTTTTTTTTTTTTTTTTTTTTTTTTTTTTTTTATTCACACATTTATTTCATATATACATACTACAGCATTCTATAAATATTTTTTGTGTTTACAATTGATGGGCTAAAGGTTGTCGCCAACATAAGTTATATATCAAGAAGTAATACAAAAAGCTTATTCTTATGATGCTTTATCTACAAAACAAGTTCTTATGATCTTTTTATCTACCAAATTTACTGTTGTTTTTTTTATTGATCCAGTATTATTTATGGATACTGTGCTTGTTACGTGTATTTCATATGTAGTTGTATGCATCTATGGAATAACCTCATTCATACATCCCTCATTCATACATTCATTCACTCATTCAATCATCTTTTCATTCGTTACACATTTTACAATATGTTAAATATGATCTTTGGTTACATATCTATTTATTTTTATTACTGTTACACATAATTTTTTTATTATGTCAATGGAAAATATAAAGTTAATACAAAAATAAAAACAATACATATTCTTATAACTTTTCATAAATGACTGCTAATTCATCATTCTTATTAAAAAAAGTGGACCTCTCTATATAATCTTTGATATATGATTTGAACTCATAAAAGGTTACATTTGTTTTTTCTAGAAAACTTTTGTATATACAATATTTCATAATAATGATTGCTAAATTCATTACATTATGCTCATCGTCTTTAGGTTTATGACCATATAAAATATCTTTGTCATGTAGTTTTACTTTATCATTAATTACAAATTTAGAAAATTCACTCCACATTTCTTTTGCTTTTTTACAATCAACAAACATATGTTTCAGGGTATGGATTTCATTGCAATACAAACATTTTTGTGTATCAGCTAATTTCATTTTAAACAATTTATCTTGACATATAAGTATATTATGGAGTATTTTAAATTGAAATATTTGTAATTTTGGATCTTTAGTAATTTTCTTTGCTTACATAAAATGTGATTGAATATCTTCTTCTTCAATAAATTGTTTTACTCTTTCGAGTGAAACAGGTATTTCAAAATTACTTTGTATCAAAGCATTATGTGCTTTTTTGCATGTGACATTTTCTACAGTGACATTACTCTTTCTTTCAACTCTAGCAATATTTGTAATTTGACCTCTTAAAATTTTTTTCCAAACCGCAGGTATTGCTGATTTTAAGCCATTAAAATCCATATCTTTGATTCTTAAATTATATTTTTCTTGTATAACATTCTTCTGTAAAAATTGACCATTTTCATCCACAATATGCTTTATTTTACAAATACCATGTTTGTACCAATCCTTATGAAAAACTGATTTATTTGCAATTAATATATTTTGATTGTTCCATATTATCTCTTCCTGGATTTCCTCTACTTCTTCTGGTTGACTGTTATCCTTTATTTTGTTCCAATCTTTTACAACATTCTTGTAAAATGGATAAATTTTAGTTAAATCTAAATGTTTAAAATCATAATTAGACTTAAAAAGGAGATCTTGTCCAAATTGTGATAGTAACATTCTTGGTATTGCTTTCCATGCACCATCTTCATCGTTGGATAATCTTTTAACCCAAACTGCTTTAAGCGCCTGGTCTAACAATTGGAATTCTGTCATTTTCAGGCCTCCGTCTTGAAGTTCACCAATTAACGTTTTTTTCTTAATCTTTGGAGTCTTATTTCCCCATACAAAATTCCATATAACATCATCAATTTCTTTAATATATTTCTCTGGGATTATTGATATTGCTGATATATTTGTTATTTGGGAAATTCCAATAGATTTTATCAAAAGTATTCTTCCTTGTAAACTTAAGTTTCTGTATGTCCACATATTTAGCTTATTCTTTATCTTTCTTATTTTATCTATAACATTGAATTCTAACTCAACATTTTGATCATATGAAAAACAATATCCCAGTGCTTTAGCTTGCCTAACATTTTGTATATCATTAAATGTTTCTGTGTTATTTTTTGACTGTCCAATCCACATTAATTCTGTTTTACTTTTATTAAGTTTTAATCCTGAACATATTTCAAATCTATCTAAAATATTTATAGTTTCTTGCACTGACTCTTTATCACTTAGGGTTGCTGTGATGTCATCAGCATATTGAACTGACTTTATTTCTAAGTCTTGCACTTTTATACCATGTATGTTTTTATTTCTTTGAATTTCTAGACTTAGTATTTCTATTATCATTATAAATAACATGCCAGAAAGTGGATCTCCTTGTCTTACTCCTCTACTGACTTTAAAAAATCCTGATGATTCTCCATTGTTAATAATACTGCTCTCAGAGTTTTTGTAAATACTTTTAAAATAATTAATAAAAATGTCTCCAAAACCAAAAGCTTCTAAAGTGTGTTCAATAAATTCCCATTCCACGGAATCGAACGCCTTATGAAAATCTAAAAACAGTAACAGCCCATTTTGTTTTGTATCATCCATATATTGCATTACATCTTTTATTAATCTAACATTTGTTCCCATGAATCTTTTCATTACATATCCCGTCTGGTTTGCACTAATTATATTTGGAAGTACCGATCTTAATCTTTGAGACAATATTTTGGTCAACAATTTATAATCATAATTAAGTAATGTTATTGGTCTCCAATTAGCTAAATTATATCTGTCTTTAGATTTTTTAGGGATTAAACTAATTATTCCTCTCCTTTGGCTACAACTTAATTCACCTTGTTGTAAAGAAAAATTAAAACATTCAACTAAATCCTTCTTTAATAGATCCCAAAATTCTAAATAAAATTCTGGTGGTAAACCATCACTTCCTGGTGACTTTCCTTTTTTAAAAGATCTTATACAAGTATGGCATTCTTCTATTGTTATTTCTTTATCACATATATCCTTATTATTTTCATTAATTTTTGGGATGTCATTGTGATCAAGAAAGTAATTACTTGCTTGTTTGATATCTTTTTCATCTTTCTTTCTGTAAGAAGATGTATATAAACTTTCATAAAAACTTTTTTCTGCTTCTAATATTTCTTCAGGTGCAGTGATCTCTCTTCCATTCTGTAATCTCAGCTTTGTTATAACTTTATTTGTACTGTTTGATTTTTCTAAATTAAAAAAGTATTTTGTAGATCTTTCTCCTTCCTCATACCATTTTGCACGGCTCCTTATCATGTGACCTTTTGTCTTTCTGTCTTGTATAACACCCAATCTTAACTTTAACCTGTTTAACTCATTTATATTATCTTGAGATGCATTTTTATCTACATTAACTTGAGCTTTATTTGTTTCTACTAATAATTTCTTCTCCTCGTCCCTTTGTTCTTTTGCTAACTTTTTTGAAAATTTTATACATTCTTGTCTAATTTTCATCTTTAGAAAGTCCCATTGTACTCTTTTATCTTCGTTTTTATTTTCATCATTTTGTATGTCTTCAATTTGTTTACGAAGATGTTCTTTAAATTCTAGATTATTCAATAAGGCTGTGTTTAGTTTCCATATCCCTGGGCCCCTTTTTCTATAGTCCTTTGATTGTATTTCAAGTTTAATTGCAAGATGGTCTGGAGAGGGTGCTGACTGTATATCTGTACTGCATAAATCTTCTAAATGATTTGAAGTGAAAAAATAATCAAGACGACATTGTATCTTAAATGATGGGTTGTGCCATGTATATCGTTGCTGGGTAGGGTGCTGTCTCCTCCATATATCTGTCAAACTGTTTCCTTGTAGAATATATTCTATTTCCTCGATTACTGTGCGTTTTTCCTGAACATCTTTTCCACCATTTTTGTCAATGGTTTGCATGCAACAATTAAAATCTCCTCCTAATATCAAATGATCATATTCTTGCTGCTGTATAATACCATTTATGTCTTTATAAAATGTTACCTGTTGTTTTGGATCATTAGGTGCATATAGATTAAGTAAACAATAAATTTCATTTTGAATCTTTATATTTATTAATAGGTATCTTCCAGTTTTATCATATATAACATCACATATGTCATAAACAAAATTTTGGGAAAACAGTACCATTACCCCTTTACTATGATTCGTTCCATGATTAAAATAACACTGACCATTCCATTCTGATTTCCATTTATCTTCTACATCTTTTACACTAAATGTTTCTTGCAGAAAACAAATATCTACACATTGATTTTTTAACCATCTGAAAATATTCATTCTTTTTCTAGCTTTATGTAACCCTCTTGCATTCAATGACATCATTTTAAACTTGTAACCCATGTTTTTTAGAAGTATGACTGATATTTACCTGCATTATGTTAATCTCTGTACAGACATTTTTCACATCATTCACACACATTCTTGAATTATCACACACAAACACAAACACACAAACAGAGTAGAAGAAAATAACAAACAATGAACTAATGAATTTATTTATTGTAATATATATACAGTTACTTTACTAAGGTCTCAGGATACTATTTATCCTGTGTATTGCAGTGTAAAATACAATTGAAAATTAAGAAGTCGGAAGATATATATCAAACCACGCAATTATAAGTTGATTTAAAACTGTATTGCATTGAAAATGTTCTACGATCTGGTATTTTGATGTCATTCATGTTTGATGCTTGCTTATAATCTTGAGGTCCTTGATTTACAAGTTAAGTGAGTTTACTCGCATTATAGCTTTCTCGCAAGAAAGCTATAATGCTTGCTTATTTTATCTTGCTTATTTTACGCGTTTCTAGAAGAACAATAGTTTGCTTCACTCTCTTTTGCAGATATCAATATCACCTTGTAGATAAAAATGATATTCCTCAAAATTATAGGATATCCTATAAATACATTAAGTTTGTGATGGAGGATATTATCTGTGATCTGGTAATTGGTTTAATTGAAACCCTTATAGCCAGATTTTACATTTTGTATTTTTGCAAATTCTTACAACTTCCAATAACTTAATAAATACTGTTTAGACTGACTTCAGTTTTTTTCTAAATCATTTACAAGTTCTCAGAAGCTCAAATCTGACTTTAGATTTGACATTCAATGACCTTCCCAAGGTAAAAAAAAGTCAAAAGATTTTTTTCAACTTGCTTCACATTGACCAATATTTTTTAGAAATCATCTACACATGTACAAGTTTTCAGAACTCAAAGCATTAAGCTCAAATCTGACTTTAGATTTGAGATTTGACCTTCAATGATCTGCTCAAGGTAAAAAAAGGTCGAAAAGGTCTTTGTTCAACTTCCTTCAAATTGACCTATTTTTCAAAATCTTCTACACATTTTCAGAAGTTCAAATCTGACTTGAGCAACTAGGTGGTGAAATTTTGTCAATGTTAATTCCTTGTATTCTTCATTGTAACGCTTATATTTTATATTGTAGACTACTAGTATCCACAAGGCCATCAACCAGCAGGAAACCCCAGTGAAGGAGAAACATGTCAGAAGTATCCTTTACAATAATCACATTATCCCTGTCATGTCATCGATAAGTACATCAACCTTGCCAGTGTTCATTCTATAGAAGTCTCAATATCTTGTGATTCCCTTATAGCCATGGGGAAGGTCGGTATAGAGGTTTGATGGAAGATTATCAATTATATAGAGGTTATTTAATGGGAGGTTTTTGATAAAGGTATTTCTGAGGGAAATACTATATATCTACCTGAGGGACTGTAGGGACCAAGGGTTGATATATTGTATTTGCTGAGGGATATACCCTGTATCAAAAATCGAGCATTCAATAACTGATTTATCCTATACTTAAAAGATTGTGAGAATTAACCTCTTGGCTACCCAGAGTGACGAGATTTCTCGTCACCTCAGAAATGACCTTGAAACCCAGAGTGACGAGATAATCGGTCACAAAATTGTTCACTAAAATTGCTCTTATTTGAACAATTTTTATCCAATTTACACAAAAATTGTTTTAAAATGTCTAGAAATGATCTCCCCCGTCTAATTTTTTTTTACTAAATTGAACATCATCTGTTGTATATGTATGTAGTAAAATGTCAAAAGCTGTCAAAAATGAAAACTTATCTGGTTTCAACCTATTTTAGAACCTGGGATTCAAGAGGTTAATAGGCTAGGCAAATGGAAGTTTAACATCCCAAAAATTGCAACAGTTTTTAAATTAGGCTTATATTGTATATTGATACCAGTTGAAAAACATATCAAAAATATAGAAAAATATATGCAGTGGACAAATATGAAATGTCACATTCCAGGTACCCCCCTCCAAATTTGAGTATGGGATTGTAAATATTTTTTTATTTCAAAATGGAATACTCTTGTCAATTAAACGAGTAATATTATGATAGTTTACTGACATAAGAGCAACTAAAAATTGTTTACCAACTATTTGAGTGCAATAATTGGCATTTCTAGCGCCAAATATCTGAAAATAGGCCATCAAATAGCCCGAATTTAATATAACAATGTATTTATTTCTGTATCAATCCATCAGAATTGCATGAAAAATATCAAGGAGGGTATTGTACACCTGAACATTGTCTTTGATAAGTATCAGGGTCATTAAGTGAATATTGAGCGTGAAAATAATATTTGAAATTTCAATATTTTACCACACCCACTTTTGGGGTGACCTTACTTTTGTTTAATTACTTCCAAGATATGTCATATTTGAACTCAAAAACACAACTAAATTATTTGTAAAGGCTTATTTTGTCCTGAAAACAGTTTTTTGAGGTTTTCAGGAAAGGATTATGTAAAAAAAAGGTAGAAAAACAGCAAATGCCAGGTGAAATATAGGGGAAGCCCTACTTTTAGTTGATAACTGTTAGATTATCAAATGTTTTTTCCTTTTAAATTCAATTTGATATATAATATACCTTTCCTGGTAAAACAGAGAACGGTTTGTTACAATCAGTGGTCAAAAGATGTCCTTGAAAAGGCAACAAAATGTTAAATATCCCTGTCCCTGACATCAGTTTATTAATATGAGCCAAAAAAGGTAACCCAACCAAATGTTTGTTAATAACCCAGTCATTCAGCATGGGTGTGACATCATATTTGGCACAATTACCTTGTTCAATGTTCTTTCATTCTACTAAGTGTCATTGATCTATCCTTAATAGTCACGATTTTATGGCCATTTACAAAATGTGCTCAAAATATCGAAATGTGCCTAACTAACTGGACATCAATACCACCAGTTTTTTTTATCTGTGGACCTTTTGTCGATACTAACAACACTTGAAACATTAAAACAAGAGATAAGAATGAAGATGAGTCATAACACATGATTTTTATGCTCCTGATTTGAACAACAACGCACGATACATTCAGGTTGGCCTCCAGGCATGACACCCATATTTCATGGCATGGTATAAAATGGCCATAAAATCATGACCACTAGAGACCACTGAGACTGGGTAGATTGATAATACATTGACCAAGACTCAATTCTGCCAAATATGACACTAAATCCATGCAGGATGATTGGACTGGATTATTAAGATTTGTTTGGGTTACCTTTTTGGCTCGCCCTGTATTAAGGAAAAATTGTTACTTTTGACTAAGGTGTTCTTAACCACACAGTGATATTGAGAAATGAAATGAAGAAGTTCAACTGAAGAATGTTCGATTTCAAGATGAAATTCAATAAAAAATGAGGAAAAGGTTTCTACATTAATAAATCCTCCTGAGTTAACTAGTGTAACGCAAAGTAAATCCCTGGTCTTTATACAGGGCCTGGTTCGATTCCCGGGTTCGATTATGTTATGTTCATTATCAAAAATGCTGCCTTAATTTTGTAATCTTAACCTTCATATATGTGTCTTACTTATAGAGAGCAAAAAAGAATGCTGATTAAATAAGCTTAATACTATTATCACGGTGTTATAGCATGACAGATACGACAAGGCAATTGGCCAAATTTTGCGGTAACGATAACAAAAAATGGCGGACGGGAAAGACAGCATGTCCTCTTTTTCGCCTGTAGGCAAGATTCACAGATAAGCTTTCCTTTTCAACTAGTTCCATTCGGTGATGCATATGTGAATGGTTATAAAGATTGAGTTAAATCTGTCGTGTGGTCTACAAGAAGCAGAATATAAGCTGTAAACCTACCCAGCTGAGATTTCGAAGTTCATAATTTTTAGTCATTTTTCGTGTTTTCTCAGTATATGTGCCTCAGAGCCACTCAAAATACTAACTGTACGTAAACTGTGTATAAACAAGCCATAAAATGACAAATGCAGAACAGAAATGTGGTAAATATTGTAGATAATAAGGTTTCAATCGCAAGGTCGTTAGACAGATACGTATGTATTGCATGCTTTTTTATGGACAGCAACGCATTGCATTAGTTTTACATTAGATGTTAGCGGACGGTTACATGCAAGTTCCTGTCAAGTCAAGGTCCCTATACTAGATGGATAGCTCTCTATGTGTGAACTGCCTATATTTGTTTTCAGGACTCGCAAGAGACGCTCTTGCTTGAGCCTCTATAGGGCAAGGAAAAAATAGCGAAAGCCAATGAAAGTGAAAATGATTGTAATGAAGAGGCAAAGGAAGAAATTAGTAACAACGAACAGGCGACGGAAGAAAACAACTCCAAATTAATTGATGATGTCATGAGTGACATTAGACATATATTACCATTATTACAAATCATATTCAGCTGTTTATGTCACCATCTTCATAATAGTACAATAACGTCACTATTTCACTATTTTGCCCGCAGAAATGACGTTATTACCATTATTACCACCGTTAATGCCCAGGGCTGAAATAGCAAATTTGAAATAGAAAATCTTACGCACTGAACGATATCACTTTTCCCGGGAAACATAGCCGGGTGGATAATATCATTATTGCCCGACTAAAGTCATTAACGCCCGACACAATATTGCTCACGTCAATATAGCAATTTAAATGCCTTCTCAACTAGTACTAAAACCCCTAGAACAGGCCCTGCAAGGTGGTAATAATACGATTTCATCTATTATAGCTTACAAAACTCAAATCCGGTTGAAAAACATTTCAATTTTGGATCACAAGCGATATGAAATGATTCGGTTTTACATATATGAACGAGGTTCGCGTAACTGTCTATCAATTTTTGGCGTATCCGCAAATTCAAAATACATTATTATGGCTTGGGTAGAACATATTAAGTGGTTTACAATGCTTAATTGGCTTTGTATGATCGTATGTAGGTTACATTTATATACACCAAGGTTGTTGCGCAATGTAGAGCATGCCCTAACGAGGAAAAGAAACAAATTACTAAATTTTATGAAGTTTTGAATTTCAAACTCGACAGTTTTTCGCTTATTTCATGTTATCCATGGGCGTCGATTTGCAAAGACTACGTTCAAAATAAACATTACTGAATGCATCACCGAATGCGACGCTTACATAAATCTTTCATGCTTTTATTGATACGCAGTAGTAGAACATAATGCACCTACCTTAGCTTTCTGTTTCATCGTGGCCATTTTATTGGATAAATCAGTGATCGTATTCGACTAACCTCGCTTTCAGAGGTGGCGTATCTGTCATGCTATAACACCGTGATTATGTTGTAACAACAATCAGTTACAACTTGTCTATCACCAGCCTTCATCAGGGGCTGATATGGGAACCAACAAGGGGGGGGGGGGCAAATGTCAGGTCTGAGAAAAAAACTTCCGCGGAAAAAATTTTGGGCCCCTAAAACTTGTGGGCCCAAATTTTGAAATATTGAAACCCATTTTCTTCAATTAAAAATAAGGCTTTAAAAGGCCCATTTATGACCAAAAAGGCCCACTTTTCGGGGCCTTAAAGTGTGCGCCAAAGTTTAAAACTGCGCAGGCGCACCGCTCTCGCTAAACTATATAAAGAGATTGCCCGGTACACGATTCAGAGGTAAGCCAGGAAGGCGAACGATCTTCGTCTCGTGATGATTTCCCATATAATCTTAACCAGGGAAGTTTCAACATTGAAATTGAAAATTACTATTAGATATACTTTGTAGATGTTATTTATGAAGCTATTTAGTGTTTGCATCAATCAAATGGCTCATTTTGAACATATAAAACGTATTTGTGTTTTGTTTCCCAGGGAATTGTATTGTATGTAGTACACACATAAATAGTGTACATTATACTTGAATAGCCTGGTTTACATAATATTGAAGGGCATGCTGATTACATGCACACGAGTACATGAATGAAGGCCTAATATTGATATACGTAGCTTGCATACCTAAATAAAAAATAAACTCTTCTAATCCCCTAATGTAAACACGGCGGTATACGTAGCCCGATTTATCGGGGACTTTAAGGCCTTTTTGGGTCCAATTTTTTTGTCTGGGCCCGCCCAAGGGGTTGGGAGGGGCCCAGATCTGCCAGTGTTCATTATTTAGTCATCATTATTCTCATGATCAGTAATGGAGGTATTTGTACAAATGCCTTTGCATACCTTACATGTCAAAGAACAGTTATTTCATTTTTCTACAAGAACATCTCATAGAAATACAATCTGCCTTACACACACAATGGATGATCTCTGAGAAAGGGGAGCTGCATTTAGGCAATTGGTACATAGTTTCGTTGCTTATTTCCCAGCCCAATTTTAATGGAGGCAGTTTATTTCCCTCCCACTCCTGGATCTGATGGTACACTCTGTAACTGTGGTATTCCGCAGCATCAGCAAATGGAGGAAGAACATGGGCCTAAGATAATTTAGGGTTTCACCATTTTTCCACCATAAATTGACAAAAGAGCAAAAATGTCAGAACATCGAAGGTTTGATTTTTCTTTTTTCTTTATTTCACATATTGTAGGCAGAATTCCCACAACATTGTTATCACAAACATGTATCAGTATTATATGTTTAAAAAAAGTACATATTTGCGAACAAATAGTTCAGAAGATAAGAATCTTCGATTTAATTCCTCACGACTTAAGTTACATAAACGGTATTTATATAAACAATTAAGATCTGCACCCAAACCGTTTATTTAACTTAAGTAAGGAATTAAATCAACAATTCTGTGAGAAAAAAACATCGCGGGGATTCTGCCTACAACGCGTGAAAAAAAAGGAAAAAAGAAATATCGTACTTTCGACGTTTAGACATTTTGTTACCGAAACGACAAGCGTAATCGAGCGGATCACCAGTGCTTTTGGTAATTTAAAAACAACCGCTTGTTTTCTCAAGAACTCACTTTTTTATCTGCCTCAATGATAGCCTCTTGTCTATGCCATATATAACCTGAATGCGATGTCACACCCCAGAAAAGAAACAAAATATTGTCACAGACCACTTTTCCCAAAGACAATCTTATTTCATTTATATTCCAACATTTTGTTTCTTGGGTTGCTGCTTTTGGTTCAGGTTTGAAGAAAATGTTGAAGTTTGTGTTTTGTGCATGATAAATGAGAAGCTCAAGGAGATCTGTATGAGTACTGTATTTGAGGTTTGGACACTTTGGATTGCAGTTTTCACAATCACAATATCTGCATCCGATTCTGAATGCAGCACATATACACTCAATGTTTTCCAACCTGACAGACAGAATTACCATCATTCCTATGCACTGAAATTATATTAATGAAAGACTCCCCAGATATCTGAGATTTTAATGTTCTCTGTCAGTTTAAATTCCGTTTAATAACCATAAATTCGTTTCTACAGCATTATACATCCAATTGATAGTTCCATAGTAATGTACTCTTATGTAATGATTTATTTATCTGATGAATTTAAATATATGCAAATTTTGTAATTGCGGATTGTAATTAATAATTTAAACAATATTAAATTCCACAAATACTACAACTTACATTATTTAGATAAGCCTAGTATAGAGCAGTTATCAAATACCCTAATATCAGAGTGGTGATATGTAATTATTCATCAAATAAAAGTGAGGTCACCTTAACATTTCACCTGGTACAACTAATAATTCCTATTTTTCATACTAATAAGGTATAAACCTTCACAAAACTTGTATTTTAGATGATGACAAGCCTATATAAATGATTTAGATGTCAACTCTAATACAAATGTGATGCATTGTGGGAGTAAATCATCAAAACTATAGTCTCCCCTATAGTGGGCGGGGCAAAACTATGAAAATGAAATAATTTTTTTCTTCCTAAGTATACACCTTAGAATTCTGACACTCACCAAATATGAAGTTCATATATATATGTAACACCATGATTTTTTTCATGCTTTTCTGACAAACTGATCCTAAAATATCTAAATAGATATGTGATAACATGCCTGTTTTGTGGCCTATTTTGTTATACTTTGGGGTCAAATGACCAATAACTGGTCTCAAAATTGATTAAAATAATATTTTAATTATTTGTGAATATGTGATCTATCATAATAAAGCTTGAATACTTGACTAAAGTATTCCATTTCGGAAGAAAAAATTGTTTCCTACCAATACTCAATTTTGGGGTAGGGTTGTAGGGGGTACCTAGGAAGTGAAATTTCATATTTGTCCACTGCATACATTTTTCTATATTTTTGATATGTTTTTCAACTGATATTAATACATAATATAAGACTAATTTAAAAACTGTTGCAATTTTTGGGATGTTTGGGCCTTTTATGAGCCCATTTGCTTGGCCTATAAATATGCATTGAATGTTAGGGAACCCTAATGTTGTAATTACAAACGATAATTACAATCAAAACATAAATATTTTATCTCAATTTAAAGTCAAATTTTTTTTTGTTTTTAAAACTCAACAGCTTTTAACATTTAACAGTGTATGAAATTAATAGAATAACAGAATATTTCTTATTGCATCATAGTTGAAAAAATAGTCTCTGATTCATTGTTTCCATGACGATGAATCACAATCCTTGCACTTAAAGAAAAAACATAAATCGTTGCAATTACTTTCCTCATTTTTTATTGCAAATCAAATATTTTCCATCAGTTGTGTTGATTTTAATATAATTTATTTTATTTATTTATTTGAGATATCACCCTGCCTGTCCCCTTACCCCCATCCTTCTACCATTACTCTATCAGTGGGGGATATAAAACACTACTACAGACACAACTGGAAGGTTGTCATCATTTATCATTATTAAACTATTTATTAAAATGCATGGTGATGAAACATAGTAACTTGAATATTATATGCAGACTATAGAGGGTTTATAAGAGTATTTTGTATTTGCAAGGTTACTTAATGATAATAGTCTGCTAATATTTCTTTCTTCTCACCCTTATTTCACTTACTTCTCTCTTCAATTTGAATAAAGTGTCTGATTTTCTTGCATTTCTGTACAATTAAGAATGTTAACTACATGTGTATTTATTTAATTTCATTCTAATTCCACTCTTTTTTAATTTATTTTGCATTTTAAAACACAACCCATGTGAAATTTTATCCACAGGAAGTCTGCTTATCAGAGCTGTGCTAAATAAACACTTATGATTCATTTCACTTTTTATAATGAATTCTTATCATGAATATCATGTACATAGCCCTGTGCAACACATGAATCAATAGATTTTTTTCATAGAAAATTAACCTGTGTACTCCAACAAGAGAACTTATTGATATTTTTGTATATAATTTAAACATTACATATTTTCATGTTATTGGCTCACACAGTGAGCCTATGGGATCGACCAGGCGTCCGTCCGTTGGTCCGTCCGTCCGTCCGTCCGTCCGTCCGTCAACATTGGCCGCACAAATTAAAACTGCTTTTCGGATTGAGTCATATCCACATTCATTTTATGCATATCCATAATGCCTCTTTGACCTATCATCGCCATTTCCCAAGTTCGCCCGGTTTCCGAGAAATTGCGGATTTTGACGTCAAAAAGTCAAATTTTCTGTAAATACTAGACACTTTGTTGAAGTAGAACTTTCAAATAACTTTTAGTAGTTGGTGTATATGCAACTTATATCCTCTGAAGATTTCAAAGCCCTTGAAAGTACGGTTTTTGGTGTTTACTCTATAAAATTTGAGAAAAGGTAGGACTGAGTCATTTTCAGGAAACTTTCTCATGTATAAAGTCAATGGCAGGTTTTGTGATTGACAAGATTCTTAAAGTTTGCCTTATACTTGATCATTTCCTGCAATAAATGACATCATTAATAGATTTAAGCATTCCCTACATATTTCTCAATATATGTCAGCATCAAATTTTTACTGTTTTTGAGATATTTGACATCAAAAAACAGTAAAAATAAGTTATTTTTCAACTTGCTTCAATTTGGAAAATCATCTACAAGTTGCCAGGAGTTCAAATCTGGCATTAGTTTTAGGATTTGACATTTACTTGACCTTCAGTGACCTTCGAAAGGTCAAAAAGTTGATTTTTCAAATTGATTTTGGATGTAAATTTTGGTCAGCTTAATCACAAAAGACCAACTATGCTATCTAAGTTTCTCAAAGTTCGAGACTAGAAATCCAAATCAATATTTTTGTTTGAAAGTCAGGATATAAATTCCTCTGAAGGTTCCAAACTGTGTGAGCACAGGACCGTGGGTCCTTCATTTTTATCTTGATTCCTCTGTTTTACACACTGAGCAATACAATAAATACAGGTATTGATATTGTAATGTATTTTTGTAAACCATACTTTTTTAAATGCCATAGACAGACTTTGGTGAAATGTGTTGTTAATGAGGGCATATGATGTGATGGTATCAATATGATGTCACAATAACACATGGGCATGGGGGGGGGGCACTGCTAATGTATAGCATGATATATTCACAGATCCACTATTTTCTTTTTACTTTTGGTTCCTTTTTGATCCTTTGAAAAAGCCCACATCTGTCTGAGTGTCTGTCCATCCATCCTTCACCCATTGATCTGTCAATAATTTAAAAAAGATAAAAACTGCCCTTCGTTTGAACTAATGCTTATATTCTACAGCGCTGGTCCTGGCTTGTATGTTTGCCTTTGTTACATGTGAGTCTAAGGGATGGAGTCATTTTTACATGCAACTGTAGAAAAAAAGAAAAATAAGGTAGAGACCATTAAGAGATTTTCATTGTCAGAAATGATCTTTGCTCTGCCATAACCCAATATTGTTTGAGTTTTACAGAAATTCATGACATATTCCTTAACCTTTACCCAGCTGCTGTCATTGGGACATTCACAGAGAAGGGAGCAAGTATGTTCTGGAGCGTCACTAGCAAGATGTCACTACAGGGTCATCCCATCACATGCTGGAAATTTTGTTGTGTCCTGCACAAGATTTTGCGCGATGGACATCACACGGTATATATAGTTTTCTTCATTTTCGACTTTTTAAACTATTTCTAATTCGAGCCATGTTATTTGCTTACTTTTTAAGAGAATCGCACTATTTATTCCTGATGGGGGGTGATATCGTCCTAAACATTGGTCCTCCTTAATTATGCAAAACATTTGAATAATTAATGAATATATAAATATTTGAATATTTTTGAAGAACAGTTATTTAAAAATGATAATGAGAAAATTAAGCAAGGGATCACTAGAATTGTAAACTGACTTTTCTGTGTGAGAACTCCAATTATCCCAGGAGTCAAAACATTCAAAATCTAAAATGCTTTTATCAAAACATGAAGCTGTAGTTTGAGGCTAGATTGCATCAATTAAAAGTTCAATTTGCCATAAACGCAGCATTTAATAAAAATTAATTATTGATTTCAGGCTGTTTGTATCATTTGACAACTGTACTTTTTTCATTGTTAGCCCATGAGTAAAATATCATATTACCCTCAAATGAAATGTGAAAGTGGCCATGTTTTTATTTTCTCTAAAATTGTACAATGAAGAGAGAATTAAATTGGACTGGAAGATAAAAAATTTCATCTTGGATGGGGAGCAACTTTGAGACATATTTTATGATATCGGTATGCAAGTAAAATGTCTAATTAAACTTGCCAGATTAATCAATTCGTCATTTTGCTTGACTCAAAAAACAAGTGATGCAATGATGGCATCTACTTACCTTTACTCTATTACACTTTCCTTTATGTTAAGCAAAGAAAAGGTTTGATAATAGAACAGAATGCTAGTATATAAAATTATTCTATAAAATGGTAATTTCAATGGGAAAAATTTTCAAAACAGCACAAATGATCAATCTAAATTGAGGAAATGAAACCTAAGAGGCTGTAGAATAATGAATAGAAATGACAGGAAATCAGGTACTTACATTCAGGGAATTGATTGAAATTACAGTAAAACCTGTCTTAGTGAACACCTGTATCTAGTAAACACCTGTTTTAGTGAACACCTGTCTCGAGTGAACACCTATGTGGAGACACACACTGTCCAAGTGGACACCTGTCTCTAGTACAGTGGACACCTTTCTCAATGCATCCACTACTGACTTAGACTGTTAAAATCACCCTCTCTGTAGTGGACACCTGTCTCTAGTAGACGCCCCTCCTCTGCACATACTCTACTGATTTCTGTATGAATTATAGTACCCTCTCTGTAGTGTACACCTGCCAACATTGAACATTTTTTTTCTCTGCAAAAAATGTTCAATATTCACAAGTTTTACTGTATATATTAAAAACAGTCCATATTTTATGCCTATAAATTACACCATTCTTTAGGGATTCTGATGGTTTTTATATCATCGGCAATAATTGTAATATTTCTAAACTATTTTTGCAATATTTCTATACTACAATCGCAATGTTTCTATGCAGATATGAATTAAATGCTTTATAACTGGGTTGAGTATTGTGATATAATGATATTGTTATATTATCTTCAATGAAGTGTTTTATGATTAACTATTGTCTCCAATAAAACAGAACTCTAATCCTCTTTCATCTTTCATCAAGTCCTTGGGGATGTTTAAGTTGGCACATTATATTTAGCATGGAAATCCTTTCGCTCCCAACATTTTCACAATCTTTTTAGCGACTCTTTTTCTGAATAGAAGTGAATTACAGTTAAGTAAAAAATAGTGTAATTCACTTAAAAAAAGAAGTTGCTATAAAGATCATTTTTATATAGATGATAAAAAGTGTTTCTTTTGCAAGAAAAAATTATTCTTGCATTGTCATTTGAATTTGTTAATGATCCAAAAATCAATTCAACATACAAATTCAGTCTTTTCTGTTGACGTCCATAATAGGAGGAAGTATGCCTCAAATTTAGATTTTGTCATATACAATTTGTCTTTAGCTTTTTGCAAAGAATGTATATACACCATAGCATTGTACATATACTCATGTTCTGTTCCAATTAGTTGCCATATCTTATATTAAATTTATTTTCCAGGCCATGATAGACTCTCAGAAATATTCATCTCACATTACAGACCTTGGAAAACTATGGGTGAGTAAGAATTTTACAATGTGAGTATGAATGTATCATTTTTGAAGAAAGTGTAGAAAGCTATCTTTTCAAAAATCAGTCCAATATTTTTCTTGAAATCCTGAATTTATAAATCTGAAAAAGTCTAACAAATGGTTGGTATCTGTAACAAATGGTAGGTGGTGATATTTTGCATGTTAATGCTTTGTTTAAAACTTACTCTCAACTTGTCTCTATCCCCTTTAGTCCCTTTGTAATGATATTTTGTTTCCCATCTCATTAAACATATATATTTGATTTCTCTTATTCTAGGGTCATCTTAAGGAAGGATATGGAAAGTTAATACGGAGTTACACAAAACTTCTCGTCCAAAAGCTGGCTTTCCATAGAAAGGTAAGTGCCAAATATGGCTTAAATGGCTGAACTGTGTTGAGAAGAGCTTGTCAAATACAATATTCTATATATCTATAGTTTAAAGAAAGATATACATTACTTATGTTCTTCACTTTCATTTCTGGATGGATACTCGTCAATACAAAATCAATTAAGTTGCTCAATATTTTCTTGGTTTTGAAAACCCAAAAAACTGAATTTGAGCTGCCTCTTTTGATAAGACTTTACAGTGTTCATAAAGGGGACAATATTATCATCAGAATTTCATTTTTCTTTTCTGTGCATTTCAAGAACTTTCATGGATGTTCATTGGAATAAAAATCCAGAACTGAATCAAGTTTTGCATGCTGGGTAATTTTAAGGAATCCATTTTTGTTGATACTTAGGTTCTCTCTTGTTTAACCTTTTGCCTTGTTACATGTAAACAACTAACCTCTTTTGCATTTCTTACAGAATCCAGAAATTCCTGGAAACTTGGTGCTAACTGAAGAAGAACTGGAAAAAATCACAAGATTTGATGTCAATCTCTAGTAAGTACAGATGTAAAGCATACCTCATAAAATGAATTATTTTCACCCAAGGTTTATGGTCTCCCACTTACTGGGCCTTACTGGCCCCAATCATTTTTAGAAAATAGGCATAACATGGAACGTTGAGAGCATAAAAACATAATTATAGTGATAGTGACTTATTTGTAACTACATCACTTATAAATATGAATTTATAGACAATCAGGGGATGGAGATCAACTATATTTACCACTGACAGTATTAAGAGGTTTTTATGTTTACTCTCTCAGTGTATTTCTATTTTATAACATAATAATATTCATATATACATGTATGAAGAACTAACTGTTTATGTTATGTTTCAGTTTTGAACTGAGTGTGGACATGCTGGATTACATGGATGGTCTACTAATGCTTGCTGCAGCGGGTGAGTGCAGAAAATGTCACAGAATGTTCAACAATTTAAACTATAAATCCATTAAAAATATTTATCTTAGATAAGATTGAATATTGAAGAAGATATGGTTGCCATAGTAATAGTGAAAACTCACATTAAAAATGTTGAACAATAGAATAAATAAATCAAATAAAAAGCCCTCATTTATGAATTTCAGTGTTTGAATCTCTTGATATGTCACGTGCCAATTCTATGACAGCAAGTGGGTAGTGTCACCTCGCTGCGCTGATTCCATGTATACATGTAAATAAAAAGCCCTCATTTATGAATTTCAGTGTTTGGATCTCTTGATATGTCACGTGCCAATTCCATGACAGCTAGTGGACAGTGTCGCCTCGCTGCGCTGATTCCATGTATACATGTAAATAAAAAGCCCTCATTTATGAATTTCAGTGTTTGGATCTCTTGATATGTCACGTGCCAATTCCATGACAGCTAGTGGACAGTGTCGCCTCGCTGCGCTGATCCCATGTATACATGACAGCTGCCATCTGTATGACCATCTTGTGAAGCTGCTTTTCAGACTTCATTCAAGTAAGTTTTGCTGTCTATTGCATTATGGGATATTTGACATTGCATTATGGGATACATATGTATTTTCAATTTTATGGTCATATTTCAATAGTATATAAAGTAGTGAAAGAGATGAGTTGAAATTGGACCCCCTTTATCAGTTCTGATGAATTTGGACATGCATTTTGCATCTTACTTGAATTTCCGAACATACAATTAGGAAAACTTATGTGTATGTTTTGAAAAGATTGCTTTCAACATATTTCAAAACTTTTGTATGTAATTCAAGAAGTAGAATGTAATTTCATATTCAGATTTATGATAAGGTTTTCTGAAATATATAGTATGAAACAAAAAATGAGGATGACTTTCTGAATCCTGGTGATTACATTCGTCCAAGTGTTGCATAGTTTTAAAAGAAATAAAGGCCGTCCATAGTTTAACAGTTAAATACTATATATTGAGGCAAAATATGTGGATGTGGATGTCATAAATACTGTTTACATAAAATGATTCTGTCATCATATATACTTATTTGTCACTCAGTGTATTTTAAACAAGGTAATGTACAGGATTTATTATTAATTTACTGGTGAAGGTTTACATTCTACATTTTGTCATATTGAAATAGAAAGATAGTACTGACTAGTTTGATGCAGTATTTCAAACATTTTCTATTCTTGGTTGTTGTTGTTGGGTGGATTAGATAGTGATTTACATTCCATTTAAATGCCATTATGAAAAAAGTGGGTTTGCTTATTGAATTCAAATAAATATAACTTAGGATTAATGAACGCTTACTTTGTTTTATTCTCCAATTTTCAACCCACATTTCTACTATATCTAGTAGTAGTACATGACTGTATATTTAGGAATTCCATGGTTACGGTAGAATTAGTGATCTGGGGTCTACTTTTATTGTTGTTACCATGGAAACCATAGTATTCTTATTATTATTATAGAACATTCAACTAAAATGATTATTAATAATATTTGATTTACACAGCCATTATCTCCCAGTTTTACACAAGGGTTTGCAATTCACATCTTACTCAAAATCGCAGCATTGCCCTATTGTATCAAGCATGTGTAATAGTGAATATTTTGTCTTGTGAACTGTCAAATCCATTATAATTATTTTAATATTGCATGTATATTTTTAGGTCTTCCCCCAGACACGCTAGTCGGACACAGAGACAGATTTCATGCACAATTTAAAGGGTAAGGAATTACTTTTGATGGAAACTTTTTCAACATTCTCTTATGTGTCAACAGTAAATAAATTTTGCTGCATTATGGAAATAGCATTTCCAAAAGAGGTGACATATTGTTATATTCTCCAATTTTTTGCGAAAATGTTCAGTGGTTGGTGTTCGGCATTTTTGGAGTTTGGCATCTGTAACAAATGGTAGGTGGTGACAATGCAGTTTTACAGGTATTATTGGATATTTGACTGCATTATGGGATACAAATTTATGACATTGCATTATGGGATATATTCCAGGCTAAAGCAGTTCTACCACAGTTCACACAATCTCCAATACTTTAAGAATCTTATCCAAGTGCCATCATTACCTGATGTAAGTACAAATCTCACCTAAAAAGCATATTAGCATTTCTTATATTTGTTCCCTGGTAAGATTTGACAGAACTTTGCATTCAAACTTCAGACAATTTCCTGCAAAAAATAGTCAACTGAGAGTTAATGAACTGATTTTGATTTAGATAATCAAGTTCTCCAAGAATTTGCAGCTCTGTAAAAAGAGAGATACAGGGTGATCCACAAATGCCACCCACTAATTTTGGAATAACTCTCTCCATAATTAAGGAATCTTCATGATTTTTTATGTGTAGATAGATCGTTCAATGGAGAAAAGATTGCTATGCTTGGGTAGCATCGACAACTTGTAAATTAAGAGATATCTCATTTTCCATGAAGGCATTCTCTGACGCAAAATCACTCAAAATTGTAAATTAGAATTTTTTTTAACGTTTACCTAATAAGCAAGTCAGTTCATCAAATTTGACAAGATTATTTAAGATAATGAATAGACATGACATATAATTGATATTATGTGTGAAAGCAATCCAAAAATGACTCAAATAATGGCAGAAATCTCAATTTCAGAAAATCGTATTTTTGAACATTTTTTGATGAATTCACCGAGAGTATGTCTGGACGGAAAGTGTGATATCTCTAAATCTGAAAGTCTATCCAAGTACAACAATCTTTGTTCCATTGAACACTCTATCTACAAAAAAGAAATCATGTAGATTCCTTAATTACTGTATAAGTGGTATTTAATCCGAGTGGTTAATTTTCCGAATGGTCAAATTTCATCATTTTCCTAATTTTAATTTTCCTAATGACAAGAAACCTCCCATTGGATAACATTATAAAGACAATATTTCCGACATTTAATTTTCCGAACCTGGCAAAAATTAGGAAATAGGCAAATTAAATGATTAGGCAAAATTACCACTTATACAGTATTGAGAGAGATATTCCAAGATTAGTAGGTGACATTTTTTGGGTGACCCTGTATATTCATTCTCAAGTGACAACAATTTGAAATACAAACTGCATTAAAATGTAATGAACATTTCAGAAATTCCACTCACTACTTCAGCCATGTCCACATATTTGCAAAATATGATAGAATTAGAATGTATTTCAGGAACCACCAAATTTCCTGGTTGCATCAGATTACAGCATGTACGAGCGTCCAGTTGTGACCGTGCCTGACCCCGAGCCTGAACCAGAGATAGAGACACCTGAGGTAGAGGCTCGTGAAGGAACACTGATAGACACATCAACTCCGGTAAATTCTTTTCAGCCAAATCTCCATAACTACTGCAGGGTGGCTTCATCTCTAATCACCTAGGTGCCAGTTATCAATTTCATCCCCTGGTTGCTAGCTCAGGCCAGATAACACTGCCAACAAGCAAAATGCTTCCCTAAAAAATAGATTCATTGGACCAATTTTCATCTTAATGGACCAACTTATTACCAGGAGTTCAAACGAAAAACAAGGCAAATTCACCAAATTTGCCAAATTAAATACTTCAAATTAGTGACAAAAGCTCATCTATTTGAGTTAATGAAATGAAGTTTTGTTAAACTCTCATTGGCCATGAGTCACCAGTACACAAACATAATTATTAATACATCATTAACAGTGCTCTTATATTTCCTTTAGGATTTGTTTTCCAATGGGGCTCCATCCCCCTCTCCTCCGCCCCCTCCCACGCCAGATGACAGGGACCTGATCATAGAGAGGTTGATGAGGCAGGTCCAAGCCCTTCAGGCTGAACTTGAGAAAGTAAAACAGGAGGTAAGTACAGTTTCTGATGCATTGTTGAATTAGGAAGGATTGGCTCCCAGAATGCAACATCGATATTCTGTCCCTTATATGGTATGGTGACCTTTAAACTTATTTTCACGTGACAGGTTCCAGAAATGTCACATGTAAATAAGGTTAAAGGTCAACATTCCATATATGGGACAGAATTTCGACTTTGCACTCTGGGAGCCAAAACATCCTTGTTGTTGAATTAAGGATTTAAGCCTGGACATTGCCCTGCATTGTGTGCTGAATCATTCCATTGAAGGTGTTGTTTCCAAATCTTTGCATGACCTCACAGCGGGAATATAAAGATTTGAAAACAATGCCTGAGTGGAATGAAGCAGCCACAATGCATTGAGTCTTGAGGTTTAATTCTTTTCGCACTTGCAAAATATTTTTTACAAAATCACCTCGTCACAAAATCACTAAAATAACATATTTTCAATGAAACTTTTTGCAAGGGTCAAGTAGGCAAAGTATCAATTTCAATCTGGAGAGTCAAGTTGTCACCCTGCCAACTATTTAACAAGTGACCTTCAATGCGGTGATTGGTGATATGATAGGATTGGCTGGAATTGGACACACCTTGCCTCGCTATGTGTGAATATTTCACAATCCAATATTTCAATGCTTTTTGTAATATTTTACAATGCATTATGGGATATCTTTCAATGCATTTGGGATAATTTGAAAGTGCACCTAGTGAAATATTATTTCAAACATAATGAAAACATGACCTTGATTTACAATCGTGTTATGTGAAGTATTGTACTGTATAGATGGGATATTTCCCTATGCATTATGAGTATTTTCCAATGCTTCGTGGGATATTGTGACCAGCCTCACGACATGACTGCATAAATATTAAAAATACCGGTATATATAATTAGACAGCATGACATTCTGAGATTATTGCCAAAAACCAAACTGTGATATTGGCAATTAAATAGTAATTTTTGCATAGATTTATCTTCCATTAATATGCCATGTTTTAAAATGTACAATTGGTGTACCAAAGAGTGCAAATTTGACAGCTTTTAAGAATAAACACAAACAGATTTCATTGTTGTTATATTTGATGTAAACCTGAACATAATGGTTCTTAAAAAGATTATATTTAAAAAAAAATCTACAAAAAATACATTTTTTCCAAGGGAAATCTTGACCATGAAATTGATATAGAATTTGCCAAGATTAAGGTTAGATACATAAAACATTTCACTTCATACTGTATGTGTATATGTACATATAACAGCTAAAATGACATCCATCAGCACAAGGATTATTGCAAAGGTAAAAAATCACGCTTGGTCAGGTTTTGAATCTTAGATTAAATTGGCAAGGAGTGGAATAAGCAAGGAATAAAGAGAAAATGCATGACAGAAACTACTGTACTATAAAATGCTTCAAGGAGGCAATGTCTTCTATGCATTAAATTATATTTTACGTCTGCTGCATGAAATTGCATTATGGGATATATTGTAGAGGCTTTCTCAAAAAGAGAACCTAAAGAGAAATTATTTGTATTTTGATGTAAATTTCCAATAACATTATGTGCTATTATGTTTGTCACTTTGGATATTTTACAGGGTCAGTAATTGTCACTTGGGGTATTTTCAGGATCAATATTGTCTTTTGGGGTATTTTCAGGATCAGGAGATCATCCGGCATTTGCAGGAGAGACTGGCCCAACTAGAGACAGAGCTTAATGATATGCGCCAAATAGCACAACAGTCAAATGAGGTAATTCTTACGCAATATAGAATATGCTTGCGCCAAATTAGATGCTGAATAGATGGCTGAGTCGCAGAATAACAAAAATATTGGCATTTAGGGTATGGCGGGTGTATGAGTTTCTTAGCAAATAATGTTCAAAATGTCAACTAGGCGTACCTTAAAACAAGAAAATAGAGGAATTAAGTACCGTATTAAGATATTGAAGGAAAGGGGAGTTGGATAAGGAGGAAAATAGGGGCACTGAGAAATATAACATAAGCATTTGTATTTTAGTCTTCATACAACTTTTCAGGAAAATGAGGCTCTGAGGGGAGAATTAAGACAAAGCAGTCAAAATGCTGAGGCAGCCATCCAACTAATTGAGGCTCAAAGTGAGTGAAAAAATGGTTGACTTCCTGTTTAATGTGATATTTTTGAGATGATCAGTGACAGTATCATATGAATGATCACAAAATTATGATGAATGATCACAAAATTATGATGAATGATCACAAAATTATGATGAGTGATCACAAAATTTTGATGAATGATCACAAAATTATGATGAATGATCACAAAATTATGATGGATGATCACAAAATTATGACTATGATGTTTATGGAAATATATATTCTTGTCTCGAGGTAGATTAATAAAAATAATACTATCCTAATTAGGCAAATACTCCGAGAAACAAGACTCAATGATTCATATTTCATTTGGATGGAGGAGTTAAGATATTCCTTTGCCTAAATGTTGTTTAATTTATTTCCATGGTTTATGTTTTATTTTGCAGAGAACTCCAAAATTGCAGATGATAAATTCAAGAAGATGAAAGATATTTATAGTAAGCTTCGGGAAGAACATGTGGCACTCTTACGTTCCGTAAGTATTTCCCATACTTTTCAATGTGATATTTCAGTCAAAAATTGATATATTGCAACAATTAATATAACACTTGACTATGATTTTTACATATTTGAAATAAATACAATTTGATATTGGCTAGAACAAAAAAAGTATTTCTCAAAATTTTTAATCTACAACAATAATCTGAAAAATGCTAAAAAGCCAATTTAAAGCAGATATATACAACAGAGGGGTTGCTTTTAATTCCTTTTATTTATTCAAAATATTTTGTATGGTATTCGAAATTATATCTTTCAGATATAGCATATTTTGTAAAATTATTTAACGTCATAACTCTAATATTATATACATGCCCTTACAAATTACATTTGGAAATGAGAGGTACATACCAATGAGTTAATGTTTTCTTTGTTATCTCCAGCACGCAGATGTAACAAGACAGCTGGCTTCAGAGAGAAATGCAGTGAAAGAGCAAGAACAACAGTCTCAGGTATTTATATATAGTGTAGTGTACAATATGTGTTGCTGAAATATCTGTAGGTTAAATTTTAAGATAGGATGAAACTATGGCAATAGCAAGAATCAAAGGTATACAGACTTGTATCTGTAGACAAAACTCTAAATTATAAAGAAATGGCAGGAAATCTGACAGGGTGGTCATAGTTTTTAAATGCAAACTAGAGTGGAAATGAATGAAATCAGCAAGGAATCAAATAAACAGACATGTGATCGACATTTTATAGAAATGCCAGAAAATCAAGGAATTCAGATTCTATAGAGAAATTATGTGGAAAAACTGAGTTTACAGTTATTGTATACCCAACCTTTGATATTGTGAAATCATTATTTTGTATCATTCATTTACAAAAGATTATGTGATTATTGAATCAAGTGAAGTAAAAGATCTTTGTGGAACATTCACATAGGTTTTGTATTTGCAATATTTAGCCACATTTCTACATCAAGCATTGTGACTGAAAAAGTACATGTAAACATCCATTTCAGAACCAGCAACACATGAGGGTGAGAAAGCATGAATAGATTAGTGTATGAAAAATTATATAGTACATGTACAGCAAATATAAGACCTGCACGCCTTAATTCATGAACTGTAATATCTGTGATATCTCTGATGTGCTACCCTCTAGGTCCATTTCCTGTTTTCAAATATCCCATATTTTACAAGATTTTCAGAATTCATGACACATGACCATTTCCAAATCCATGACACACTACCAATTCCAAATCCATGACACACTACCATCTCCAAATCCATGACACACTGCCCATAACCAAATCCATGACACACTACCATCTGATCTCCAAATCCATGACACACTACCAACTCCAAATCCATGACACACTACCATCTCCAAATCCATGACACACTACCAACTCCCTATCCATGACACACTACCATCTCCAAATCTATGACACACTACCCATAACCAAATCCATGCCACACTACCTTCTTCAAAATGACACACTGCCAACTCCAAATCCATGGCACTTCGATTCATTGACCAGTTGACACTATCTAATTCACTTCAAATATATTGCTACCTACCCAATCAAAATCCACAACCAGCTTCAAATGTTATGCCACACTACCAACTCTAAATCCTTGACACCACATCTTCTTCAAATTCATGACACACCACCTTCTCAAATTAATGACACACCACCAACTCCAAATCCATGGCACTTCAATTCCTTGACACTTTTTAATTCACTTCAAATATATTGCTACCTTCCCAATCAAAATCCACAACAAGCTTCAAATATTGTGGCACACTACCAGCTCCAAATTGTTGACATACTACCAGTTCTAAATAAACAACATTATCCACTTCTAATTTTTGATATCCAGAATGCATTACCAACTTGACACAATATCTTTCCATCCCATATAGAAATTTCATGACAGAACAAAAAGTGCCACGGCATGATATTCTCCATATAATATTAATATATGAGAAAATATAGCACTTTCTATGTGATAGTATAACATAATATACATTTTATATGTGATAGTATAACATAATATACATTTGATATGTGATAGTATTAACATAATACATGTAGTGATTATAGTCAGTCTAGTGATAAAAACTAAATGCATGAACTGCAAACAATGAAGATATGAATGAGAAATGAAGGTCTCAATCTGTGTTTGAGTCGATATGATATGGAATAATATGTAATGATATACACTATATACTTGTAATGGATGACCCTATTGTTTGTGGTCTGAATGATATACAAAGTTTTATCCTTGAAAATGATATGATAAGTGACTAAGGAAGCACAATTATCCTATGCCAAGTAGAGTTTTAGGGAGATAAGTTGGTAAGATATATCCCGTATGCTTCGAAAAAAAATTTGAAAAAAATAAGAAAAATTGAAAAAAAGAAAAAAAATTGAAAAAAATTGAAAAATGTGAAAAAAAATTGAAAAAATAAAGAAAAATTGAAAGAAAATTAGAAAACTCTACTTGGTATAGGATAAAGTAGTTATGTATGGTCGGTTTGGATATTGGGTTCATCCCTCGTGAGATATGCACATCTACCTTCGGTCCCTACGGTCCCTCAGGTAGATATGCATATCTCCCTCTGGATATACCCCATATCCAAAACCTCCCAGTACATAACCCTTATTTATTCATGTGATTTCAGTATTTTTTAAGTATTAAGACAATCAAATAATTCAATCGTAAATAATTTTGAAATGTTGCTGAAAAATAGTCTGACTCGATCATCGATTGTGACATAATCCAATATATAGCTCGTTGTCAAATCTTTCATTTAACCAAAATAATAGGATTTTATTTTTATTTTTAGGATATTGAAGAGAAGTTGAGACAGGTAGAGAGAGAAAAATCATTGATGTCAGAAAATTTACAAAAGAGTGCAGATGACTCAGCATCGCAACTGGCACTCACCATGGCAACCAATGAGGCCTTAGAACGAAGCAAAGAGGTACAATTATCTCTTTATTACATTCAAATTATATTCTGCCTTATATCAAAAGTACAAATACATGACTGAACAGAACAAAATTGATATTTTACTTGAATCCAATTGTAAATAAAAATGATAGTTTGTTCTTCGTTTTCATTGTATTTGAAAAGTCCTTACATGCATTGTCATTGTCCCTGGCATGTGCACGTACCACAAGATTTCTTAATATCAAGATAACAAGAAAACGTTTCATCCACTTATCTTTTTTAAGAGATTCAAAAGCAGACTAGTGCCAATATTTGGTTTTAAGAACTTTCTTAACCCATTGTTTACCAATTGAAACCATGACAACCAAAATCAATAGCAATAAAATTGCAATAAATTTGACTTTGATCATAAGAATTTCACACTTGTCTCAATGGCTATTTTAACATAAAAGTAGATGTTTCACAATTTAATTTCAGGAATTGGAAAAGAAAATTGAGAGTTTGGGGAAGACAATAGAAAACTTAGAATCAGCTTTAAAAAATTCAGAAGGAGATGTAACTTCAAGAGCAGCTGATATACTGGCCATGCAGAAAAAATTAGAAGACAGTGAAAATGAAAGACTGCAAATGGAAGCAGCGAATAAGGCCTTAGAACAGAAAAAGGAGGTAAACATTGTGGGATCGCATTTAATGTCAGACATTCTGGGTTATTTCACCAAATGATATGGTCATATGGAAAACAAATATGACCTTCTTCATCATATCTTAAAACTGTTTTAGTGTATCCAAAAAATGTTTTGGATTAATTCAAAAAGGGAAAATGGTAGCAAATTTTGATTAACGTTTTGAGTTGAATATTTGTCATCACATTTTCACATTTCTATTACAGGAGATTGAAAAGATACTAGAGGACACAAAAAAGACAGTTGAGGATCTTGAATCATCCTTAAAACAGTCCCAAGAAGATACATCTTTAAAAGCAGCTGATATACTTGCCCTACAAAAGAAATTAGAAGAAAATGAAAGTGAAAGACTGAAGGCAGAAGCTTTACTACGCAAACAATTATCTGATGAAAATCATCAATTTTTAGGTAAATTTTACTTGTTCTTGATGTAAAATGTTAACTTAGTCTTAGTTGTTATTGTTCTGTACCACAGAGAAGTGGTGACATAGTGTTAAAGCCACTTGTTTTTTGCCCAGCATCCAGTGATGATGTACAATGTCAGCATTCAACATCTGTGATCAATGGTTGCAATAGTCCAACTATTCTTTATAGGTGTTACAAAAACTTAACAGAGGGCCATTTACATCACCTCTGTCCATTGTTATCCTACTATAACATCATCATATCCATGGTTGCATCAACTGATTGAGGAATATTGCCATGACTAATGATTAATACAATCTGAAATAAACAATTATTGATACTCCTTGAGAATTTTATAACATGTCTTTAGATATCAATGTACTTGTATGTCCCTTGGAGAATAATGAAATTATGTCGTCATGCATTTCATAATATCAAATCTTTTTTTCAGTAACTGCCATAGAGGAGGGGGAGAGTATAATAAAAGACTCCTTGTCAGAGTTTGAGAACCCAACACATGATTCAGTCACATGTACTGCAGGTGAATACATCTACAATAATAATTGAAGTTTTAAAGATCATTAAAGTTATTACAGGAGAATTGAAATCCATGCAAACATGGGTCTGTTATCTTGGAAAATATGATAGTCCTTAAACGCCAAAGATTTGAAAATTGTGCGCCTGATTGCGATGAATATTTCATTGCGGCTATTGTTATCATGTGATTAGACTTTCTACTTGCTCAATTGAAAGATAAGCCTGAATTTGTATTTCTTTAATTTGTTTTTAGAGTATCTCCTTCATAGGGTAGAGCCACTGTTAACATGTCTAGATACGCTTCAAACACAAACAAACACATACACAACAGACCCTAATAGTAAGTATACTGAATATTTGTGAACTAACTCCCTGGCACTGGTGTGAGATGGTATGAAAATTAAATTTAATCCTGTTGATCTCTACAAGCCATGAATGCTTTTTACAGCCGATGAACGCTACTGACTGTATTTCTACCTTTTGCACCAACCATTTCATTTTGTACCATTATGTATCATGAATTAAGTCCCATCTACAATGTTCACTCTCTAGTATGGTAATTAAAAAAGTCAACCTTGAGTTTTCTATCTATTAACCATTAAAGGTATTGTGATATATATTTACTGTTTGTTTTTCATTTTTGAAATGCATTTGAATGACATTTTTAGGTGTTCATGATCTAGTAAAGATTGTATGTGAGTTTAGCCACAGAATGGGGGACAGTATAATAAATGGCAAAGCAACCTCACATGTTGCTCCCATTGAACAGGGAGAAGGTGAGTCCAACATTCATGTATTTGATCTTGCTTAGGGAGGGCAGACTTTTCTCAGAGGGATGTCATTTTAAGATTTTTATTTTCAAGTAGACTGGAAGTAATCGGAATATGGAAAACTGAATATAATACTGTATAATGTAATAAACAGCTTATTTGCTCTAACACAATTGAAAAGTGAAGATCACTGCTGGGCTTGAGCACTCCTACCATCTGGTGGGTCTTGAGAGAACAAATGCATCTTAAATATATCAATCTTTATTTGAAGCATATATATATATACATGTAAAAGTTGTCCACTCCTCACTGGGATTTGTTTACTTCCAGAGCTGGCCAAGACTTGTAAACAATCAGGAGATGACAGTCTTGCACTGCTCAATACATTAAAGGAAGGTTAGTACAATATGTGTCAAAAATAGGAATTGCTGGAGATCCATGAAATATTGGCCTTGAAAAAAGTGTCAGTTTTGGCATGAGAAAGCCCAGAAACTGATGTATTTTTTGAATATACAAAATTAAAACTAATATTCTAGAACATAAGATATATAAACTTTGAAGATAACTGTTGCCTTGATGATAAGTTGATAACAGAGATGTTGAATATAATACAGGCCTTGCAATAGCAAATTAATGTATGCTTTCAAAACTATATCAGCTCCTTGTAAATAATTTATGCACTAAATAGGGGAGGTGAAAGGACAGGATATATCAAAATTGAGAGATATCGTAATTAGCAATCTGAGTAACTGAAATATTTGCAGGAAACTATGACAAAGTAGATGGAAAGATTACAGATCTGAAGACCTTACTGCAGGGAATTATAACCCAAGCTGAGGATCTTGTCCCTAAGGTTGAAGATGTCAAAGCTGAACAGATGGGTGACCTTGTTGAACAAGAGATGCAGTCAACCACTGATGCCATTGAGGCCGCAGCTAAGAAAATGGCTGTATGTTTTTTTTAATTACTTGTATTTGAAAATTGTTATAACTTGGTATTCATATGAATTCTTGGAGCATGGTCTTCTAAAATCTTTATATATGGATTTCAATAATTCTTCCATCTTTGGAAATCAAAAACCTTTGTTTATAGTGTAAAATGTATTTTCAGTATATTTCTCAAATTCCCTTCTTATATTAAAGATTATGATGAGATGGACAAATCATTTTTGCCATTTCTATGGCCACCACAAACCGTTTTTTGATTTGAAAATATGAATTTAAATGATTTGCATGATTAATATCCATTAACCATCCATACTGTTAACATCAAGGAACATATTGGAATTTTTATTTTTCAGGAAATGCTGGCCAAATCCCGGGAAAAAGACAGTGGAATCCAACTTGAAGTTAATGAAAATATCTTAGACTCTTGCACTGCACTGATGATGGTGAGTAACGAGTACACATTGAGTACATATTGAGTATATCTTGAGTAAATAGATATATGATGGTGAGTACATATTGAGTTTGTCTTGAGTAAATAGATATCATGGATTATATCTTTATCTTGTGATACAGTTAGCTGCTCGAACTCAAGCAGTTGTTCAATGTGTGCTCAATGCACATTTTGAGGCAAGGTCTTGTTTTTAACAAACAACTTTTTTCAAAAAATGAAGTGACTTTCAATTCGAAAAAATCAAAAAAATAGTCCTAACGTTTTTCTGTGAGGAGTCTTAAGGGAGTCTAAAATGTAAATCATTACATTGTGGGATTGAATTGGTCCCTTTGAATGAATAAATGAATTGACAGCACTTATCCCATTGAACTAGATAGCCTACTACATACACTGTTTATGCTGCATACATACAGTTTGTTAAATAGGACATAATGTCTTTCCAAGGACAACGGTTCTTTAGAAGACACTAGTGACACTAGAAAGAGAAGAAGAGAGAGAAATGCCCTCATACTACTGTAAACCAATATGTATAAGAGTATTATTTAACGTCTTCACTTCCAGGCAATAAAAGTACTAATACTGAAGTCCAAGGCATTACAGCGTGAAATTGTAGATCAAGGACGAGGAACAGCATCTGATAAAGAATTTTACAAGAAACATCACAGGTGGACAGAAGGGCTACTGTCAGCTGCCAAGTCAGTTGGCCTTGGGGCCAATATGTTACTGTAAGTTAATTTTTAATGCAGGTTTTGGGGCCAGTGGCCTGATACATGTCAAATGCAGAGTCTTTCAAATGACTAATGCATAGTCTAATACATGTATAATGCTTATTACATATATAGTTTATCACATGTTTATTGCGCAGTCTCACAAATACATGGTCTAGCGCATGTCAAATGCATTGTCTAACATATGTCTGTATAGTCTGTCACATGTTTATTTATAGCACATGTAAAATGCATAGTCTATCATATGACTAATGCAATGTCTAATACATGTTTATAGCATAGTCTGTCACATGACAAATACATAGTCTGTCACATGACTAATGCAGTCTAATACATGTTTAATGCATAGTCTATCACAAGACAAAATAATGCATAGTCTATCACATGACGAATGCATAGTCTATCATATGACTAATGCAAACATGTTTAATGCATAGTCTGTCACTTGACTTATTCATCAATTGTTCTTTCCAGAGATGGTGCTGATAAGGTAGTCAATGGTGAGGGGAAGTTTGAGGAAGTAATGGTCTGCGCCCAGGAGATTGCAGCAAGTACAGCCCAACTTGTAGTTGCATCTAAGGTAATATCACTAACATAGCAACATTGATAAAGCACTACCCTACATTGTAATCCTGTTTATTGATATTTCAGAATTTCCAGTTCATAAGAATAAGAAAAATTGGAGATTTGATCTTTATGATTAGATATCATTGGCCTTGCATTGTGTGTTAATGTTAATCCTTTCATTAGAAAATGATTAATGCGGAGTCGTCATATCAGAGGGTTTAAATGTTCATGTACAGTAGAACCTGTATATCTGAACACCTGGCTAATCGGAACACCTCCCAATCTGAACACTTTTTTCCGGTCCCATTTTTTCCTCTCATTGTTAAAAAAAACTTGAAATGGGAACACCTCCCAATTTGAACAGTGAACAGTCATATTGTATGTTAATAGAATTGTTTATCAATGAAATAAAGATATAAATATATCAAACATCTGAAAGCTTCACTAACTATTACATCATAGCATTATATAACTTAAATATTCCGCTTTTTAATTTTGAATATTTTTTTTAGGTGAAATCTGATAAAAACAGTGCCAACTTACGTGAAGTATCTGATGCCTCTAAGAAGGTGTCTGAATGTACTGGCAATGTGGTTGCATCTGCCAAGAGTGGAGCTCAACTGATTGAAGATAAAGATACAATGGACTTTACTAAACTCAGTCTAACACAAACCAAACGTATGGAGATGAATTCACAGGTAAAAATGAGTAACATAGATGTACATCATTACCAGATAGCTATAGAATTCACAGTTAATGACAGAAATATTGCTTTACTTTTACAATGTACAAGTTTCCAATATTATTGGTAAAATTGACTTTAATTCCAAACCTCGGGATTCCAAATAACTTCAATATTTATATAATTGCAGGTTAAAGTACTGGAATTGGAGAGTAATTTAGAGAAAGAGCGAGTGAAATTGGCAGGTTTAAGAAAACAACATTACAAATTAGGAGGAGAGGATGAGGGTTGGTCAGATGAGGTAAGTGGTGCCATCTATACTAATGTCTCGCATTAAATTCTACAAGCAGTTCATTTTGTTTATTGAGTTGTTGACTCAACACTCATGGAAACCATTTTTGATGTTTATTTTTTCAAATAAGTGAATTTTCATGAATGGAGGGAACTTTCTTGAATAAGGGTGGATGTGGAAGATAACAAAATGGATTACATGTAGAATTTGGTACGAACTTTTTGAGGCGACCCCTCAGACTACTATTCCTATTAAAAGGGACCTAATCTTCTACGCAAACTGAGAAAAATTTATGAACATATGGGAAAGACCCTGACCTGACTTATGATACATTTACAAATACACAACATACACAAATGACAACTTTGACATCATGTGACATTGATTGACAACGTGACTGGACTTAATTCCTGTATAATTGTGGTTGGGTCTGTCATGAGATGGAGGAATGAAAGTCTTCCCGCTATAAAGCACAAGGGAAAAACAAAATAATTATGCAATACAATATAACAAGTTTGCATATTTTATTGAATTTAGTGAACATGTTTTTCAGTGTCTTTTAACATATAAATCATACTGCCTGACATTTATCTGCTTTTCTATTAGAATATACATGGAGATGTCTAAATTACTTTCACAGAACAACATTGGCATGACCCATTTGATTCTCACCAACCATTGCTTCATTATTGCTTCTCTTTTGTGCCCCGAGCAACAAATTGCCACAACCAGTTTGGTTCAAGATCACCTAAGTGGTTAAATGTTGTTGCTTTTTCTTTCAACAGTTTATCCCAGTCCTTCTTTACAGTATTTTCACTCTCCTCTCCTGTCATGATTCCAGTCCTTTGCTGGGCCCTGTCTTCAGAATTTTCTCCTCTCCTGACTATAATCTCATCTACCTTAGTGCCATCTATTGCCCCAAGAAGTTCAACAAAACTACATGACACTAAATGAGATCTGGCAATTTTACGAGTTACTCCCCAAATCTCCATCCAACCATCAGTCAGTTTCAGCCAGTCAACATTGTGGAAATATTGACCCAAAATGTTCTTTTCTGGATCATGCATACTTGCTAGAAACTTTGGACGTGTTTTGTAAAAGTCCAAAAATATTTGATGTAAGATGTATTCCATTCCAGCTGTGGAATCAGCATTGGCTTTGTTGTCATAGATCTGAAGGATAGATTGGAATACTTCAGCAAAAGAATTTTGTAGTTCTTCAACTTTTCTTTTATCATTTAATGTTTCAACAAAGGTTTTAATGTTGATGTAATCATCCATCTGTGACATGTGTGATACAGGATTGTTTGCCGGATCACTGGTTTGATCATCATTGTTTGGTGCAGCATTCTTTGTTGCTGCATCATTTTGATCATCATTGTTTGGTGCAGCACTCTTTGGTGCTGTATCATTTGGATCCTCTTTGTTTGGTGCAGCACACGCTGTATCATTTGGATCCTCTTTGGTTGGTGCAACACTCTTTAGTGCTGTATCATTTGGATCCTCTTTGGTTGGTGCAACACTCTTTGGTGCTGCATCATTTGGATCCTCTTTGTTTGGTGCAGCACTCTTTAGTGCTGTATCATTTGGATCCTCTTTGTTTGGTGCAGCATTCTTTGGTGCTGTATCATTTGGATTCTCTTTGTTTGGTGCAGCATTGTTTGGGGTAGCATTGTGTCCAAGATTATCATCATGAATTATATTTTGATATAGTGTTTTCAGAGTGGAGAAAACATCTTTGATATCATCAATATTTTTGTTTTCTCTTTCATGCTTGAAGGGCCTCAATGTCTCAAGTTCTGAGTTCAGAAATTCAAAATGTTCAACAACTTTACGCGCATAGATGAGTGAAAATATGAGGCGATTCCTCACATTTGTTTGTATGTCAAACATCTCAGCATATAACAAATCTTTAATTTGGTTAACAATCTCTCTGAAGCAATCTGATAATTTTACAACATTGGTGCACTTTTGATCATGGTGATATACCAAAGTTTTGATGGCATATGAATCAAATGCGCTGTACTTCTGTCCCAGGTATTCAGTCTCATTCAATAGCTTTAGAACCATTTGTATCTTCTTGTGTTCTGGTTTGAAGTTTTTGATTATTTTTGTTTCTGTGTGACTCAGTGTTTGTGTCCAGCATATTGAATTATCATAGATGGACCTATCATCAATTTTGTCTGTAAAATATTTACATAGATCTGCTGGAGCTTTTGGAATCAATAACACGGGGTGGTAATTACCTGAATCAGGGTTCCAGATTTCAAAAGCAAATGTAAAATCGACACTTGCTATGCAAACAGGCCCTGGGATTAAAAGTTTGATATAGGGACCATACGGCCATGTCCAACTGCACATCTGAGTGGCAAGTAATTCTCCTTCTATTTCCTTCTCACTTTTCACTCTCTTTGCATCTTTGTTGTATTTAACGAGATTTCGCTCATTCAGCTTGACTAGAGCTTGGTCGACGAGATGGTAAAAGTATTGTATAATGCAAGGGCTTAGGTAGTCATCCTCTAGGACTTCATGTGGAAAATGCTTCACTGAGCGTTCTTTTATTTTTCCTCTAACAGTGTCACTTAGCAAATGTCTCTTGAATGCATCACTGATCACTTTAACATGGCTGAACCCATTTTTGCAGCCCTTCTCCAAGGCTAGATATTTAGTTCTTATAATCGTAAGGAAATCAAACTCGTCTGGTGCGATAACTTTAGTTCCACTGAAGTAACTTCCTGTTCCTGTGACGCGGTCTACAGTAAAATTCTGGTCGATACTCTTGATTTCATTTGCGATATTATGAATGATGTTTATAACGAAGTCTTTCTGATTTTGTATGTCAATTTCATTGCATTGTATTTTGGCATATTTATTGAAAATGTGTTCTATAAAATCATCACACTGTGAATGGTTACTGTGAGAACTCATTTCAATTATTCTGTATTTTAATTCCCATTTATGTCATTGTTCTTTGATGCTTTGTATCGTCACAGTAATGGAGCCATGGATATTACATCATCCTCGGTGTAAGATTATCAGGCAGGATAATAATTATTTGAGTTTCTTATGTTTTGAACCCTAATAATATGTCAAACTCAGCTCCTGTCCTGCATGCCTTTGTCAGCGACAGTTGAAGTTTCCAGTAAATCCAAAAGGTCATTTCTTGTGCCGTTTTATTCATCGACAAGGCTATGTTATGTATCCCTGGTACAAATAATAGTTGTACTGAGTGCAGTATCAGGCATAAGCCTTTTGTATTAGCCTCACATCCAATGTTAAAACAGTAAATACCAATTCTTAATATCCATTATGAAACCTGACTGCTATGCTAAATTTTTGCATTAAATGTTTTATTTGTGTAGTCTATTTATATACCTTTATACTTGTATTCAATCTTGATATTACATTGAAATGTTCAATGAGCTCCCTAAAGATCTTAGCTTATGTGTAAATATATTCCTATGTTATGTCTGAATAGTATGTTTTATTATTCAGAAAATCCTCTATGGAATTCAATATTATCTTGCATTATGCAGGGCTTCAATACAATATTCATACAAATCAAAATACAAAAGAAAAGGGGCATGATGACACTTTTTATATGGAATATGAATAATTTAAAGTTTGTCGTTATTGATTGGTACATTGTATGGCTCTAATCTAAAAAAGTGCTTGGATATTCTATTCTGACAGTTTTCAGTGGTTCATTGTTTATTGAGGTTGTCATAATGTGCTTCAATGTCAGCATACATGTTTCCATTAGGAGAAGTATATGTCATTGTGACTCCTAAATCAGACAACACAACTTGCTTATTCTTTAAATCCATGTATGAGCTGCTGAATTGCGTATATATAGTAATGGAGAAACTTTCTATTGTTCTTATACACTCTCATCCTCTTTATGATGGGAAGTTAGCCTGCCCTGACAAACAGCTCTTGCCATGTACATCCTATCAATGATTTATTTTATTTTTCCTACTGACTTATATAGGCCTATACACTGTATGGAGGTCATATATATGGACATGACCCACATATTGTAAGTGACATGACATTATAATTGATGACATCACTATGACCTTGACCTTATATGTGACATGTTATGACTTGATTTGTAATTTTATATGATTGTAACAAAATTTGAGTAATCATATTGATATATCAAGCAATAAATATTGTATTGTATGTAATTGTTTATAGGGTTTTGAGATCAAGCATGAGATTTGAAGAGTTATTATGCTTTTAAAATTGTACTCAGCTTAGATCTTTCACATTCTGAAATACTAGAAATTAGAAACTTGTTTTCAGTATTGTTCATACTAACTCAAAACGATATGGACCACAGACATGTTCTATATTTATTTGATGTTAAAATAACAAGTTTGCCCGCTTAAGTATTATTTCAAGAGTAGTAGCATTGTTTTTGTCAAATACAGGACACATTGTCTAAAAAGATACATGGTCAACAAGAATTTCATGAGAAACTTGAATGAACCATTGTGTCTCTTGAGACATCGTGCTTTGTTCACTAACTGCATGGATTTTAAACCAGATTCGAACATGACTGTATTCACGCCTTCTATAAACTGTAATCAAAGTCAATGCTTTAGCTGGGTTATATTCGAGATTAATAACCCAGTTAATACGTGTAATGTGTGACGTCATAACGGTGGGTCGTAGTAATGGCGGACCATGATGAATATTCGAAACAATTTGGTGAATTTTCATGTTCGAATTAAGAAATATAGACCAAAGAGCAGGGTTTCTAGTTTCGAATAACACCCAGCTGGTCTCGGCACAAACGTTTTCTGTACGCTGAACGACCGAAGGGAGTGAGGGGTTCGAAAGCTTTGTGCCGAGACCAGCGGCGTGTTATTCGAAACTAGTAACCCTGCTCTGAGGTCTATATTACGATTCGAACATGAAAATTCACCAAATTGTTTCGAATAATTCATCATGATCCGCCATTACTACGACCCACCGTTATGACGTCACACATTACACGTATTAACTGGGTTATTATACTCGAATATAACCCAGCTGAAGCATTGACTTTGATTACAGTTTATAGAAGGCGTGAATACAGTCATGTTCGAATCGTAATATAGACCTCAGAGCAGGGTTACTAGTTTCGAATAACACGCCGCTGGTCTCGGCACAAAAGCTTTCGAACCCCTCACTCCCTTCGGTCGTTCGGGGTACAGAAAACGTTTGTGCCGAGACCAGCTGGGTGTTATTCGAAACTAGAAACCCTGCTCTTTGGTCTATATTTCTTAAATACAGTAGACCTAGAAATATTAAAAACAAAATTAGAGAGGGATCATTTAAATGTCTAACAGCCCCCCCCCCACCACCATTTTAAAGCCATCATTGCAATAAAGATATTTTGACATTGGGCCCAGCAGTTCCGTATAACTATGAAACTAAAAAGATACCAGGATTAAAGTAAAACCTCTGATAATCATTAAAATATATATTTTCAAAATACATAGTCTTATTACAATGCATCTGTACATTCAAAGCAGAGACAGTTTAGTACAAATTCTCTAATCATCATGTTATCATCACCCTACACATTACAAAATATGCAATTAAAGATACAATAATATAAAAATGTAACCTTTACATTTGATACAACCACTTTATAGCTAACTACATATTATTACATGAAAATAAATTACAAATTCTCAATATTATATTGCAAGACAATGTGTCAAACAACAGTCAATTTTTGTCTATTCTTAAGTAAAAAATAAAACACTTGTAAAAATTAATTTAAAGTAAAACAATCTAAACGAGGCACTTGAATTAATAAATATACATACATACATACATACATCTAAATACTGTATGTTGGAAAATAATTTTTTCAGATCATAATTATTTAAATTTTCATTAGACTTTTGGGAGATCATTTTATTTTTAAGGGTCAATTATTTGCATTATATTGAAATAGAGCTTTCAGTTCACATTTGCATGATTCTGTTTTCAAAGGCTCCTCTAATGATAATGCCAGTAAATGATAATTATCATACAATATGTTTTCCAATTTTATTAAAATCGGCAATACAGTGATTGTCAGAATGGAATGATTTTGATTGCATCAACTAGACTCTGTATATTTTTGCATCTTTTGTATTTTGGGAGTTCTGTTCTATGTGACTTTTTTGCATTGATTTTGAATAATGAAATTTAAGTTGCGTGTCATGGTTTTTGAATGTTTTTCATTTAGTATGATTTGGCATGCTCAAAACTGAAGTTGATTTCCCAATATTTAGTTTTTGACTAGTATTATAACAATAGTCAACCAGCTTTAAGCTATTTTTCTGTTGCTATGGTACCTTGAGTATCTTCCAAAACATTCTGTCTAATAATGTGTAATCCCAGGAGGCTGAAGGACTTGACGGGATTCAGGAGATTACATCATATCTTCATCTCTATGGCAACCAGGAACCGCAACATGCAGTGAAGGTACAAAGTCTGTCTTTGCATGTTTGAGGTTCACTTCATAGAAAAGTAGCTTTACCTATTTACATGAGCCTCTTGCAAAATTTTAAAGTAAAAATCTCAAAGGTTTGGCTTAAAGCAGATATGAAATGGTATTTTTTACCTAAAGGAATCAATATAATTTTTTTGATAAATGTATGTGGACATGTTTTCTCATCAGTAGTGTGAAAATTATTCCACTCTAACGATTGTTATAGCTGCTTAATAAGCAATATTTGAATTGGTTGTGACATTATTGGCCCCCACGTGATCTCTCACTGGTCCCCACGTGGCCCGTTTTGGTCCATTAGATCATGACGTCATAATGCCAAAATGTTTTGTTATTTGTTTACACAACAATCCTATGGTTGCCGTGACGTTGTGATTACTAAGGAACCATAAACCAAAGCTATATTTTGTATATGACGTAACTAATCATTGGGGGCCAATTTGATTGATCAGTTAGTTTCATTTCGTTATCTATGACCGTTAGCAGTTATCTCACATTTGTTTTATAATGGCTATCGCAAGAACTCCACGTTGCGCTTACAATGGAGAAAACCGCATTTTTGTAGCTGCAAGTTGAGAAAAGCTATTTCAGTTGTCCTTTAAACAAAAACCTCAAAGGTCATTTTAAGATTTTAAGGTAGGCGGAGTTGTTCAAGTTTTGAACATATCTGCACATGGTAACCATATGCAATGTTCTTGTATTGTCCTACCTAATTCAATAACTTAAACATTGAATGTGAAAGATTGAGTCAGATTTGAGATAATTCAAAGTTTTGATAAGCCAAAATACATGTAAATGTTATCTGGTCTTTATAACGATCATGCTTCAGTGATTTGACAGTAAAATAAAACTTTAAGTCACAGAATGAAATAAAGTTTTGATTTTGTTGAATTGACAGAATTAAATATTTTAAAAATGATGCTACTACTCCTTGATATGATAACTCAATATGTTATTTATAACAACTCTTGATATAAGCTATTTCATAGAAGTAAATCCATGTTACTTACAACTTACTTCCATACTGACCAACTTACAAAGGTTTGAGGGCATTTATCAGAGCCTCTAATGTTAGCGATATGCAACTGGTAATTCTCATGATGAAAACCAGGATGTATAAGTAAATGTATGGTGTAAAACTGATACTTTCTTCCCTCATTTATAGGGAGGGCCCATGGGCATTTAACTGAAAAAAAGATAATGCTCATGAACACTTAAATGCATAAATGTTGACATCATTACATTATTACACATATTTTCAGGAATCGTGATTGAATTGAGGCAAATAGCAGCTGATGCATACAACCACCCCTATAATGAAATATATGGACTCAACTTCTTCCAAATTGGATGAGTCCACTATGACATGACAATGAATGGGTGACAGCACCAACACAAATAAATTCATATGGTCAGAGGCATCATAACCAATTTACCTCGGATATAAATTAAATTCTAGAATTTCCTCTTCACAGATATCTGCCACTTTGAGTTACACAATGCCTGATTCGGCGCCTGGCCGATGGATTGTTTTGTTCAAAATTAATTCAGTTTGGAACAAAATACTCAATCGCCTGGGCGCCAGGCGATTAAATCGCAGCAAATGTGACCAAGGTATAAGATGGCGGACAAGGATTGTGACAAGAAAGTTTGTGTATTAATGTTAAATTTTAGTAGATGAAAACATTTAATTACTTAAGTTGTATTGACTTCTTTTAACTGAAAATGAAAATTATGGTAGCTAAGTTGGTTGTCATGGTGATCAATGAGATACTGAATTATAAAAGTTAATGTACATGTTGATTTATTGTCAATTTAGGTACTTAAGGTAGATTGCCAATTTATATTAGCACTGGGGTCCAACTATACACGAAAACAACTGTTAATTTGAATTTTAGACCTACCAGATGTTTGAAAATCAAGGATTGTGTGTCTCATACTACACCGTTTTTCTTCAAACGTGTTGCATTCAAAGGAAAACAAAAATGCCTTTCTGTCGATCCATTGCTTTATTGTACAGAGTCCCTCATTTTAGCAATGTTTGGGTCCCTAGCTGCAAGAAGCTCTTCTCACAGGGACTCTGTATAACAGTATGATGTACCAACAGAAAGGCATTTTTGTTTTGTTTTTAATGGAACAAGTTTGAAGAAAAATGGTGCAGTATGAGACTCACAATCCTTGATTTTCAAAAACCTGGTTGGTCTAAAATTCAAATTAACGTTCGTAGTTGGCACCGCATGATTAGACTGAATTTGAATGAATCAAAGCCAAAGTCTGCTTAGGTGAGAGCTGATTTAAAATATTTTGCTTCTGCCAATATATCAATATTAAGAAAAATAATGCATTATAAATACATAAAATGACTGTACTACTGACTGTTTTTCGAAAATAAAATAGCTGATTAAATAACCAGGAGTACAGTAGATGTGTAAAAATTATAGATATTATAGAATTATATCTAATGACAGTGCAATATTATATGTATAGTTACTATAGTACAGTACTAGGATACTGACTTCCTCATAACTAAGCATAGAAATATGAATGAAATTAACAGCTTTACAAAACATGCAATACAAAACAAAAAACAAAAATACCCAAAAGTATGTACATGTTTATAATTCAATATTAGAAGGAATTACAAGGGAACGAGGGGAGTTAAGAGCAAGTTTCAATAAATTGCTTTTATAATTCCATGCCATGCCTGTTTTCTAAAATACAAAGTTCTGACTTAATTTAGAGATAATTCTTTCAGCCTTTTCAGTTATCTTTCAAAAAATGAAAAGGATGGTTCATTTCTGCATTTTAAATCTTAAATAAATTCTATATTTGATCATATGTCTTTTTCATAAATAACATTAAGAATTGGCATCATTTTTCACTCTCTTACCCTTCGAATTCCTTAGTATTGACAAATCTGAATTGATTACAAAATGGGTTGAGTACAAATTGAGATGAAAATGATTGGAAACTTCTATAAACACTACTATGTTTTAGTGTAACTATGTGTTTAATGTGTAACTATTGTATTAAGTGTGGAATATTTTTATACTGGATATTGTATTGTATTGCCTTACACTGTAGCACATTTGACAGTATACTATTGTACAACATTACATGTATCTTTATTATAACTTAAATAAAAATATATAGGGTAAAATAAAATATAGAAAATAAAACTGATTCTTGTTATTTTCAAGCCTTCATGATTAATGAAGTTTCATTATTAATGAAAAAGTCCATACATTAAGGTGTAAATAATCTAATCCCACATTCTACATGTAAACCTGGACTTGACCAAAATAAATAAATAAATAATCGAATCCCACATTCTACATGTAAACTTGGACTTAACCGAGGTACCGGATTTTCTCGCATATAAGCCCTGGGCGTATAACTGAAAGAAGGGGTAATTTCGTCTGTTATTTTACCTCTTATTTTTTGCCCATGGGCGTATAAGTGTACTACTTTCGATTTTTGGCCCAGTGGGCGTAAAGGTGAGAAGAGCTGATGAATACAATGGTTCCTCAAAGACTACCGTGCCTACTGTTGTAGTCCTACCGCATGTTTTGTAAGAATTATAAAGGAAATGTCACCTACAACCTTGGACTTAATGTTGAAACAAAGTAACAACAGAACGATCCACCACTGCCACTTACGGCACAGCGTTGAACTTAATGTTGAAACAAAGTAACGACAGAACTATCTGCCAGTGACAAAATACTCTTGAATTTATTGAAAAAATCAATAAATAATCATTTTTTATAGGCCCATGGGCGTATAAGCGTACTACATTCGATTTTTGGCCCATGGGCCTAAATTTAGGGGGGCGTATATGCGAGAAAATCCGGTAGCCTTGATTGGAAGATTTTCCGGCATAAATGACGTAATTCAGGATTGTTTCTACTCGTATCTAGTCTATTACATACTTTTACCTGTTCAGGTTTTGACTAAGTGTAAATTATGTTTAGTGTGGAGAAAATCTCTTAAGATTTGGACATTTGTTTTTCTGATTCACAAGCTACATGAGGTATTTATTTCATTTCCATCCGATATCCCCTCAGATCCAACTTCCCAGTCAGATTCGACTGATAGAAACGCAGATATCATTGGGAATAAAATCGACATTGTTATGGTCTCCAGTTTTTTTGTGACAGTGGGTAGCGGTTGGTGGTTGGCATCTGAACAAAACTTCCAACTTAACAAATACTGTTTAGACTGACATCAATTTTTTTCAAAATCATCTTCAAGTTTTCAGAAGTTAAAATCTGACTAAATTTGAGATTTGACCTTCAATGACCTTCTCATTGTCAAAAAGGTCTTCAACTTGCTTCCAGAGACCATAACAATGTCACCATTTTCAAAATCGTCTACAAGTTCTCAGAAGTTCAATTCAAATCTGACTTTAGATTTGACCTGTAATGACTTTCTCAAGGTCAAAAAAAGGTCAATAAGGTATTTTTTCAACTTCCTTCAAATTGACTTATTTTTTCAAAAACACTTCTCAGAAGTTCCAATCTGACTTAAAATTTGACCTTCAATGACCTTCTCAAGGCCAAAATGATTTTTTTCTCAATTTATTAGGCACTAGCTTAGTGAGTATTCAACAAAAATATCTGATTTTTGACAATCTGGTTTAATTTATTTTCATGTACATGTATTGCTTATATAATGAACAATTTTTTAGAGTTTCAAGAATTATATGTGTTATGGCATGAACTGGTGAATCATGCCAATCATTAAAGTAAATATAATGCTAGGTTCATTTTCATACCATAGAAATATTAAATAAAACACCATTCCCAAATGTATCAGTAAATCATAGATTGATTAAAAGTAACAAACTTCTGTTCAACTGATTGTGGAATAAGCTAATGCAAAAGATGTATGTTGCTTCATCAATTTGGGATTTCGAAATGAAATGTGACATGAAGTTTGCTTATGTAATTTTCTGATCCAATCATGAATGACACAATACATGTAATATATCCATTCATACAGTACTCACATTTTGCAGGGCATTTGATCATTTCTGGCCTATATGAACATTGTACATGTATAGTTGTTCTATATATTACAACAGATACATAATTGATAAAGGAAACTAAGAGAGAGACATTGACTCTGTATAAATTGTATCATAATGATAAGTAATACAGAATATAGCCTTGCCTACTTTTACAATTCAAGAACAAGATAACTACCAACAAAGGCAATGCAATACAGAATTCTGTATAAAACAAAATTATTATTTGCACACAGTAAATAAATAAATAAATTATATATCAATGCTTGATATGTCAGTATTTGTTCTATTTTAAAGGAGGTCACTACAAAACAACACAAACAACAGAAATCACTGAAATCTCATATTTTCCACAGAACCAAGCTCAAGTATATTCAAATGCCACTCCAGAGTTCATTTAACAAAATGTTTGACTTAATGTTGGTTCTTCCAGTTTTATTATCTACACAAAAACATTTACACACATCAAAGAATAAACAACTTTTAAATAATGAGACACTTTAATTGCACAGTTTAAGACTCTATCAGAGTTGTATAATTAGTACATGGTGGGTTTTGCAATTAGGATATACATTTTGTACCTCAAAGTAGATAACATGCATGAATATCCATTGTATCTTGGAAGCAGGATGGATACGAAAATCTGTTTTGGTCTAGCTCCTCCACTAAAGCAAAATGGTTAACCTTTTTAGATATTGAATGAATCCCATTTGTACAGGATTCATCTATTAGGTATGGAAACTTTTGCAACTCTTTCCCTGTTAAATTATAATTTAAATCAATTTTGTCTGCAGCTTTCATTTACTCTGCCTTTTCAAAAATGTTAATGAAACCCCAGTGCTTACATATTATTGTATGATTTAACAATCACTTATGCCATCCATACTCCAATCATCTAACTAATTACAGGTATTGAAAAATAATATAGACACTGAATCTTAAACATAAAATTCATGTTATTTTGTACCAGAGCAACAGAGATGTACATAAAGTTTATAAACAGTGACAACAGGGTACATAACATGAATTTCATTCATAATTGACTTGCTATTATATTAATTCAGCTTATAATAGAGTCGTACATAGTTAGGGTCATGCATGTAGCAATACAAGGTGGGACGATATTCCTATGCGGAAAAAAGCTTATGACCTGTGGTGACCTTTAATTGAAATATTCATACAACATCCATATATAGATATTTATAAGGCAATCATCTTATTCCTTGTAATACAATAATACTGTTTTGAGAATTGGTGAATATTATAACATGTGTGGTTTTGTAAGATCAATATGACCCAATTCCAGCAAACACTTGTCTGGAGATTACTAATATAGTATTTCTGGGACACTAAAAATTCAAATAACATATCACTAAAGTCAAATCACTTTATTGTGAGTCAAACAAAACGTACAACCTTTAATTGGTTATTTCTCAGATTTGATAGACTAACATATTCACTGCCTCGGATTGTACCTTGTTCCTTTCAGCCCATTATGAAATGTTTCTTTTAACTTGCATGCAGGCATATTTGTCTATGGTGTCCGAGTTACGCAGTTAAGTATGCATATGAAGATTTTAGGCAAATATAAAAGATGGCAGTAAGAGATGATAGGATCTGTAGACAGGTGTACTGTGCTACCATCTTTTAATACCCCAAGTCTATGAATTGCACATAGGATTATTAGAAATCAATCTAAGGTTTCAAAGTTACAATAGGAAGTTTAAGCTTGCAATGTTTTTCACAACACAAATTGTATTGTATTGTATTGTATTTTGTTTACCACCAATGAAGGTGAGCAATACCTCTTGGGTATGTCCCGTATATATACGGTCGTAATTTACGTAATTAAGTAATTAACATGGAAGAAAGACCCAGAAACCCCTCCTTGAAGGAGCCCTGTGTTCTTTTATGTGCACTTATACATAGACATACAAGTACACACCACAGCCTTTTGTACGAGTTGCGGACCACTCAGTCAAACACCCTGAAGTACTTCACGCAAACAAGTAAATTTAGTCTTGCCTGAACCGGGGATCGAATCCGGGACCTATTGCGTAAGAGGTACCTGCGCTACCGCTGAGCTACACGGGTAAACAGAAAATATTCAAGTGATGCATTTATATGAGATTGGTCATATGTATAGGTTGGCGTTTGGATTTTATATGCTAGCTTAAACTCCCTACTATATGCAAGAATATTACCTTTGTAGATAGATAATAACAATGCAATATCCACAAGGACTATTACTGTAAATTGCTATAATTTGGTGCTCATCTTTTTGGCAATGTGCTAATGCCGTGCAAGATCACATTTATTAGTATAAATGACTTATGACTATGTCATACACCCCCAAAATGCAATCTGATTTTCGACGCCGTTTGGGTGCCAAATTTCAGTGCCGTTTCGGCACCAAATGGACTGACTAGTCCGGTAGCAAATTTTGGTGTCGAAAGGTTTCGGTGCCGGAACAGTGCCGAATTTTTTCGATGCCGAAACGGCGTCGAATTATATTGGCTGTGTACAGAACTGTTTCTGTTCTTGAACAGTAGGCTTTATGCATTAAATTAATGTATCATTGCCCAGACCCATTGGCCTCAAATATCCAATTATGCCTCTTATGATAAATATAATTTGTTAACATAGTATTACATGGTCCATATGTCTGAAATTGCAACTAAACCGTTTCACCTTAGGCAAGGGAGTTAATTTTATGGTTCTGGTTTCATCATGCACCCCCTCTGGTTTCATCATGCACCCCCTCTGAGTTTTAACCTCTACATGAATGCTATTTTCATGCCCCCAATCCTCAATGCACTCAGCCACAGCCCATATTTATTAACTTGTCCAGCCTTACATTCAAGGTGTACTTTGTGCTAATGACCAGGCCTATTACTGGCCATATTTCTGTCAATGGACATTCCACAATGGATCACATTCCTGAGATGAAATTATGACTGCGACTTTGCTGTCTACACTCATGGTAGATTTAAACATATTGATCCTGTACTTCATGCAGTAGTTTTCAATTATTCTCCTATGGGTCATGTCTAAGACACAACTTCAACAATTCCTTTGTCCATTTCTCTTACTCTTATGCTATTGTTACATAATCATATTCTTATTTACATAGTTCCAAAATGCGGATTAATTTTACAGGTGAGTCATTTATCCTTGTTTACAACTGATAAAGGAATTCTTAACTTTATGAAATTTCTGTTGATGAAATCCTTGGTATTTTGTACATTCCCCATATCTGTGATGACCTTGACCCTACATGACCTTTGCTCCATTTGTCTTCTGCTTGGATATACGTTTATGATAAGCCTGGGCTAATGAATTCACTATTGAAAGTACAAAATAAATAATCATCGCTACGACAATCTTCTCAAATATCCATGACAACCAGCTGCCTTCCTGGAATCAGAAAATAGACATAATTAGAGGTAAGATAAAATAATATAATGATCTAACATCTGATGATGATGAACGACCTGACTTGGGTAAACAATTTCAAATGGCTAATAATGTATCGTATATTATCCTTTTGTATAAGAATTTGAAGAGGCTATTTCACTGGATTAACACTCATGATCTGGCATTTACTAGATATAGTATCAATGTGCCATTGTTATAAAAATGTTTATATCCTAAATCCTTTTATTGCACCATGTGTTAACACTTACAAAATGCACCCTTTATACTTAACACTAGTGGTGGGACTCGTGTGAATTATCCTACTCGAGTAGAGGCTCTTGAACACTCGATTTATTCGCGATTAAAATGAATGATTTTGGAAAAAGTTCAGAAAAACTTTCTTTGGAAAGTTACTTTCACTTCCGGTAGCAATGTTTTCAAGTGTTCTCGGCTCAACCTACCTTGGATAACTCCAACATACTCATCAAATTATTCAAATAGAATAACTCAATACACTTTATATGTTCTTGTTTTGCATTGAAAAGTAAAAAATTGAGCAATTTACGCTAATTGGTTTGACCTAGTTAAACATTGCATTGCACATGCGCAACCGGATGTAATCGATAAATAAAAACAAACACGACTCGGAAAGCTTATTGTATTCGAATTTTAAGGTATCAAACTACAATGCTATATATTAAGGAAGGCATCATTGCTAAAGATTGTACAGCAATGTTGTACATTGGATGTGTTTTTTTACGTAAATTGTGGTTGAAAGGTGGGTAAATCACATTTTCTTCATAATTTTTTTCATTTTTTTTCAATTCGAGTCAGAATTTACCAATCGATGAATCGTATTTACAGGGTTTGGCGAGTAGTATTCGAGTCCACGAGTCAATCGTTGCTCCACTACTTAACACTTATAAAATGCACCCTTTATACTTAACACTTACAAAATGCACCCTTTATACTTAACACTTACAAAATGCACCCTTTATACTTAACACTTACAAAATGCACCCTTTATACTTAACACTTACAAAATGCACCCTTTATACGTAACACTTACAAAATGCCCCTTTATACGTAACACTTACAAAATGCCCCTTTATACCTAACACTTACAAAATGCCCCTTTATACCTAACACTTACAAAATGCACCCCTTATACTTAACACTTACAAAATGCCCCTTTATACATAAGAATTACAAATAAAATGCACTAGTAATGTAACACTTACTGTGGGAATATGAGTACCAGGTTTCACATGGAGTTTGGATTTCTGTTTTTCTAACCACTCCTTGAAGGGGGCTTGAAGCGATGGGCCGTAGCGGGGAATATATTTCAAGAGATTCACTATACTCTCAACATGGTGCTCACTGAACGTGAAGATCACAAATAATTTCTGAAAATGAAAGCAAAAAACATAATTAAAGAATTGCAAAGATAAACAATACAATGGGATCAACACATTGTGGTTGGTCAATGTGGATACAAACTAACAAAGCTATTATAATTCTACTAGATAAAGCATTAAATGAACCAGAGGGATAATATCACAGTAAGAGAGAATGGACTTAGAATAATTTCAGAACATGAACGCAAAAAAAAAAAATAAAACAAATAATGCAATGGAGTTCATAATCATAGAGTGTTGGCCAATATGGATTAAAGGCAAATAAAAAATTTCATAATAAAAAAAATCAACATTTCTGCTGCCAAATTTTATTATATGGAGTAGGGCTGGCACGGAACGGAATTATTGTCCGAACCGTCCGATTTTGCCTTCGGAAACGGACTTTCGGACCTACCTTCTCATATTCCGATAATTTTCGGAACTTATATTTTCCTTAAAGAACATTCACTTTTCGTTATAGCGACACGCTAACTCGCTATAGCGAACTAGTACTATGAAACGAATTCAATAAATATATATAATTATTAAACATTTTCACTCGGTAAAGTTGTTTTATATGTAATGAATGATAGAAATAAATAGAGTATGATTGTTTTATATATATTCAGTACCTATAAGAAAATACAATTATTGTAAGAAAGACAATATACAGTAATAGTTGTATGCCAAGGTGCCAAGAAGGCAAGGACATTAACATTTTGCCATTAGTTTTGAACATTTATGCCACTTGTTCTGGCAGTTAGATAGTGCTAGTGTTTGTATTTAATAAACATAATACAGCTTATATATGTATATAGTTGTACACTGGTAACAAAAATGAGAACTTAAGGGGAGAAGTAGGAACTATTTTAAATAAGGTCTGAAATTCCGAAAGTTCCGAATTCCAAAGCAAAGTTCCGAATTCCGTTCCGTTCCGATTCCGTTCCGTGCCAGCCCTAATATGGAGAGGTAAAATAAACTTCTTCGAGAACCACCAACATAATGCATATGACACTCTGCTCTCATACCTGTATGTGCATTTTAATGACTGCCTTGCCAATCAAAGTGGCACCAAAGAATGTCCAGAATGGAATCAGGAAATGACCACATGTGATGCCAGCCAGGTCAAACAGTGGGTTGGGGATCTGCAAAATCACAAATTATAAACATTTAGGAAAACTTTATTCATTATCATAATTTAAATCAAACAAATAGAAACTAGCCCACTTGCATAGGTTTATGAGAAAATTATATGACATGTTAATGTTTAATCCAAAATAGGAGATAAATGTTACATCAAGTCTGAAATATGTTATCCCATACTTTTCTCTTTAAAGGGAACCCTGATTAAAAAGAATGTGACATTTTGATGACAAAGAGTCAATTTCTCAAAAAGTGGCAAAAGGATGAGCTGGAACAATGGTGTAGATTACCAGTATGGATATCCATATTATTATGGATATATCGTTCAGATAAAAGGCAGTTTTAAAGAGTGTGAAAATTGAGGATGGACAAATGACTGACTCAGGTTCATAAGCTCAACATATGAGCCAATTAAAAGCATAAAACTTAAAAGCCCACCACTTCACTAACTGGGAGCTTAAAAGAATTTTTTATTAAGCGTATGAACAATTTAGTATGAAGCATATAAGTGTGGGATTAAGAATACTCACAGAGGCACATGCAAGAATACCAAAGAAGCCAACTCTCTGCACCAAGCCATGTACTCCAAGCTTTGCCCTCTCCATCCAGCCCTATAAATAGATCATTATACATAATCATAAAATCATTAAATAATACATATTTCTAATTTCCATAGTTATTAGTTTAATCCGGTATGTTCAGTTTTTGTATGTTGTACAATGTTATGACATCAGATAGTTTCAGTCAAATCATCAGTTTTTCAATCCCTTTATAATATTCAACTTTTTTTTATTATTTTGAATTTCAACTTTCAACTTCTTCAATGAGATGCTTTTACTATAGTTTAAACTGATGATTAATAAAAATGCATGGTTTATTTCTATCAATGTATGTCTATGTTTTATCCAGGGTGACAAAAAATGCAACCCTCTCATTTTGGAATGGTTTTCTCACTTATGATGGAACCTTCATGACTTTCCAAGTGTAGGGGAAGTGAATGCAGCAACTCATATTCAGTATACCGCACCACAAGCTTACATAACATATAGCACGTACAAACACCAAGTTCATGCAAATCCCATTGAACAAAATGTACTTTATCAGCAAGCTCATCATTAGATAATTATTAAATCACATCAATAATCATAAAGAAAAAATAGCCCAGGTGTCACAGATAAATCACTTCATTCTGAATACCTTAACCTAAGGAGTTACAGATAATAAATCAGTCTGAATAGCCCAGGTGTTACAGATAAATCATCCCACTCGGATAACCTTAAGCCCAGGGGCCGTGAATTCGTATGATCTCCAATCCAATCCAGATAAATTTGATCTTTCGGGATAAATCTTGGATTACTAATCCTATAAATATTTGGTGAATTCGTACAATCCGAGGATTATGAGGGGGAATCCCCAAGATTTATCCATTTTGCATTGAAGTTCAGATAAAATTTATCCAAAAAGTAATCAACCTCAAGTGGTGGCTTGAGATTTGTCCTGAGATTAATCCCAGGATCGTACGAATTCACCGATTTTTGGATTTATTCTTGGATTAATCCCACAATGCATCATTTCCATGATGAAATTTATCCGGATCGGATCGCGGATCGTACAAATTCACCGTCCCCAAGAGTTACAGATAATAAATCAGTATAGCCCAGGCGTTACAGATAAATCATCCCAATTAGATAACCTTAAGACCATGAGTAACAGCTAAAAGTCTGCATAATTACCAACTGAGCAGGAAAATGTGAAAACAAAAATAAATGTTAGAGTTGTCATTAACATTAATTGGCCTCGGAGTGACCCACTGATATTATAAGCCAAAGATGTTTCTACATACATAAATATATGCCTACAAATAGGAAGATATTAAAATATTACATTCACCAAGAGAAATAAGATTTGGCTTAAGAGGCATATGATTAGGCTTTAGAAAATGTAATTCTGTAATTTCTATTTCTACAAGTCATTTCTACATCTACAAAATGTCACCACTTGGCTGTGATAACAAGTGTAACGATATGTTACAGAAGCCTACAGTAAATGTCAAAAGCTGATGCAAAATACGGATAATAAAGAATGGTGGCTTTAACCATAAGTAACAATATGGCAATAAATCTTGGTCTTCAAAACGTCCATGCAAACTATTTATATTTTATACGGTTGAAAAATCGCAAAAACATTTTTGCAAACTTACGAGTTTATGATGAGCCTCTTTTTCATGTAAGAGCTCTTCAATCTCCTCAAACTCATCATCTTCATCTTGCCCTGAGAGACGTGCAGCACGTGCCATAAAATATGGGGGAAGTTCTCCTATAGCCGTTCCTGCTCCCTGAAATAAGATATAAGGTAAAATATACATTATTACCACCTTGCCGGGCCAGTTCTAGGGGTTTTAGTGCTAGTTTAGAAGGCGTTCATTTTACTATATCGACCTGAGAAATGTGTGACGTCATAGTGGTGGTCCATATGGACCGGTCTAGAATATTTTCTGGACCGGCAATATTTCCCCGGGAAATTAGATATCGTTCAGTGCGTAAGATTTTCTTGCTATTTCAGCCCTGGTCGTTAACGGTGGTAATAATACTAATAACGTCATTTCTGCGAGCAATATAGTGAAATTTTGGACCTTGGGCATTCGGCCCTCGGTCCAATATTTCACTATATTGCCCTTAGAAATGACATTATTGTACTAATAACACACTTCTCATTAAGAGGAGTTACACTATACAATTATAGTTCTAAATGAAATAAATGAAGGCAAAAATAATTTCCGATTCGAAATTTAGTTTTAATTATTGGGTATGAGTCACAAAACCCGAACATCGAACTTAATTATTAACACTTTAATAAAAGCCCAACATAACTACAGTTTATTTTAATCGCTTAATGCATATGTAATTATTTTCTTTATAGTTTTTTTAATTTAGTTAACACAGTTTCTAAATAAAATATAAGATTTTTATCCAGAGCACTATCTTAAAAAAAATCTGATTAATCTGAAAAAATGAGGCCTAGTATAAAGTTTAGTTGACTTACCCACATGAAGGCCTCTATCCTCACTTTGCTGACAATGGTCCACAAAGACATAGAATCACCTTGCTCATCAGGACATATAATACTACAATGTAATTGGAATATGTGGGTTAGATTGCACAAGACATAGAATCACCTTGCTCATCAGGACATATAATACTAGAATGTAATTGGAATATGTGGGTTAGATTGGATAAGACATAGAATCACCTTGCTCATCAGGACATATAATACTACAATGTAATTGGAATATATGGGTTAGATTGCACAAGACATAGAATCACCTTGCTCATCAGGACATATAATGCTACAATGTAATTGGAATATATGGGTTAGATTGCACAAGACATAGAATCACCTTGCTCATCAGGACATATAATGCTACAATGTAATTGGAATATATGGGTTAGATTGCACAAGACATAGAATCACCTTGCTCATCAGGACATATAATGCTACAATGTAATTGGAATATATGGGTTAGATTGCACAAGACATAGAATCACCTTGCTCATCAGGACATATAATGCTACAATGTAATTGGAATATATGGGTCAGATTGCACAGGGTATAGCCAGGGGCAATTAGCAAGAAACTTTGTGAAGTTAAGAATTCATAAAGTCCATTCTTCTTTTACTGTGACGTCATTATATCCATGTTTACAACGATTGATTTAAGAATTTGTAACTTTACGAAGTTTCTGTTAATGATCCCTGATTCTTAACACAAATGAGGCAAACTGAAATCTCCCACTTGGCCCAACCACCTGAGGTCAAAAAATGTGCAAACCCTACACCAGCCTCTTAGTTCGAATATTTACAATACATGCTTCCAAACAAAATCTATCATGTTACAGGTATAGTTATTACTATTTTCATATTGATGTCCAAGTAAATTAAAAATTAATTTAACTAATAAATGATTGATGATACAATACATATTCTAAGTAAAACAGAAACTGTACATTTAACATGATATATTCCACCTACAAATTGTATTTTATTTAAATTGTAAACTTACTCATTAGGATATGGTGGTTCAGGGAAATCTACTGATTTACATTCAAAAGCTGCTAATGTAACTGCTGCTATATGGGGCCCCTAGAATTAAACAATTTAACAGCAAATGAGTACAGTAAATAAAATAGGATTATATTTAGGAATACCGTCATAGTAAAATTGCTTATGCAAGAAAGGGGATGATTTCAGTAAAACATCATGTTTAGCTAGTGAAGCATGGCTCAGAGACTAGAATAACAGCTGTGATGTCAAAATAGGGTTCTGGATTTGGGGTCTTTGATCTGTAGTTTTTGAATACAGTCAACTTGATGATGTTTGGTATGTTAGGTTCACAATTTTGAATTTTAGGAATTTTTAAAACATATTTAGGATTTTAACAATTTTATTTTACCAATAATGGGATCTTGGTTAGCCTTTCCTTGGGCATTGAAATCAAATTATAAAAGGTGACTTCGTATAAAGTATTACGTTCTTTGTTTCTCTTGCATTGAAATATATTTTCAGTACTTACTAGATATAGGAGGAATGTATGAAGCCCTGTCCCTAGGCCTACAGATGATAACACGCCTAGTCCAACCCAGTATGCACACCACAGAAACTGTTTCCTAAACTGCATGACAAACTGAAAGAAAATGTTCACATTAAGAAATAATTTTATGAAAATGAAGTCATGGAGTTTTTAAGCATTGTGTTTTTATATATTTCCTTAAACTTCTATTATTACTAAGTTTTTCCATGAAAATAATAGAGCAATTGAAAATGTAAAAAATTAAATATGAATAATTTTTATCGCATTATTTCTGGTCAGGGTTGACTATGGGTTTTATCCTAAGGCAATAACTTAATGAGAAAATCTTGTAAAGCGCACTAACCTTTTGATGTGGTCCCTCTATATGGTATACAGCAAGCAGACATAGACAAGTGACTAGGAAACCAAGAACTGACTTTTTATTCTTCCACAGTCTGCAAACACCAAAATATAAGAATATAAGCCATTAACTACCAATGTCAAAAATACAGTTCATCAGACACCATTTAACAAATAATATTAATAGTTTCTCACCTAATCAATGCAAACAATTTTTTCTTGAAATTCACTTGTTAATGCCATAACATGTATAGCAAAACTTAAAAAGTGTTCTACTTTTGGAGGTGTTCTACCAGTCCTATACATGTAGAAGTTCATTTAACACCAAGTCAGCTGGTCTTGGTTTCATTGTACATGTATATGGATAAATTAGATCAGGAGATGCATGAGGCTGTAAAAAGCTCCATTCACTCAACAGGCACTGAACAACCTTGTACAAGCTATAGAAAAAATTAAGAAATATCAACATACCTAAATATAAAATTCCGAATAAGATAAAGAGTTTCTAATAGGAAATAATATAGCGTCATGATTGGTCGTCGCCATAACACCAACGTTCTTCTTTCACTCTCCTCAGCCATTTTATCAAACTGTAGCCTGTCTTCTGCGTCACTAGATGGCGATGGTGTCCCACCATTTGTGACATGTATGTCTGTCTGTGTGTCTGATGGTTTCTGTAAGCTACGCTTCGTCACAGCTGTTGATTCTTGGGAAGTCACGTTACTTGAGGCATTTGCAGCAGTTAATCTTGCCACCTGTAAGTAAATCGGATTGAGACAAATCTAATATTTCAGAAATATGCGAAACATCAATTCTGACATCTGATTTGTTCAGTCCAGAGAAGTATCCAAAAGGGCCCACCAAAATCAAGGTTTGTTAATGACAAATGAACAACAATATGAATTCTTGACCTTTTGTTCAATTCAGTTTCTGGTAATGAACCCCTTAATAAAAGAATACAAATTATTTAATTCACCATATCAATAAAATTTGATATACCAATAAACACTGATACAGATTCTAAAGTATACTTAACTTATTTCTACACTGTATATATGCTTAAGTGCTCAAGCACTATCATATCTGAATTTTGACCAAGTGAACAGTACTTCTCCCGAATACATTGGCTTATATGGCTGGCATATGCTTACCACACATGTGTTGAGCTTGTCATGTAGGGATCAATGGTTCTGTTTTGAGATGTATTTACAGATACACACATGCAACTGACAGGTGATTTCAGGTGACTTTCGATGCTTTATACTCATACTTATTTCACTCAATTCCCCTCTAAAATTTTGCTAAAGCGTCTAATATATATTTTATGTAGCATTTTTGATAACACATAAATATCAAATGTAGTACCCAATATGACACATCAAATAAATGACACATCAAATTTAAATTGCTTAACCAATATGACACATCAAATATCACCAAAATGACACATTAGATACAAGATGAGACATCAAATATCAATTGTTGTATCAAATATAATCTATATTATAATATGACACATCAAATACAAATGGATGACACATCAAATATCAACTGTTATAACCAAAATGACACATCAAATATCAACAAATTTACACATCAAATATTTATCAGCACTACACTAAAGATGACACATTAAATTTCAATTGTTATACTCAAGATGACACATCAAATAAAAAAAAGAAGACACATGAAATATCAACAGATGACACATCTAACATCAATTGCTACACCAAAGATGAAACAAATATTTGTTTTACATACCTTATTTCCACTAACCACAATAGGTACGAGACAAACATTTGAGTCCATCTTTTTGAACCTTTGTTACTGTTAGTTTTCTAGATATCACTCATGTATTTAGGTTTCATAGTTCAATCTCAGCAATGCTGGTACATTCAGTTTACTCTTATATCTAAGGGGAGGCATCAAAACTTCGATGTCGGATAGAATACTAAATAAATCTAGTTAGGGGGGAGGGGGTTCAAACCCATTTCCGTTTGCTATCCGACAAACCAACATTTCATATTTTTGGCAATTTCGACTCAGAATGCCTTGGAATGGTTTCAAAAATAAAGATTTTACCCGATGCTTTCTTCGTCAAGATCATTCCAATGGATTCTATTCTATCAATAGTTGTTTAAAGCCGCAAATTAGCAATAACCCCTAAGGGGATGTTTCAAAAATCCTCTTTTGAAGTGTTATGTATAGCAGTAGTTCAATATATGTAGTTTTACTGTGTTAACCCCCCCTCTCTTTTAATAACAAGTTGTATAGGTAACCTGTTTTCCTGGAAGTTTTTGATGGCAAGATTTATGTGGCACCCACCCACCCACCTACCTAGACACGACAGATGCATGCCAACCATCTGCACAAGACAACAACAAAACGATACTTTGAAAAATGTGATAAAAAAGGTATGACCATGAACGTTTTTGGATGAAATCAATTTATAAAGTCCTTGTGAATGGAAGTTTATCAATTTGATATGACCCCTCTGAGAAGATGTCAAAGTTTAAGGATAGAGATAAACATGATCTTGTAGTCTGAAGTGACCTGAATTATAAAATCAATCAAACTATCTCTTCAATGTTTCATAATTAAAGCTCTTTGGAATTCCTCTAAATCAAATACAGTAGAACCTGCTAAGTGGAATATCTCTGTAAGTGGAACACCTCACAAATGGAAGTATGGAACAAGTTCCACTTTTAAAACCCATTGACTTGATGCAAAAAATTAGTCTAAAATTAAAAGAAAATATGAGGTGAACATAGAAACAGATTTCAGATTTGTTTAGAAAGCGAAAGCGCATTTATTGCATTTAATTAATGAAAATGAATCTAATTGATGACATTCTTAAAAAAAACTCATTTTTATTGTTTTCTTTTCATTATGCTTACCATAAATAGGGGGACTCTGTTGAACTTTATCAAATGGGGTTAAGGTCAGACTGCATGTTTGGAATTTTGATGCAATCCTCAATAGAGTTACATGTTAATTTTGAAATTTGAATCACTCCTTTCCCACATTGTCTACATCTTTCAGATTAGCACAAAGAGTGCACTAATGTACCTAGAAAAGAGTGTAAAGAATATTTTTTATAAAATGTATAAAAAGTGAGAAAATTACATACCTAACTGTCACTGAATTTTCTCGTTTTTTATACAATTTATGAAAAAAATATTCTTTACACTCTTTTCTAGGTACATTTCATTTCACGATTGTACAGCCATAAGTCATACCTCATTTGTAATGTCTTGTTATTCTGTATCTCCGAAATCATGCGGTCCTAACTTCGACCATTAATTTGAATTTTGGACCTACCAGGTGCTTGAAAATCAAGGATTGCCTTTCTGTCGGTGCATTACTTTATTGTAAAGAGTCCATCGTTCTATCAGCTTTTTGGTTTGGTCCCCAGCTGTTAAAAGGCTTTTGAGAGGGATTTGTGTTATGCTTTGAATGGAACAAGTTTGAAGAAAAACAGTGCAGTATGAGACTCGTAATCCTTGATTTTCAAACATCCAGTAGGTCAAAAATTCAAATTAACGGTCGAAGTTAGGACCGCGTGGAAATCACAAACAAAGGTTATTCAAACATTCCTGCGTTAAAGAGGCTCTATGCCATAGGATGGCACATATAGACAAATCCATTTGGATCCATTAGGAGTTACTCGAGTCTCTAGCTTACAGCTAGACGAAACTTCATTGATTTCGTATGTAATGTGCTACACGCACCTACACGCACCTAGAATTCATTTTTAATAAATTTTATAAATATTTTTAAGAATATTAATCATATTTAGGATGAAGCGTTGCTTGTCTGGATTTAGATATTTCAAAATTTCATTTCGGAGTTTTGACACATGGTGAAATTTTCTCGCTGTAGCTAAAAATGGCGTCCGGTTCTGGACGTGAATAACATTTGAAATTATTCTCGCTTAAAGAAATCAAATATAACAATAGATTCAGACGGGGATGTGAGCTGATGTTCTTCAAATCTATACATAAAGGTATATTTCATATTATTATGCCATATTTACTGTGCGTGTGACACAATGATTTACAATATTTATAATACTAAGGCAGCTCAATCTTCCTCCTCAAAGCCGGAATATAGAGAAGGCTTTGGACCGAAGTAAATTAGGAGCACTCTATTTAGTTGGAAAACTCACCCTTTATTATTTTGTATCAGCACTACCATATAGATCTAGCCAAAATGGGCACCCTTTAGGGCTCTTTAGCACAAAAAAAATTGGCAAGACCATTTGAAAGCACAACTTTCTGTGGAAAACACCTTGCCAGATATGGCGACATGTAAAATAAAAAAAGTTATTTTGCACACTGATATTAATAGTTCATATTCACTTACAAGATCTTTCTTCAACCCTTTCAGGGGAAGTCCCCTCTTCTTCAACTCCTGGCGTAGCTGAGCGACAGTACGGGATGCGTAATTCACATCAGTTTCCGACGAAAATTGTCGAGATGAGCTCATTATTCAACCGTCTTACGATGATCCAATGTACAACGTTTAATCAAGTCAAAATATCTTATTATCTAGAGTTGTAGATTTGGCTGAAACTCAAAAATATTACAAAGACACGTCACTTTAATTTTTTTCAAAATGGCGGCCTCCTATACCGGATACACATTCCAGATAAATTTAATGAGCCAACTTTAGATTTTTCAATTGAAATACACTGACTTCAAAATTTCAGATCAACCAAGACGGCTTTTATTTCATCTATTTTTGATCAAAGCTATCACTAATACTGGAAAAATATTACATTTCTAAGCAACAATCTTTTGGAATGTGTAGCAAGGTCAAGGTCATCTCAAATGTAAACATTGCATTGCAAATATATTTGTAATTAATTCAGTTCATGCATTGTATATCTACTTCCAGGTAATTATGATGAAACTCTTTGAAACCAAAGAACTCTTATAGACTTACAATATAAAATTTCTTTGTTAATCTGTTGCTGCAAGTCGCTGATTACATATAACAGATGCATGCAAATATATAATCTGAAAACACATATCAGTATCAATTAAGAATTCTTTTCTGATATAACATTTAGACAATAGACATTTACAATGGAGAAAGAACAACAAAAACTTGAGATGAAAACAACGAATGGTCACCAAAATAATACACGACTAAGCAAGCGACTTTTATATATTCTACGCTATGGGGCAGAAATGGAAGGACTGCGAGTTAATGAAGGGGGTATGTTCTTGTTCATGTACTGCTTGTAGAAACTGGATATTTATGAGATGAGAGAATGATAAAAAGACCAAAATCAAAAGATCCTATGCTAAAGGCTCATATGAAAAAAACTTCACATTGGTGGGAATTGAGTGCTCTAAAAAATGTTCAGCTTCTACTCTACAAAAATCACTTGATCAAATAATTTGATTACTTTCTATGGTCCAATCACATTTTTTAATAAGTTCTGAAAGTCCTGAAACTTAATGACAGCCACATGTTACTCCTTTGCAAGATCCTCTATAGACCTTTTAGTAGATTTAAATGTACTTGAAAAGGACAACTTTGTATCTTCTTATATCATATATTTACTCAACACCATTATTCTTTATCAATGGCGTTAACCACTAGATCTTTAGATCAAATTGCATGCCCTTTACCATAGAGAACTTCTTCAATCTTCACACACAAGGATTATTTTGATTTTCTTAAATACCAGTACCTGTGTTTTTTGTTATTTTAGGCTACGTGGATTTGAATGAATTAATGAAAGTTCCCATGATGCACTGGCACACTATTGATGATGTCATGGAGATGATCAACGCATCTATGTCTCACAGAGGAGTAAAGCGTTATGAAGCTAAAACAGAGAGGGACCACATATTTATTAGAGCCTGTTATGGTCGAAAATTGGAAAGAGTAAATGTTTTTGATTTTGTATGTTTTAGTTTTACAGCCTAACAAGTGGCACTCAATGAGCAACTGTAGCCAGGTATTTGTAAAGTAAGGTGTTTATATAGTCAAGTGTTTATATACTTAGGTATTTGTACAGTCAGGTGTTTGTATAGCCAAGTGACTATAAACTAGTTAGGTGTTTCAGTATGTGCTTCACTTTTGGTATATGGGCCATTAAATACATGTACAGGAAACAGTCAAGCATGCCCAATCCATTTAAAAATATAGTTTAAAACCAACTTATATTTACTGGGGATTTATATCAGTATATGCATTATACATGTACTAGAAACATGGATGTGTTCATGTATTTCAATTATTTCAGAATCCCTGTCATGAAGGCACTAAGATACCCCGTCTGCTTGAAAGTTGCATGAATGAAATCTGCAGTAACCTTGACAACTATGACCTTTATGACTTTCCTGATGAATATTTGCTCAAGTGAGTCATTGAAAGCAAAACATTAAATGTATAAAAAGAATATTTTGAGCTTTGACAAAACAAGACAAACGCTGTGTTTAAATGTATAATAGTATTAAGTTTGTACATGTAGTATATATTGTAGTCAAGTTTTTGTCAGTACATGATCAACCCTCGTATTACCAAAAAATATGAGAGACTTGCATTTATCTTATCAGAATTACGTTTATTTTAGGCATCTAGTCAATATATCAGTGTCATTTTACACAAAATAATGTTTCAGGTAGTATGACTATAAAAATTCCTATTTAGATAACAAGATGTTGCATTATCCTCGTTGAATTATTTTTGCAAGAAAAACATGTACAATGGTTGGGATTCTATCCCCCAATATAAAAAATAAATGACATTTAATTTCAGTGGCATGATACACAAACTGAAACGACAAAAGAAATTAAATACGAAGAAACTGAAATCTCTGCTGGTCCCTAGCATAGAACATTTGAATCTGGATGGTGTATACCTCACTGAGGCTTGTTTGCGTATGGTCCCTACAGGGTGTCCAAATCTGAAGGTCCTCAGTCTGAAATGTTGCGGTTATGTGGCAACTGATCATTTAATGGCACAAATTCTCAAGGTTTGTTAGGTTTTCTTCAGTATTGATAAAATCTTAGTTCAGAAAACGATATTCAAAGCTTTTTTTATGAAGACATTACTATTTATGATTGGTGACTGTTGCACATTATTGCGGACATAATGTGCATAAGGAAACTAGAAAGGATACAAAAAGCATAACAAGCTTTTCCTTATAATCCTAATTTCATTTTCTGGGAAAGGAAAATTGAGATATCTGATCAAATAAAGAAGTTACCGAAGAATCATAAGAATTTGGAAAGGGGACACACTCTTTTTAATCTTTTAATCTTAAAAGGCTAAAAAGTCAAAGGATTACTATTATCTGAAATAAACTCAAGAACTGTTGGATTATGGAAAGGTGAGAGCAAAAATTAATGTAATAGCATGAAAAGTTTATTTAACTTACTCTCAAACTCATTTGTATCCCTTCAAGTTTGTATGCAGATAATTTGGTGTTTTTCTTACTTTCTGCATATTAGGCTGGCATAAATAAATGAATTGTTTAGCATTTATACATGTGATTATATATATTTATTATTTTTCAGAAACTACCTCAGTTGGAGACACTAAATTTGAGTGAATGTTTTCACCTAACGGACAAAACCTTAGTCTCTTTGAAAAGACACACATCATATCTACAAAAACTTGACATTTCTTGGGACCAAAACTTCACCGAAGCAGGGATTCTAAATTATATACAATCTAATGTAAACCTTAAACATATAGATATGTTTGAAAATGTTAATTTTACAGAAAATGGGAGAGAGACTTTAAGGACAATTGCTAAAGAACAAGATCTTGTTATTTTGTTGAAAGGATTATAATCAAACCTAATATTGTCTTAATTATTTATTTTATACTGACCACATAAACCAAATAATGTCAGAAAGGTAAGACTAAGAGACACTTTGTACATATCAATTGTCTTATTCTATAAACCAAGTTGGATGCTGACTATTTAAAATTATATGATCAATCAAAGTCCACACATTCCAATGTGATAACGATGTGATTGAAAAATACAAAACTATTTTGATGTATGAAAGAAACCCATTTTATTATTTGTTGATTTAATTTACAATGACTATGTGATGACCTTGCATATTGTGAAAAAAAGAATACTGTGAGTCCAGAGCAGACTCCCACATATAAAATAAAAATATTATGATGTTTATGAACATAACATGTATCTCTCTTAATCCAAGATTGCCATGTCAAAATTAGTGTGTCTAATAATGACACATTCTATATCACACGTTTGTTGATTCAAAATAACTTTATAATCCGCTATCGTCCAATCCTAAGTTTTGGTCAGGAAAGTTGCATGCTGGGGATATTCTCTGATTGATCAGTTCCTCCAATCATGTGTGTGCTAGTATGAAGTCCTAATATTTGGATGTTCACTGTTCAGTAGCTTCCTGAGATCTGTACATGCAGTAACTCCACTTCTTTCACACATATCAAAATAGGCCAACCTCCAGATACTCTCCTTTATCCCTTTCAAATCTGGAGTTTAGTTACATACAATTAATCCATGACATTTGCTATGGTCATAACAGCACCATTCTCTTCCTAATAATATCTCCAAGATGGACTTTATAATGATAAACTTGAACCTAATTCATTCAGCCACTAGGTTGTCCTATCATTTGAGTCATTTTCTATAATGTAATCACCACCATCAGTGGTTTCCTCAGTTCTATTCAGTAAGTCACTTGCTAACGTTGAGAGATTAACTTCATGCTGTTTTTTCTCAGATTCTGCCTGTAAAGAAGCTTCTTTCTCCTGAAATAAGTGCAACAATATTATTGGTTTTAACAGACAATGGCAAAGTAAGGGCAAAGCAAATCCCATCAAATCTTGTTATATGGCAGACTAAATCCATCACTTTTCAATATTTCAAAATGGCTGTCATATTGAGCAAATTGTCAAAAGGTTACGTTACCAACAAAATAAATCCATTTTTAGTACTTTGTTATAACACAAACACCTATTATAAAGATGGCTGCCATTTTTAAAAAAATGTCATTTATAAAAATTGCCAACTTTGTAAATCAAGCAGAACTTTTATAACCATTGGGAAAATGCAAAGGCCTACAAAATATGAACAAAAAATAAGGCCATCGGTTTCTGTACAGATTGATGGAAAGATGGAGATGCTCTCTTATAAGTTGAATTACTACAGAGATGGGATTTTACAGGAGTCCATGTATTGTCTTAAAGTGGTATTTACTCAACACAGGTTTTCTGTATCCATGATTATGAACTATACCTGTATTTTCTGCTCCATTGTTTTGAGTACAAAGCCTTCATTATTTACTTCTAGTCTTGCTCTTTCAAAGAGGTCTTCCTCAGGGATACCATTCTTTTGAAGAATGTAGTAGTGATCTATAAACCTAAAACATAGGATAAAGTAAAACTAGAGTTATGAAATGTGCCTAAATTTACAAGACACAAGAATTGAATAGTGACCTATGAACCTGACAGGTCTGTAGCCAGGGGGGTTCGCAGGGTTCAGGCGAACCCCCCCCCCCTTGGCCAAAAATTATTTCAAAATCATGCAGTTTTTCACCATTTTGAGCACTTCTCAAGTGATTTTAGCAATATTTGGCCCAACATTGTCAAATGTGAACCCCCCTGGAAATTGTGGAAAACTGAACCCCCCTTGGCAAATCCTGGCTACGGGCCTGCCTGATATGTTGGGTAAATTTGATCTTAATTGATAGCAGAGGCCTGAATCATATGACAGTATGAGGGACAAGAAAAGAAAGACACACTAAAAATATCCAATGTTATTTCAACTGAAGCATTAATAATATTTCAGATTTGGTAGAGGCATGACATTATAGTAAAACATAATAGTAAAACTTGATTGTTAAACATGAAATGGTTAAATCTCTCATTTCATTTCAATGAATACATGTAGTTGGAAAATATCGATTAAACATTAATTTTCAACGATGATCAAAATCTTACCTTTGACTTGCAGATTTTTCATTGTGGTTTGTCATATCAATGACATCAGGATTACCAAACTCATTGTAGAATTTCCTCAAAATAAATATTGATATTTCATCAAGTGTATATAAAATGTATAACATAAAAACGGAAATAAAAAAAACAAGAGTAGGTATAGTGGACTGAACTAATAATATTATTTACATCTGAATTGAAAATTAAATTTCAAAGAACAAGTTTTATATTCAAAATTATTTTCCCAGTGATCAATCATGCCGATATTTGGACCATAATTCAAGAATTAAATAAGCTTTACTGTGTATCGGGGACAGGAGGCATGTGATCTAGAACTATGTATGGGGGACAGGAGGCATGTGATCTAGGACTGTGTATGGGGGACCCCATACATGTTAAGTACACTAATTCAGTCCTTAACATCAGAAATAATAATACACAAGGACAACTTACGCTCTTACTGTATCCTCTCTGTAAAGGATAGATGGCACTCCAATCTGTGGAACTTTTCGGTCCATTCTTGGCTCTACTTTGGGTGGAAAGGCTTGATATATATCATGCCATATTGGTTTCTCTGACTCAGACAGGGCACCTGATTGTAAGAGACCTCGAAGTCTGAAATAAATAGATACGTACTGTAACATGGTATTTGTATCTCGAAAGCATACAATGAAATGAAACTTTCCTTTGTAGCAAGGAAAAAGCAAGGAAATTCACACATACCTTCATACTTTCTTTCTTTTACCAGAAAATAATATTTTCAAATATGGATTCAACTACACGAAAAGAATGCTAAAATACCCAGGAATCTATTGAAGTAGGTATCTTAAGTGTAAGAGGCGTAGAAAATTCTCCCATGTTGTAATCGTACAGGCAGAAGATTGAGACGTTCTCAGGATGATAGTTCTGGCACGGGATAAGGTACACTCCCCTCTAAAAGTTTGGAAACAATTAAAGCAAGAAGGAATTTTAACAAGAGGTCAGATCCAAACAACTGGGAAAAATATTCTAAACTGGCAGGGGAATTCACTACTCTTGCTGACCAATACAAGGAAACATATTGGGCCAATGTTTTCAATAAACTTGATCTCAAAAACTCAGACAAGTTATGGAAAGTAGTCAAAAACTATAATAGTCCAAGTAGCAAACAGGTTGTACAACCACTCATTAGAAAAGATGGCACCACCGCTGTCACTGATTCTGATATTTCTCTTGAGTTCTTGGTAAAATATGGTAGGGAAGACCTTAATATTCCTGACCCATGGTTTACTCTTGTGGAAAATGATGCAGACTTGGCTGTTGTTACTGAAAAACAAAACATAGCTAAGCCATATGAAAGTACATGCCAAGCTGAAAACAAAGAGCTCACACTCAATGAACTAATTAGTGCTATAAATAATTCTAAAAGCTTGTCTGCACCTGATCCACGAGAGAAAATCTTCTACATAATGATCAAGAACTCTGGTCAATTGTACATCAAATCAATGCTCAAACTTTTTCAAAAATGCTGGAAAAGAGGCATTTTACCAGATGAGTTCAAAATAGATCCCAAGATTATGATACCCAAACCTGCAAAAGATAACTACAACTCAGATGGGTCGTACAGACCCATTACCCTGGAATCAGTCATAGGAAAGCTCTATGAACATGTAGTTGGTAACAGATTCAATTGGGCAATGGAAGTAAAAAACATGTTTTCTACATTCCAGGACTCTTACAGAATCTTCCGCAGCTGTACTCATACAGTACTCAGATTGGTACAGGCAGTTCAACAAGGATGGAACAAGGGTGAAACCACTATCGCTGTAACCATAGATTATGACTCCTGCTTTGAACGGGTGTGGCGCAAGGGTCTGATTTATAAGCTGCACAGGGACGGTATAGATGGTAGACTTCTATGCTTCATAGACGAGTATCTCAGCAATCGTCAATATTCATTGACTGTGAATAATTTCACTTCTGAGCTCAGAACATCTAAGGTTGGGATCCCTCAGGGAGCTGTAGTTTCTCCGTCTCTCTGTAATGCCTATACGGCAGACTCCCTTACAAACGTAGTATCCAATCACGGGGAATACGCAGACGACGTTATACTTTGGAGTACTGACTATGATCCACACAATGCTACAAACACACTTAACAATGACATTTCAAACCTGTCAAAATGGTGCGACCAGTGGAACATGGGCGTTTCACAACATAAATGCAAGGTCATAGTGTTCTCACCGCCAGGCAAGGCTAGACCTAATGTAGACATCAAATTTAACAACATCTCTCTCAATGTTGTAGAACACACAAAGATACTTGGTGTCATAGTTGATCAGAATCTAAGCTTTGAGGAGCACATACAAGATAGACAGAAAAAAGGCTTTGGAGCATTAAAAACAATCTCCAATTTTACAAATTCCAATCAGGGATGCTCGCAGACAGTTTTCTGCAACTTATACAAAAGTCTAGTTCAACCAAATCTTGAATTTGGATTTGGTGTAATTGCCACATCCACCGACAAAGCTATCTCTGCGTATAGAACAGTGCACAGACAGGCTCTCCTCAGAGCCACAGGTTGTATCCAATCCACAAGCACTGAAACATTAGAAATTCTAACGAACTGCACTCCTATTGACATACTGTTCAAATCCAGACAGGCTCAGGAATTTGCCAGAATATGTCTGAAAACTGAATCAAGTCCAATCTACAAGGAGACAATACTGTGGAAAAACAGCACAGTCACTGAGAGGAGAACAACTGCCTTCAGCATACTACATTCACGACTGATAGAGTTCTGCAGGAAACTCCCATTAGAACATCTTGAGAAAGAGTACACCTATAGTTACAACTTTAACAACTTTGAATTTACTGGAGCATCTAGAGACTCCAATGAATTAACAAAATCTAAAACAGAACAACGAGAGAGAATTACAGACATCCTAGAGAACTGCCCTGCAGACGCAACCATTGTCTTTACAGACGGATCAGCATATGGCAATCCAGGACCTACTGGCTCTGCGGCAATTATATACCTACAAGGTCTTAGAGGGGAACCTATTTGTTTAGAACAAGCTATCTCCAACAGAAGCAATAACTTTGTAGGAGAAGTGAGGGCCATCAACCTTGCACTCACCTTTCTACAAGAAAGTCCACTTTGTAACAACATACTACTATTCTCTGACTGCCAGCCAGCGCTTATCACAGCCTTTGAAACAAACGTTCCAAAAAATGAGCTTAACACAGTCATAAATATTCGCAACTCATGCAAAACAATCAGACAAAAAGGTCTGTCAATCAAATACTATTGGGTTCCAGGACACGTTGATGTCAAAGGCAATGAACTGGCTGACAGTCACGCTAAACGGGCAGCATTAGTTGCAAAAAGCGGAAAATACGCTGAGGCTAAAATAAACAAACAGCATATATACAGCCTGATCAATAAATCTGTCCAGACAAAGTGGCAGAGACAATATAATAATTCCAAAAAAGTTAGCCACATACAGCGATCAATAGAAAAAGTTGGAACCAGAGCTATCCTGGGAGAGAAAAACAGGAAAACATTCTGTATTACAAACCAAATGTTAAGTGGCCATACGAAGCTCAATAGCCACCTAAAGAAAATCAATCCCATACTCCCTTCAGACAAGTGCCACAACTGTGACAGGATAGAGACCATTGATCATTTCATACACCACTGCTCCAAATACAGCGAGATTCGTGAGAGACTATTTTATGAGGCTTATAGTATTCTTCTAGAAAGTGAACATAACCCAGAATTGGACATCAAGACTCTGTCAGGGCTGAACAAAACTCTAAAACCAGACATCAACAAAAGGTTGAACTACGCTTTTACAACCTTCTTGATGAAAACAAAAAGATTTTAATTGTCTAACTCATATAAACTTTAAATGTAAATAAGTTACAAGCTAAGGAACTTTAGTGATTTTAAGAAAAAACAAAAATAAAAATAAAAAGAATCTACAAAAACACTAGAGACAGTCACAAGAGTAAAGCACCATTGAAAAAACAGCACCAGAGACTATTAGGTGACATGATAGCACCGTATATATGGACTTAACCAACCAACCATAATAGGAACACTCCCCTAAAAATGTTTGGACACAATTGTAATACATTATATAATGGTCCCATGTTGTAATCGTACAGGCAAAAGATTGATACGTTCTCAGGACTATAGTCCTGGCACGGGATAAGGTACACTCCCCTCTAAAAGTTTGGAAAGTGTGATGAGCGGGGAAAGTTTGTAGGGAATTTCAGTCACAAAAACTAACAAGTGACAACTTACACTTCCTCCAAGTGTAAGGTTACTATATTTGCACATAACCATCTTTAGATTCAATCTAAATGAGGGCTATGTGCAAATATAGTAGATCTAGGCTAATAGTAAAAAGGCTCCGTGTGAAAAGTGACCGAACCAACTTCACAAGATTAGAAGCATGTCACGTGTAAGCTTATAAGTTTATATAATAATAATATATATGTAGAATCCAAAATATTCATAAATCTAATATAACATCCTAAAAACTATAGATCTAATCATAACAAGCATGTACCTTGAAAAAATAGAAGAGAACTTTTCAACCCGACTTCCTGCCATTTTGTGCGAAGTCTCGTTTGTAAATCATGTGATCAAAATAACATTCGTGTACTTAGACTTGTTTGTTATCTTAAACTAGCGTCAAAAAGATTCCAAGCAAGATAAAATTGATATAACAGTGTTTTTTGGATCATAAATAATCTTCAAAAACAATTAAACCCCTATTTTATCGTAATTGATATAACGAGAATTTACGAGAAACGATGAGAACCTATATCTGACCTTGACCCTTCAAATTACTTTGAAAAAATGAATATCTTTATTTTATGCATGATAATGTCATAATCGGTTCTTCAGAGATGAAATGAAACATGTTATTTGATATGTAAGTATTTTTTCTGTATGTATCAGCTGTTTTAAAGAGTAAACTTAATCGTGGGTTTAGATATTCAAGTTTAAAGATGAAACCAGGAACTTCGCTAAAATTTTTAATTTTGCAACAACAGTGACTGACTGACGCCTAGAAAATGCCTGCTAGATTTTTTGAAGTAAAAGTAGGATCAGAAGCTCAATAAATATTCCTCAAGATGAGACACCTTTCAAACAAGAAAATGCAGCAAAACTCCTCGTAGTCAAGATCGCCAAGTGACAACAAAAAGTTGCCTAGATAAGGCCCTGATAATGGCTGATATCGGTTGATTATATGATGCATCTCTAATTACCCACAGAAAAATTCGCACTAAGCTTGAGAATCTGTTAACGTAATTAGAAAGTTACATGTCTTGCCAAGCGCATGCACATGAAATTAAACATGGAATACTTCATCATATTTCTTAGATAAATCTTTTAAAACCTACATCACAATTTTTGCATCAAACATGACAACATATAGCTAAAGTACATGTACACCTATATATTTCGTCACTATACATTGTGGAGGGTAAGGTGTGATGCTGGCTAAATTAACATTTGATTTTTTTGATATGCCCAGGCATTCTTAAGATAAGAATTATACAACTATTTATTTTCTATTTGCAGGTAGATTACAGGCACGTGGCTTAAGATCCTTTCTGTGGAACAATGTCAACTATGGAATCAAAAGCCTCGGAACAACGTTTGAAAATTAATTTTCATAATGATTTTTCACCACGTAGCAATATACCTGTTGGATTAAATGCAGATGCAAATTCAAATAGTGGAACTAATGATCTGTCTAATCCTTCACAAAATGTACAAGATACAGACGTTGTTAGTGAGCCTTATCTGCCGCCTCTACCCAAAAATAAACCTTCATATCCAAGGACATTAGGTATTGAAGAACAGAGTGTCTTTGATACAAGTCAGCCTCGTGCAATAAACCGAAATGCAGCAATACAGAATGATCCATTATCAGATCTTGACCCATTTGAGTTCAATACATCTTCCACTGGTAAAACAGAGAAAAACAAGAATATTTCTCAATGTCTAGATTCTGATTTGAACTTGGAATTCCCACCAAGGCCTCCTAGGACTATTAGTCCAAAATCCCCAGTGGGGCCTCCAAGGATGGGAATAGCGGCAGCTAGTAGTCCGACGAAATCTAGATCTAACATGTCACCAATGAACTCCATGAAGTTAAATGACTCAGATATCCAAAAGGGGTCTCCAAATGATATTACAGACATTGATCTAAGTCTTCCTAAACCCCAAAGTGCCCCCAGGCCTCCTACTATTGGATCAGAGCTAAAACACCCTGTGGGGCCTCTTGTAGGTCCAACATCACCTCTTGATACAGAATATGGGATTTTATCTGAATGTACAACTTCACACCCAAGTGGCAACATTGACTCTCCTTTACCTCCCAATCCTGCACATAGAACAATATCAATGTCTGAGATATTTACTCCACAGCATAAACCCCCTAAAGAGCCTCAGCTCCCTATGGATATCCCATCACATATGAGCACCCCTTATGGTGGCAACTTAGACGATTACAATCGCTCACTCAGGAAAAATAAACCACGGTCTAAAACAGATCATTATAGGGTATCACAACGGGAACCCGAAGGCGAACCTACAAGACCTCAGAGACCAGGTAAACATGTTGATCATGGGGTCACTGAAGGAACGAATCAATTGGAATTTAATCAAGCTATGCATGATTTCCGAGCAATGTTTCCTAATATGGATGAAGAAGTTATTGAGGCGGTTTTACGTGCAAACAATGGTGCTGTTGATGAAACAATTGATCAGTTGTTGACAATGAATGTTGATTTTGATGCCACAGATAGTGTGCCTCATACTGCTATTTTAGAGGATGTTCCACCACAGGTGAGTTAGATGTTGTTAGTTGATACAGGGTGTCCAAAAAAAACAGGACCGTAAGAAAGTTGAATAACTCAGTTAATTTTGCATATTTTGCATTGAAATTTTATAATTATTTGGTTCATTCAATGTGAATTTTGTTCTGAAAGTTTGATGATAATCTGTTTATTGTGTCAAAAACTACAGTCCTTTACAAAACATGCTCAAAGTGGGCACTTCTCCTCTCTATGCACAAACGAATCCTGCGAACAAAGTTGTTAATGACCCTGACCTATACACATTAATGTGGATGGTAAATATTGGGGTAATTATTGCCCTCTTAAGATTGTCAGGGGCCTGTCAGTGTACATATTGGCTTTGAGAAATCCTCAAAGATAAAAATTAGGGGGATTTAGATCAGGCAAGTGAGCTGCCCATATGGTTTGCGTTCTGCAACTGATGAGCTGACCACCAAAGCATTGCCTAAACCATTTCAGCATATCATTTGCAGTGCTGGGGTGGTATTGGCTTGTTGAAACCACTGCTTAATTATCTCCTTAGATGTCCCTTCTGGTGCTTAGTGGCCTCCATAACTTGGTGAGAACTTACTGGTCCTTGTTCATGGTGATAGCACGTCCCCAGTCATCTTCGAACCAAAAGGGACTGATGATTCCATGTTTCCTCATTGCCACCCAGGCAGTGCATTGTTCAGAATGCAATGGATGCTGTAACACTTCATCAGGAGGATGTAAGCCCCAGTAGCAATTGTTCTTTGAACAAACTTGTCCATTCAGAAAGACATGTGTGTAGGAGGATCATCAACAACTTTGTTCGCCGGATTGAATTGTGCATAGAGATGAGAGGTGCACATTTGAGGCATGTTTTGTAAGCAGTCAATATGGTACAACGAAAATGGGACTTCTGCGCATGTTAAAATTTTTCGTCAAAACTCAACTTTTGTTCAAGTTGATACGATTGTCTTTCGAACTAGAGACTTACCTCATTCGAAAGATCATAAAAGACTTTATCTATGCTGAAAATCTTAGATCCAAACATAGTAGAATACGCCGTCAGTCCGCATTTGATTTTTTGAAGTGAGTTTCGTAGATCGTCAGATTTCTCCGATTGATATCGGGTTATCTCAAATTGGTTCGTTTATAAATACAAATTTCTTTACCGTTGTAAGGCGCATGCGCAAAATTGATTTATAAACGTGATTGGTTGATGGTTTTTCTCCTGAGCATGCGTGAAGTCTGATGAACACTTATGACGAAGACCGGAGCAAACATTACTAGCTCTCAAACGAAATTCCAAGATTCAGATCATTTCGCCGTGTTTGCTAAGCGTGTATACGTGAATGACAAGCTGTTTTGAGTAGATCAGGTACCTGTTTTAGACACAACATTGATTTAGCTTGACATTGATGTGCACATTGGCACTTTTGAGCATGTTAATACAAGTTTTTACACGCTTAGCACGAGACGTGTTTTCGAAATATCTGTTATCTGATTCACTCGATTATCGTATGGATATGTATTTCTGCTGACATTTCAACACCACATCACATAGAATTACGATGCAGAATGATAATAAAACACAAAACAACTACTAAATTCCACTTGTTATTTCACAGGAGGTAAAATTGCACACTGCCTAGATTCTTTGTAAGGGTCGTCAGACATCGGATTGGCCGCCATATTTGAAATGAAAATATCACTAAATAGAGGTCTGCGCATGTGTCAACATTTCGACTGTAAGGAGCTGTAGTTTTTGACTCAATTGATAGATTATTATCAAACTTTCACAGCAAAATTCACATTGAATGAACTAAATAATTCTGAAATTTCAAGGCAAAATATGCAAAATTGACCGAGTTATTCAACTTTCTTACGGTCCTGTTTTTTTTGGACACCCTTGTATAAGAAAATACTTTATCTTTCTGGTTTGTTTGTATTTTGCTTCATACGCAATACACATTTTAGGGGTTTTGTAATTTTGTTGCACCGAGTAGATAGGCAAAATTATTGGATATTTAGTTTAACATTTAGACATCAAATCTCTATACCTCCAATCTACTTATCCAGTCCAGATGGAGGTGAAATATGTAGGGGGGGGGGGTGTCCTCACTAGACTGTTGGTCAGATTTTAAGTGATTTAAGAAATATTTCAGGCAAATCCATCAAAACAGTGATACAGGCACATAACCATTGAAATGCTTGAAACATCATGCAAAATACTTGTTTTTTGTTTTAGCCATTTTGTCTAAAACGAATGACATCCAGATCTTTTAAAGATGAAATCCACAAAATCAGCAGTTGTTTTCTCAGATGAAAAAATTGCAATATTTATCAAAATTCTTCAGTTGAAATGACAATAAAATGAAAAAGGATAAAATAATACATATATGTTGAAACAATTTGAATTGTTCAAGTTGAAGTATTTGAAACTAAATAAAAAAGATGTTCAGTAGGAAGAAGTATTTGATAGAAAGAGGTTTTCACGTAACTACAAATATATGCACTCAGTCCGCCATCTCAGTGCCTCATAAGTAAGTCCATTCGGGAAATATGTTCACTGAGAAAATTCATCTGTTATACCAAACTACTAGTTGCTGTTGGAATCAGCTGGTCCTCCCTGTATTAGAGTACCTTGGAGAAATCAATAGAACATGCTGGAGCCAATGGAGATATCAACATGAATACAAATTGGTCATTTACTAATTTTGTTATACAGAGGATTTGGTAATAATGGCAGGGCTCTCGCCAGGCTTTTAGACTGTGGTGCAGCACCACACTCTATTTAGCTCCCACAACACCCTACTAGCAAATCATGATTGTATCCACTGTCTAAACTTGACTGAATATATACAATAATAGCATGTAAAAAGGATAGAATATAACATAAATATGATTTATCACGATTCAACGATAATGGTGAAGATGTTTGCACCACACCCTAAATATTTTCTGGTGAGAGGACTGAATGGGATTGTGTTCAGATCACAATGACTGTAGTGCATTTAATAATCTCCTGTGTGGTTCAGAATAGAAAATGTCTATGATGTCATATGCTCACGCTAGATATTGTTATTATCCTATGACCAGTGAGTTTTCAGGTACATAACAGCGAGAAAATAGAATCAATATCTTGGGGAATCGGGACATATAATATATATCCCGCTATATCTCCTGCTGTGCATCTCCCACTTCAATATTCACATGAAAAAGTTTTTGTTCAATCAAGAAACAATCAAATTCATTTGACTAATTTGCTTTAGCAAAACTGTATTTAGGCATCCGAGGAAGAAAAAACTATAACTATGACATTCTCACTGATATAAAGTTGAAAATCTGGCAAATGCTTGTCATAGGATAAAATAGTTATATATGATGCTTGGTTTTTGACCCTCTTGCCCTTAGTAAGATATCAGTATTTCCCTCAGAATATTACCCCAAAGCCTCTCATAACATGTTGTCGTTCAACTGTCTGTTCTGAAATAGATAATTTGACAATGATGACACATCATGCTCTGATGCCATCCAGAAAAAGATAATGATGTCACCTAGTTGTCTGTGTAATAGATAATAATAGATAATGACAGTGGTGTCATACAATTGGCATATATATGCGATAATAGCAATTATAACATACCTATGATGATGTACAGTGCAAAGTGTACACAAGACAGCGGGCCAATATAAGTTTTGAAAAGCCCGCGCCCGCTAACTTTCTGATTGGTCAAGGCGCTGACGTCATAACCAATCAATCGAAGATAAAACTGCGCGAGCAATTTTTTCTAAACTCATTTCAATCATTTTCAAACCATTTGTTTGTCAATTTTTTAAGAAAACGGTACTCTCTGACCAGTCTACATCATCATAGGTATGTTATAAATCGTTTATGTCACTATCGTGGCACACATGCCCTCGGTTCTCAGAGATCAATGTCCCTCCCAAGGTCGGGCCATATATCACTGAGACCTCGGGCATATATGCCACGATAGTGACATAACCTCTAATTATTTCTTTTCTAGGAATATTCTGTTCTAAGGGTACTTTACCTCATAACTATCCTAGCCAATAGATCCAACTTTAAGTTAGAAAGGAAGAGGAAAGTATCGCAACAGATTTCGTACAGTCATATGTTGGATTTTGGCTATTTTCTGAGGATTTAAACAGGTGCATATGTTCAACCATTTCAGAAAAAACATGTGGGTGGGTTGTTTGCATCTTCCCTGTCTCAAAGTCGAAATTATTTTATCATCTCTAGGAGTGCTTTTCCTGGAGGTAATGCATTGGTGAAGCATATGTACCTGTTTAAATCCTCAGAGAATAGTCAAAATTCAACATATGACTGTCCGAAATCTGTTGCGATACTTTCCCTCCTCCTTTATGAATTATTTTGCCTATATTTAATGAGATATCGTAAACCATCATATATACATGTACATATATTTTTGCCTCTGTATCCTTCCCCAATATGTATCTTTCATGAATTTTCATGTATTTTTCATGTTTACTTACAGACTGTTGAAGAGCCCAAGCCGCTACCCCCTAGCTATGACACTTATCTCCATGAGTCACGCCCCACAAGAAAGTCTCGATCTGGGTTTAACTCTCAGACACGTCATGAACAAACACGTCATGAAGGGACTCCCCAAACACTTGGTTCATCCCCAAAATATCACAATATTTCAACGCACGATCCAAAGTCACATGTCATAGATTCCTCTCATAATATTGACCAGGAATCATCCGATTGGACACCTGTAAAGGGAGTATCAAAACAAACTGGTGCTAGGCCAAAAAATACAAACATTGCACGTACACGGAGTTCAAAATCAAAGTCCCAGAATTCAACACCCCGTGCCCACGGGGATGTCACTCCAGCTCAGTCATGTCTACATAGTCACCTGCAGAGTACGCCCAGGGGGAAATCACATGTCAGTACCCCTTTTCCTCTCCCTCCCCAGGTTGATGTTGATACCCCACCATCAACAATAAAACATACTCATCACACACCCAATTCTCATCACAAGTCACAATCCCCAAGATCAAGTACAAAGAAGCCACCAAAAGATGTCAAATTCAGAAATTGGAACCCACCAATGCTTGGCGCATTACCAGCTGATTTTCTCCGTATCATAGCAAGCCCTGCACAACACCATCTGGTGGAAGTTAGTTATGAAGACGCAACTCCAAGACCAGTGGTCCCACCTGCACAGCCATCGCCTGAAGTTTTGTCCAAAACGCGGCAGAAACTAGCGGTAAGTTGAAAAGTATAAGAGGGATCATATGTTGAAATATGTTACACATAACATGAGAAATTAAAGGTAATGGTTGTTCTATATCAGCTTTGTTTATATAACAACTAAAAAACATGATAGATTTAAACACTTTATAAGGCAATGAAAGAGGTTGCTTCTTGCTGAAAAATATGTACCAACATTTTGTCCAGAAATTTTTAGTTCAAAAGTCCCTCTTGAGATATATGTGATGTGATTTGACCTGTCTTAGTCAAATAATCTCAACATCTTTTTGTCAAGGTTCAGACATATTTTCAACAGAGAGGCATGTATGTCTAAGATTTTTCAATAGAGTGCAGCACCTAGTTGTTAAAATGCTGAGAATGAGATGAAATTTTCTCATATTTATTTTGAAAATTCAAAATGAAACAAATTGGAAACATGTTCTTTTGCAGAGTTACTCTTCATCAGATTTGAATCGTAAAATTATCCAAGCCAAAATTGCTGAAAATGAACGTATGAGAGCAACAACAAATATTGACCCTGAATATGCCAAATTCTTGGATGATGAGAGATTTGCATTGTTGATGCAGAATGAAGAATTTTTAGCAGAATTGAGGCAGGACCAAGATTTTATGAAAACTTTGGAAAGTGGTAAGTAAAAATCCTAAGTAACAAAACTAAATTAAAGTGGAGATTGAACAAAAAATTCCACAATTTAGTGCGTTTGCAAATAATGGAAATTGAAAAAATTGTTGGCCAGCTGTTTATAGAGAAACTAGACTTGAAATCTCCTTATATTCATTATTCTTGGTTTTAGTAGTTTTCAAGCACTATATTAGAAATTATTTTGTATCAGTCATTTTCAAATCTAAAAAAATGTTTCATGGACTCTCTCAAAGAAAAATTCATATTGGATTGGACACATTTTTAGTGTAATGTTTCAGTCATATAAAGTTGAGAGCAAGAGCCCTGCCCTTAAGTCTTACATGAAGTATGGAATCCCATACTACTACTTTACCTCATTGCGAAGTGTATATGGGGGTCATAAGTGCTTTAAGCAAGACCTATTATACTTCAATCAGACATGATCGTGTCTGCATATTCAGCATATTAATGTTGCACTTAATGTGTTTTTGTATGTTTCAGAGGGATTGAATGCCACTGCCTTTGAGAGACAAGACTCCAGAGATCATGAAGCAGGTAGCCTATATAGTATATGCTCGTGGTTTCTGAATACAATGAAAACCCATGAACATATCATTTCATGTTCATACCATTTTGTGTACATATCATTTTATGTATCATTTTATGAACAGTCAATGTATCATTTAAGTTTTTACTGAGATATTAGAGAGTTTTCGCACAGCGTGAAAGCACAACTTATAACGTATACTTATACTTATAAGCAAAGGTACAAGGTGTTTCATAATGTGGGCTTTTCGTCAGGAAAGATCTTCTCGGACTGTAATAAATAAGGGTCAAAGGGATGCTATTTGTACTTTCTTGAATTTCAGCATGTTTAGTTGATCCAAATGTGATTGTCTAGAATAAAATAGGCTCATATATAGTACGTATGTTATAGACCTATCTCTTCTCAAATTGACTTTTTGGAGAAACACCCTGTATGTCATTTGTTGAGCTACTGAATGGGTCGTTTCCAGGAATTGCTAGAACCTACTGGTTTGATTGGTGTTTCAAATTGATGGTTAATGTATTTGATTGGATACTGTTCCTACTCAGCCAATTATTTTAAAAAAATGCTTGCGGTCAATTGTTCCACACACATGCAGGTAAAGTTTTATACGGAGATCCAACTGTATACGTTTATCATCTCGTATATATACCGTTTTGTAAGTTCATTGAACTTATACTGATCATGAAAACTTTGAAATAATCAACTTGTTTATGTAATGACTGACTTTAAAGGATCATGACTCACTTTAAAGGATCGTGTTCATAATACACTACAACTACTAGGACACGGAAGCAAGCATTTAATTATAATGAGCATAATATACACGTGCAGATGACAGTGTATTCACAGTCTCTAGTTGATGGAGCTTTTCTATATCGGGAATAATTATGTTCCATTAAGTGCAATTTGAAATTGATTTTAGTAAATATGATAGTTCGACATGACCCGTTAAAGTATACATATACGTATAAGTTGTACTTTCACTTATGTGCGAAATCTCTCTAATGTGAAATATGCCTTTATGTAAAAATTATTAAAAATCCTGTTTTTTAATCAGAGCCAGCAGAACCAGTTCTCACCAGGAAGAAAAAATCTCGGAAAACACGAACAAAAGATAAAGAAAAGGATAAAGAACGAGAAAAGGAAAAACAAGAGAAAGAACAAGAACCTGCAAAAGATACAGGTAAAAATCTCAATGTTTCAAGATTTCACACATAGATGTACTCATCTCCAAACTTGAATTCCAGAAGAGATAAAAAAGGAACTTGTAGGCTATTCCAGAATATTACTTGTAGGATATGTCAAGATCTTGTTTTTTAATAGAATATGACAACACACATAGCCACCTCAGAAGAATTTACTAATTCTTTGGCTCATTTTTTTGGGCTGCAAACAAGAAATGTGGATCTTACGGATAACATATATGACGATTGTTGTATTATTCCAGTGTTTGCCAATGCAGGTGTGTTAAGCACTGATCCTATGGACAACATGTATGAAGGCTATGGAGAGGACAACTTGACGTCAATTGGAGCTTTTCCATACAGTAAGAAGATGGCGAGAGATGAGGCAGGTTCCGTGAAAAAGCAGTATGATGCTACCATGGAAACAGATTGTGAGTAATTAGTTTGAAATCTTTGTATTTCTATCATTCTGTTTTTTGCAGCAAATTAAGTGCAAAATGAACCACTTAGCAGCTTTAAATTGAGAGGGTGAAGTGAAATGAATGTTACAGGTACATTTCCTTTAATTTTTCAATAAATGATGATGTTTCTGTTTTAGCCTTTAAAGAGCCCCATATACAACACAATGGGTCATCAGACAATATAGATGGAGACACTACAATGGCACAAGGCTATGGTACAGAAGGACAGGTGAATATGGGGGCATTCCCATATAGTAAAGATGTCGCCACTGATGAGAATGAAGAATTGAAAAAACAGCTGAAACATATGGGTGGATGTAAGTTATTGATTATTATTTACCTTTGAAATATTTAAGTGGAACACATTAGATACCTCTAAAAAGTGTTCCAATTTAGATGTGTTCCACTTATAGTTGGTCTGGAACTTTGAAGAGTGTTCCACCAACAAAAGTGTTCAACTTTACATATCAAGTTGAAAACTTTCTTTGTAATCAGTTAAATGGTACATTTACATGCGCCCTGTTTGTATGTTCACTCCTTACCATGTCTTTTTACAAAAGCTCTAGTACTCTGGCCATTTTCTTAAAACCATGATTTCCATTGGACAAGTATTATGTTTCCTGTGTTTCAGCATCCCGACGAAAACTAACAGCCCTAGCTAGGAAGTTTATGTCAAAGAAAAAGAAGAAACTCGGCAAACATCCGTATCCTTTTCCAATCTAACCTTATGACCAATCAGTGGGCTGATTGAAATGCTTATGCATGGTTTTTAGTATACTTCCAGTTGTCAGTATCCAGTTCATAAAATGTTTGCCGCATTCCTAGCTACTGTGACCACCAAAATAATCTGAAAAATGAAAATTGTTTTTCTAGTAGAACTTGACTTATACCCCTAAAGATATTATTTGTTTTTTTATACACCTTTTATATATTAATAACATGTTTAAGTCCTAAGAAGTGTTGTTACTTTTTACAGTAATTATTTCAATACTCAAATATAATACATTACTTGTCTAAAAATGTAATTTCTCCTTAACCCTTACAAGCCTGGAGTCACGTCCCTCCACTATTAACCTCCTGGATGCTGAAGAGGAAGATACATCCCCAGAGAGAGAGTTAAGTCCAAATATGGATGACGTAGAACTGACAGTAAGTAATTAAAAAATAATTTCATTCACTGATCTCTAGCTCTAGATTCACACATAATTTGAAAAATTCATGGTGAATTCTAATTTTTGATTGTTCAGATGATTCAATGGTTTTGACTGTTGATAGCATTCACTCTTTTTGGAGAACTAAGAATACAATTTCACTTTGTTATTCCATTGGCATTATTGCACACATTACAATATGGCATTACCAATCTGGCATCACCATTATATGGTGTCATATTTGGCATTCCCACTGCAGTTTCATATCTGGCATCACTATTGTGGTGTCATATATATAGTCACCACTGTGGTATTATACCTGACTGACATTGCCACTCTGGTGTCATATCTGGCATGTCATTGCTGCCATAAAACTATTTTATATTTGGCATCACCATTTTGTTGTCTAATTAGGAAACACCATTCTGGTGTCATACTGTATCTGGAATCACCCTGTAATATTTGGCATCATTATTTTGGTGTCTTATCTGGAAACACTATTCTAGTATCATACTATATCTGGAATCACCCTGTAATATTTGGCATCATTATTTTTGTGTCTTATCTGGAAACACTATTCTAGTATCATACTGTATCTGGTATCACCCTGTAATATTACTTTGGCAGAATGTCAAAGAAACAAAAAATATTAATGCTATTTTAAAATCCATTTTTCAGCCTGGGAGTCAAATTTTGAGTGTTCCTACGCAAAAGACACCCCAACGAAATCCTGATCCTCCTAAAACATTGTCCACCTCACACCAGCTGGATGATCTTCAGAAGTTTGACATTGATGCAATGGAAAAGTTACATAATGTGTAATGTCATGAAATTAGAATATCTAAATAGTGTTATTGTAAAGATTTGCCCTGGATAAACTTTCAAATGATATTAGTTTGGCTTACGCCCTTAAAACATTGGAAACTATTTCTTATACATTATTTATGTAACTCATGTATACCTCTCCTAAAGATGTTTTATCTAAACGAAATGGATATTTAAAGTAGTTGATATCAATCTTTTGAGGATGTGAAAAACTTGAGACATGAATCATGGGAAGTCACCTCTTTTATATGGATCAACTTATTGAGGTTAATATGGTATGACAGTTTAATAAACACTTATTACCAAAGAGACATTGAAGACACAAGAATTTGTGCTGCAGTTCAGCATGTTGACCTACTTTTGTAGCTACTATTTTATGGACTATTTGTTTGGAGGAAGGATATACGTTATGAATTGTGAAGTAGTGCTAGTGATTTTGGTCACATTGACGTTCAGTATTATCATGTTACTCTATTATTTATTTAATTGTTATTACGATATGTCTATGTACTAAATGTATACACAGGTTGTTATTAATCATTAAGCACTCATCCAAGAATTGTTTTTCCATGTTGAAGCAAAATGACTGAGGATTTCCAGATTCTGGAAAAAATGCAGAATTTGACTTTTCATGCAGAATTTGCAATTTCTGTGTATTAAAATATTGAAGTTTAGTGAAATCTCAAAATGCATACACAATTTCACCTCAAGTTCTTTTGAAAGTTTCTCAAAACTCTTACTCAGGTGAACCACTGGAATCAAAAATTGCATTTTTCATAATCGGAAGTTGCATTCTTCATGCAGAAGTTGCATTTTTCAATGTAGAAGCTGCATTTTTTCCATGCAAAAAACAGAAATGTGTCCACACAAATCTACTCAGTTAATCAGTAAATGTACCAGATATGATTTATAAATGTATTTGATTTATTATATTTCTTACTCATTGTGCAATTGGTTCTCATTTTAAAAGGTTGTGCTCCTGTGTGTACTCAGTTCAGAAATTGGAGGACAAATTTTATACATATTTATTGAACAACCCTTGTACAGGTTCATGTATATTCTACACACTGTAAAATCCAAAATTGTGTGCTATCGGCTTACACTATATGTTTATTTGGTAATGTACACATATTGAACAATACTTGTGTATGCCTCCTTAAATCATCATTAGTCATTTCATATATTGAACTTGGCTTGAAAAGCTTTGGTAAAAGCTTGACTTAATAGACTTGTATGGTACAAGAAGTGGACTAACTGGTTTGAAATAGTTTTAGGATTGGTTTGCATATGAAACATCAAAGGGTATCCATTCAGAAACTTATTGGAGATTTTCATTAAAAGTTAACTTTCTCTTGAAAGCCCATGGCCAAACCAATCCTAATCTTGGACCAAATCTGTCCATTTATGTCAGCTCTGTACTCTGTAGTCTATATCAAGAGTGTTGAAGTCTTATCATTGCAATGTACAATTCTAGCTTGGAAGAAGTAATCAATAGTATGGCAGAACAAGTTTGTGTATTCAACAAAGTTTTTCATTTTGCATTTACAGCCAATATTGGATGTACGGAAATACCTGAATTACTGGTAAAACCATTGACATAGAAAGAACTGATATAATCACACTACCCTACCCCCATACTGTAGCCTGTATTTCTTTAAAAGGCATACAGGGTACAGTGAAGTTGCAAATTGAGCAGGTATTTTCTATCTTTGTCTAAACGGCTTTTCTGGTAATAATACACTGCTCAATGAATCTTTACAATATATAGTAGAACACTTGGAATATATGTAAAATCTAGTATACCTTCAGAAATATGGAAATAAACAAAGGTCCTCCATTCGGAACTTCGCTGTAGCTTGTATCCCTTTAAAGAAATACAGGCTACAGTATAGGGGTAGGGTAGCGTGATAATGTCCCATGATTTATGAAAGATGACTGTTTGAAGCAATGCATTAATTTATGTACCAATTCATACATTGAATATGAGTATGAATTACCTATACAGAATGTGCATGCATTATCATGTATTCATAAGAGATGTACATGTATTGAAATACATATTTGTTAAGTATTTGATTGAAATGCTGGGAACTGAAAAGTTCAATATTTATGGAATTTTTTATATTGATTTATGACTGCATGAAGAGCCATAATTTTTCATGACTCCTAGAGTACTATAAATTGCTTTAATTTGGTACCCAATTTATTTGGCAATTTTGTACAAGTAGGTCACCAATTCCAATCTTTACCAATAATCAACATACCTCCATGTAATATTGTAATTCTTTGGTACTTTTGATCTACATCTATTTTCTCATAAATCTGCCAAAGTAAAGAAGGACCAACGTTTTCAAATTCATTAAATTAAATACATGTATTGCCAAATTAAAGCAATTTCAAGTCAGTTGTTGTCGACTGCATGTCTATGGGAATGTAAAGCAAAACTGAAGAATACACAATAAAGCAGGCATTAATGTGTAAGAAATCATGAAATGTAAACTTGAGTTGTTGTTTTTGTTTTATAAGATATTCATGGGAGACTCGGTCTAGTTCTCTCCCATAGGTAATAGAGGCTGTTGTTTCATTGATTTGGTTTGTACATCATACAATCATGAATTAAAAATGGAGATCGATTGTTTGAGTTTGTCTTAATTCTTGATACTTGAAAGAAGTTAATACTCTTCCCTTGGACACCTTTTTTATTATTAAATATGGTCATCAATTACCCAGATGCGAGTAGGTAGTTACCATTTTCACCACCAGGTGGCTAATTTGGAGTAGATAACATGGCAGGGTGTTAGAAGATTTCACTTTTTGTGATTTTATAACATCGGGTCTACAGAGAATCTCCTTGACCTAGAAGACACATTTTCAAAAATTAATTTTCAAAGTTGATGAAAACTCTTTAAAATCACTAGATGCAATTTTACATGCAGATTTCAAATATAATATCACTGAATTATGAAATTTTAATGACGTAAATCAAGATTATTTCTACTCGCATCTTGTCTATTTATGCTCATATAGTATACAAGAACCTCCCTATTTTCAGGTATTCTATTTAATGAGATTGAAAAGGGATTGTGGCTTCCGAATGTGCAATCAAATAAATAAAAGTTTACATTTTGTATTGTTTTATTGGTCGAATATCTTGTTAACAAACAAATTAATTGAAAACATGCCAAAAATCAAAATAAACCAATGTTACAATGTCTATTCACAAACTCAGTCATATTTGTAGAATAACTCGGGTTCATACCATTACTACATGTACTATGAAAAAACTATGTACATATTAAGTTGATTTATGTCATCCCATAGTGTTTTAATCTCAGAAATAAATATTTATTAGAAGTGGAATGTCCAAGAATTCTATATATACTATAGGCCTGCAAATATCCCATATTGTATCCTTAAAAGGGTAGATTAATATACAAAATGGTACACCATTTAAAAGCTTCAGGATTTCAGGAATAATTTTTTCGTTTTTCAAAATCAGTTAATTTCCAGAGCAACCTTTAATTAGGCTATAGGTTATATGTACATATCCATTAGTGTGTCATTGCTGAAATGTCCAATGCTAGGGTCCATTGGTGTTGGGGTTACTGTGGTTAATTGTGTATACAATGCACTGTGAGTTCCTGAAAACATAAGAAATATAAATAACTCAAGTTCATTTAATTCACAGAATAATGATTTATTTCAACGCTTTGCCAGTTATTCAACCAGCTTTAACAAAATTACATTTAAAATGGAAGTACACAGTTACATTAATAAATGAATAATTAATTGAATGATTAATTTAATCATTGTTCTCTGAAGTAAATGAAGTTGAGTTATTTAATATATTACAAGAGAGATGAATCTACACAGAAATAAGAAAATATAATTCAGTCCATTGAATATGGAAAATCGGGTAAATCTAGTTGACAGGCAATAAGGTGAATTTGCTGTTCATGTTGAAAAAGAATCAGAAAAATTATGTTTCAACATTCGTGTTTCAATGCAAAAATGTCGGAGTCCAAAATTTTTCTCAAGATTGTGGACTAATGTATTTCAATTTTCTTTAGAGGAAGAATCAAGTAGCTTAATAATAGTTTACACTTGTGGGGAAGGCAATGGTTGTCATAGTGACAGTTAAAAACAGATAGCTTCTACCTATACTTATGTTATTGCCTAGCAACAGGTCTTATTCTTCATAACCTTCTGGTAGAGGATTGACAGCCTTGTTGTGGAGAAGGGTGTGATTACCATCTCCCCAGGGAAAGGGCTGAAAAATAGGAGGATATTTTGAAACTGTATTGAAAGAAATCCACATGTATTTGTGAAGAACAATGACTGAATATCAGACTGAGATTATTACGGATATAACTCTAGAGAAAAACATTCTACATAAAAAGACACTGTGCATAAAAATACATCATGGCAGCAGTTTTGAACTGGTTAATTTTGAATTGCTCAAGCTTACCGATTTTCAAGATTGTTGTCCTATAATAAAATAGAAATGAAAACTGCCAAACATAAAAATTTAAGGTGACTGATTTTGGCAATATTGAGCTTCATATTAGGTAATTACACTTAATTAAATTATTTCATAATTTCAAATCTTATAAAAATGATTTCAAAATACTGCAACATATATATAAAACATGCTGTCTTCATTAGAATGGGAAAAGGTTGTTTAACTTTTGTTAGAGACTAGGAAATATTATAAATATGTACACTGTCTAAAGTGTTTTAAGCCATTCATTTAACTGAACATTAAAAAATTTGAACCTTATGTTTGCATTCATAAATTTCTAATTTACTCTTTTCACTTTCTCCAGACCTGGTGGCAGGGTGTAATGCCCAGCTGCCTAAATGAGCAAAAACTAAATAACCCAAATGGACTCTCACAATGACTCATCACAAACTGCTGTTTATAATGAAATGAAGCCAATTATGATAGACAAGATGCGAAAAGAAATAATCTTGATTTACACCATTAAATATTCAAAATTCAGCCAAAATCATATCATATTTGAAATCTAGAAATGTGGTTTCAAAAATTGTTTATCAACTTTGTAAATTGAATTTTCTTTGGAAGTGTGACTTCTAGGTCGGGTGTGCATTCCCCATAGTCAAGACCCCATGTTCTAAAATCACAAAAAGAGAAATACATGTACTCTTTCTTTTATTGGACAGATAATATTTTGTTTTACTAAACATATTTTAATTTCTATCAGATACTTCAGTGTAACATGAAAATTAATCCACTAGAACTGATGAATATTCAAGTTTAGGGAACTTTCTAATATATCTGCCATGTTATCTGACCCGAATTAGCCACCTGGTGGTGAAACTGGTATATACATGTGGCATTCATTCTCAAATGTACTGCTCTATCGGACTGCCTCTTTGCTCTCAGATTTGCAAGATTAAAAATAGAATAGGTATTCTGATGAACGAAAAATAGATATTTTTGAAAATGGAAGACAAATCAAGAGATACCCCCTGGCCCCCTCCCAATGTATAAAATCATTTCCTGATAATGTACCAACAAAACCACTCCATTATTTCTCCAGTTATAATCAATGTAAGATTTCAATGTAAAAATTAGTTGATTGATTGTGGCGATATTGAGCTTCATTTTTTGGGTGATGACACCTAATTAAAAATTATCACATAATTTGAAGTCTATTAATAATGATTTCAAAATTTTGCAACATGTATACAAAACATGTTGCCAAAAATAGATTCAGAAAAATATGTTTAACTTTGGTTATAAACCTAGAAAATATTATAAAAATGTATATTGTATTAAATGTTTTTAGCAATTCATTTGACTGAATATTTACTAATTTAACACTGTTTTCAACATTCATAAATTTCTAATTTACTCTTTTCACTTTCTCCAGACCTGGTGGCAGGGTGTAACGCCCAGCTGCCTAAATGAATTAAAATTAATTTACCAAAGAATATTGAATGTCAGCAAGTTGCTTGATTTGTAACTGTAAACAGAAATAAAAATTAAGCCAAATCAATCTAATTCTCACACATGTGGATTTTCAATTTTCCAGATATTGATGCAAAAAGTGAAATTGTCATTCAGAAACGATTTCAACATTTGCTGAGCCATAATATAAAAGTTTATTTTTAGTATTTGTTTGACAAGAACATACTCAGATACTCTCAATTTTGATTTTAAAGCTAGGAAAATATACGCAGATTAAAAAAGTGTTATTTGAACTATTCATTCTAATATTGATGTATAGTAAACAAATGTATCACAATACGAACCATTCACTTTTTTTAATGTTTCTAGATCTGGTGGTTGAGTATTATGCCTAGTTCTACTAAATAATTCCAATCATTCAATATTAGAAAATTAAATATCATATGCATGCTTAGTACAATAGAAGATGAAATATGGATAACTGAAGGTTCCCCTTATTGATGCTAAAAATTGATAATAAATAGCAAGCCCATCCAATAGCAGTGGTAGTCTTCAACATAACACTGTTTTGGAGAATTAAACACAGGCCTGTAGCCCAGGGGATTCAGAGATTTGAGTGGATTTTGTTAAAACGTGTTAATACTAGAAGAATAAGTAACAAACTAATTTGATCAGATTCTGATTTTCCATTTGTCCTTGCCTTCCCTAGTATTATGTCAGACACTGCCATGGGAGTTTGAATAATTAGCATGAAATATTTTTAAAAATTTGCCTTGACAAGTTAGCAAACTTATTGATTTATTTCAAGATTTACTTTTGGTTGATTTTATTAATTAAGTAATATAGAAATTTCAAAGTAAATGTATTTCAAAATGTGACTATATTTATATCCAATATGTTTAAGCAAGTTAAACCAAGAATATAATCTCAACTGTGACTATGAAGCTAGAAAAATACTTTGAATATGCAGATTACTTTAAAAGTCTATATTTACTTATCTTAACTTATACAACAATGCATTGAACATTTCACAGCATTCATAAATTTCTAATTTACTCTTTTCACTTTCTCCAGACCTGGTGGCTGGGTGTTATGCCTAGCTGCCTAAATAGACAAAGTTAACCACTCCTTTGGCCCTGTCAAATACACCACCTCCATTAGTATGTTGACAGGGAATAAAGGACTTTTCATTGGATACTATTTCAATGTTTGAATCTTCATTTTGTTCCCTAATTACAATTGTTCGGAAATGCATGACTTTGATGAAAGGAGTGATCTAAATGGGAAGTTCTGGTTGCCAAGCTCTATGGAGGGAGTGTATTTCAGATGTCTAATTCAAACTCCAAACTTATGGAGGGAGTGTATTTCAGATGTTTAATTCTAACTCCAAACTTATGGAGGGAGTGTATTTCAAATGTTTAATTCAAACTCCAAACTTATGGAGGGAGTGTATTTCAAATGTTTAATTCAAACTCCAAACTTATGGAGGGAGTGTATTTCAAATGTTTAATTCAAACTCCAAACTTATGGAGGGAGTGTATTTCAAATGTTTAATTCAAACTCCAAACTTATGGAGGGAGAGTATTTCAGATGTTTAATTCAAACTCCTAACTTATGGAGGGAGTGTATTTCAAATGTTTAATTCAAACTCCAAACTTATGGAGGGAGTGTATTTCAGATGTCCTTATTCTGGTGACAAATTTCTTCAGATCCCATGTCACAACTGTCATATTATATCCATATTATATGATTTTGAGTTGTGTTAGCTTTAACGATTAAGACTCACTTACCTCCTAAATTTTGGAACTTCTCACTCTATTGACAACTGAACATGTAAGCATAAGCTTAAGCAAAGCAGCCAACAGACACATGTATGCACACCATGACATCAAACAGAATTTAAAGTCCATTTGTTCATTTGTATGAAGATATTATCAAGCATAAAACTCGATTCAATCATGTTTTTCTCAAAACTTATTGATCAACTTGGTTTCTCTAAGTTTCTTGCCAATAATACTCAACGACTGTTTTATCATATTCATACATTTATTCATATTCATATACCAGGCAATAATAAGGGGCAAATTAAAAAATTTCTAGATCTTAAACCATATATAAATCAGAGATAATAGGGAATAACTTTTCAAAAAAAACACAATTCAATTTATAAATTAAAACATTAGAATATGTTTGGCTCGAAACATTCCTTTATCTTAACAATTTAAAAAAATATTTCTGCATTTTTATTTCAAATGCAATCCTGCATAATGAACTATTTAAGGAATTATATTAGCAATGATGAAGATTACATAAACATACTTGTCTTTATCAACCCTATCTCTGATTTTAATTTCCATTGAATACAAAACAAAACATGAGTTTACATTTTATATAATTTTATTCTTCAATCATGTCACCAAAACTAAATAACAAGGCAATTCTATCTGCAGTTTTAAGAATAATTTTAAATCAAACATTTGCATAAAATCTCCAAGTGATATTTATTGACCAATTTTGAAATCAGAAGTCCACTTTTCACACTACTATATATATGGAATTTCTTCCACATACAGAATTTGGCACAACAATAAATATTAGGATATCCAAGAGTTTCCTGTTGGTTGATGTCCAATGTGAGTAATGTAACTAAATTGTCATATTGTGTTGCTATTGTTTATGTGCCATTGTTGATGAGAAAATTTCAATTGGTGCTACTCCTGTTGGGATATGGTATACTGTACACAAGTTCCTGAAAAATATGAAAAACACATTATGTTCAAAGTTTTTGATGTAAGGTTTTAAATTAATTTGATCTTCATTAAAAAACAAACATGTCGAAACTCTACATCCCAAATCCGCACTCTAAAATCACGGTACCGTACGGTACATTTTGAGTAGGTTTGAGTATGGTGCCATACACTGTTCATGGTACTGTTTTAGGCTATGGTACCATGCAGTCCCATATTTCATGGTACAGTACAGTAAAATAAATAGATGAATAACTTGTGTGCCAAGTTAATACTTACCTAAAGTTAATAATTGCCTAGTCTTCATAGCCTTCTGGTAGAGGATTGAGGGCCTTGTTGTGGAATAGAGTGCGGTTGCCATCTCCCCAAGGGTAGGGCTGCAAATATATGACAGCACTAATTTAATCATTTTTACAAATAGTAGGCTTGGAATTAGAACTAATCTCAGATCATTGTGATGAGTTCTATATGTGATTGGATTCCATAAATTAAATGCAAATGCAAATAAGGTATGTGGTCAAATCATGAGTTAAAATTTTCAATATTTGAGGATGACACATATCGAGTTTTGCGTGAATCGGCTTTATATGAGTCATTGGTCACAAGAAGTATCTTTGGCCCTATCTTTGATGTCAGCTTTGCAGATGGATGCTGACTTTTTGATACTCTAATGTAGTTTGGGACTGTCCGTTGTCATTTGAGACGGAATGTCAGAATGCTTTTTCTTGTACGAATTCTAGAATAGACAACTATTTGTTGTAAAAGTACATGGTTTCAGTGAGTGTGAATGAATTGTCCCATCAGGGGTTTCATTAGCAGCAGGCAACAAGCGATTTTCACCGGTTGTTTTCACAAAATTGCCTGCTGTTTTTTTATTAGGGACTTTTCAATGTTAGATTTATGATTTCCATTAATTCTGCCTGTTGTTTTCATTTATTTAGCCTGTTGTGAAAAATTCTAGTGAACCCATGCCTATGGTCTTGTGGTCAAAGATTGTGATAATGGTTGGTTCTTGAATGGTGTGGATGGAGTGTTAGACATTGTTTCTTAATATACAAGACCATATAGTTTGGGACAGTTTGGGGTTTCTTTTCCTTATGACTGGTCGATGTTTTATCTTCTTGCCCAGATTTTTAACACTAAATCACTAACAAGTCTTTTACTGTTTTTTTTCAGTAAGCTTCCCGGCTCTGAAGCACTGATGCTGATTCTTATACTCTTGAGTTATATTATATATTATATACATACTATATTATATAAACTCAGATGAGATGAAATCAATGCATAAATTATGTGCAAGGTTTCATTAGCAGGCAACTATTTCACTCCCTGTTGTAAAAAAAATACAACTTATACTGAGTCTTGTCAAGAATAACTCAAATGACAATATTCAGATCTACCTTTTAGATCATTTTCAGCCTTTTCCTACAAGGTTTTGCCTTTCTACTATATATACTAGTGAAACCCTGCATGATATTTGATGGCTTGAAGTATGAGTTGATTGTGCTTCGAAAAACTAGGAGATTTCTCACCTGTTTTCATCCAACTTTTGGCGATTTCGTCACAATAACGTGTACACCAAGGCCAAGTGGACAGCCACAATACAGAATCAATACAGAATTGAAGTCTATCGACTAGCCTAACATCATTCATTAAGTAAAACCCTTCGAATTCTTTTAAATTTCATACAAAATCATAATAAGTTTTTAAATTATATATGCAGCATTTCCATTTACTTCAGAATATCAGTTATCAAACTAGCATCTTATTTTGTTCATATGCTTTAAGCTCCAGGCTTTTAGGGTTGGCACATAAGAATCTACACCCTTGCATTGGTTAAACATTCATTAAGAACCTTGTTTTAACATGTTTGGAGACATGTAGTCATCTGCAGGAGATAACAATATTCATGATTCTAAATCAGATTTTATGGTCAGAACTTCTAACCAAGAGATGATGAACCAGCAACAAAAGCATTATTGCAATACATGTATCTTTAGCTTATGTCTGATCTCTGGATTCTGTAAATAAGCATACATTTCTTGAAGCACATGCACAAAGCTGGCTAAACATCCAACATACACAACATCACTCTCATAACATATATATTTCAACATATAGCTTCATATCCAATATACACATGTCTCTTTCAGATATAACCCATGAACATATACCAAATCATGAAATTCATAATAATCAATGAGACATGTTACTAAGTCTCTCAGCTGTAGGAATACCTTGGTCCTCAGTCTAAGATGTTGGTAGGCTTTGAACTCTGGCCTAGGGTGATCATGGTGTTCCTTCTCCTTGATTTCAGCATTAACATAGCATAGGGCAACACCAGGGAGTGCAATAAGTAAGGAGAGTTTCTTCCAGAATGTGCCTCCACCTATAAGAATATTTGTAAATACATGTAATAATTTCAAAGTTTTTCCCATTGTTCACGTCCAGAACTGGAAGCCATTTTTTAGCTACAGCGAGAAAATTTCACCATGTGTCAAACTCCGAAAAGAAATTTTGAAATATCTAAATCCAGACAAGCAACGCTTGATTTCTAGGTGCGTGTAGCAATTTTTACATACGAAATACGAGTACATACGAAATCAATGAAGTTACATCTAGCTGTAAGCTAGAGACTCGAGTAAATATAACCAAATCATGTGAATTGAATTCTTAAGTGAATGACCTTGAGATTTTATTTCCAAAAACGATTACTTGACGGCGGATAAGCAATACTTTGAGGGCTATAATGGATTTTTATGATAGAATGATTCAATCCTAAAACATATTCATCCTACAAAATATTCAAAATGAAGGACATGTTCTTCAAAGTAAACTTGAAAAAGTTTGATTTTCTTGAAACAAAAAATCGACGTGAGGTTGTACATGTTCATCTTCTTCAGTTTTCATGAATAATCCCATATAGTGTGAGAGTCAATAATATATAAACAGAATCCAAAGTTAATTATTCTCCCTAACCTGCGTGTCCTTGTGCCGAAGGGGTTGCGGTCGAGACAAGACGGCGAAATCCTTGGACAGGTCCCGAAATTTTCAAAATGTTGGACGCCATTTTTATTTTTTCTGAAAATATTAATTTGCGGATCTCGTGAAGACAAAACGATTATTTGCATCTATGAATCAATGAATTGATTTGTCGTTCAAAAATCAAAGTATAAAGGCCTATTATACGCTCAACTCTGTAATCATTTATAGTAAGAACTAGCTTTAGAAAGAAAATAATGGCTTCATAGTCATGTCGACATTTCAATAAAGTTATCCTAAATTTCCCTTTATCTTGACGCATGCGCTGTAGGTGTTTAAAGAGAAAACTGAAAATTGTTCTGATGGAGATTCCTCAACAAAATCGTCCATTAACCTTATCAATTCTCCAAATGCGTCGATATTATTAGTGAGAGGTTAAGTGCGATTTATCAGTCCATTTTCTGACCTGGAAAACAAAATGCCGAAAACATTTGACACTATTCTAAAGCTCCTTGAAAATAACTTGAAGGATTTTACAGAAACAGAAACTGCCTACACAGGGTATGTTGTTGGACAGACTAATTGCAGTGCTGTGATCAAAGACGTTGAATCACTGTCAAATATTAGGTACGTCACAAGACAGAGCAGTGCAAGGGTAAAGGCAAATGGAGAACCAGCACGTAGACGTATGACAGGAAATGACGGTACAGGTACTGTATCATACATGTATGATTATCTTTTTCCAGTCAATTAAATACCAGTACCCGAGGCATGGAAAAATGCATTACTGGCAAGTTATGTAAAATAAGTTAATAAATGATATTAGAAATAGATAAACACATTCAGAGAGACCCTATCTGTTGCAAGACTCATGCCTGGCACAACCGTCACCATGTTATTAAGTGTTTTTAAGTTTCGCAAGGATCCTGCCATGACCGTGGTAGTGTTAGGCCCGCATAGTTTTCTTGAAAAGACTGAGGGCCAATCAAATCAATTGTAGAGATCAACTGACCAATGAGATAATTTAAGAGACTATGAACATCTTGATGGACATCCTTATCTTACCCTAATAGACTAGATGCGAGTAGACATAATCTTGATTTACGTCATTAAATATTCAAAGTTCAGAAATAGTGATGTCATATTTGAAATCTATATGTAAAAGTACATCTAGAAATATGGTTTCCAAAATTGTTTATCAACTTTGAAAATTAATTTTTTTTTGAAAGATTGATTTATTGATTTCTCATTTGGGTTGATTCCCCATAGAACCAGTGTTACAAAATCTCAAAAAGTGAAATATCTTTTCTTGAAGTGGACAGATAACATTTTCTTTTACTGGACATATTTAGATACAAAATGATTATATGAAAATTGAATCACTAAAACAAATGTAATTTGATTTAAAGGGAACTTTCTGCTATACCCGCCATGTTATCTGACCCAAACGAGCCACCTGGTGGTGAAACTGGTAACTACCTACTCGCATCTGCTTTATTGGGGTCATAAAACTAAATGTGTTGATTCCATCTGAGACACTTTATATTATGTAACACTTGTAATGTGTCAACATTAAAGGGCCATAAATACTTGATAACCATCCTCTGTTGATATCAGATCGCAAATTGTAACCAACTAAATCGGAGCATATTTATGGTTGAAGACAGAAAGATGTGATGAGTATCAGAATGTGTTATGTCATTTGGTGTACATTGTATATCTGTTTTTTTACCCACAATGTAAATTGAAATAAGGTATATTTACTAATAGGAGGGAGGTATTTCTGGAGCCTTGTCACAAAACTGCAAAGCATACCCGACAAAGGAGTCCCCTTCAAGATAGAATCAACGCATCAGTATGACTGTCCATTTGGACCAAAAAAGTATAGGAAAAGAAATGAGCAACAGGTTTCTTTGGTAAGTTTTTCTCTTGGAGATTGAATTGGATTCTCAGATAATGAAAAGGAAAATTATTTGTCTTTTGTGATGATTAGGTAAGTGTGACGTCAGATTTCAGGGTTGTCAAACTTATGGAGGGGAGTGTATACGATACTACATGTGCATTCAGTTATTTATTTGTGATTATTCAATATCCAGGCTCCTATCCTATATAACAAATATTTTTCCTCATAACACAATTTATTCTTAAAGGATGGTCATTTGGTGAATACTACCTCTCCACCACAAAGAAAGCGAATGAAGTTGGATATAAAGAAAGGCTGCCAGGCTTCAATCCATGTCAAGACAATAACAACATATCCAACATTTGCCATTGAGACTACCAAAGAGATGATCCCAAAACAGGTACATGTAGTTCAATCCATGTCAAGACAATAACAACATATCCAGCATTTGCCATTAAGACTACCAACGAGATGACCCCAAAACAGGTACATGTAGTTCAATCCATGTCAAGACAATAACAACATATCCAACATTTGCCATTGAGACTACCAACGAGATGACCCCAAAACAGGTACATGTTCAATCCATGTCAAGACAATAACAACATATCCAACATTTGCCATTGAGACTACCTGTACCAACGAGATCACCCCAAACAGGTACAAGTAGTTCAATCCATGTCAAGACAATAACAACATATCCAACATTTGCCATTGAGACTGCCAACAAGATGACCCCAAAACAGGTACAAGTAGTTCAATCCATGTCAAGACAATAACAACATATCCAACATTTGCCATTGAGACTACCAACAACATGACCCCAAAACAGGTACATGTAGTTCAATCCACGTCAAGACAATAACAACATATCCAACATTTGCCATTGAGACTACCTGTACCAACGAGATCACCCCAAACAGGTACAAGTAGTTCAATCCATGTCAAGACAATAACAACATATCCAACATTTGCCATTGAGACTGCCAACAAGATGACCCCAAAACAGGTACATGTAGCTCAATCCATCTCAAGATAATAACAACATATCCAGCATTTGCCATTAAGACTACCAACGAGATGATCCCAAAACAGGTACATGTTCAATCCATGTCAAGATAATAACAACTTATCCAACATTTGCCATTGAGACTACCAAAGAGATGATCCCAAAACAGGTACATGTAGTTCAATCCATGTCAAGACAATAACAACTTATCCAACATTTGCCATTGAGACTACCAAAGAGATGATCCCAAAACAGGTACATGTTCAATCCATGTCAAGATAATAACAACATATCCAACATTTGCCATTGAGACTACCAACAACATGACCCCAAAACAGGTACATGTAGTTCAATCCATGTCAAGACAATAACAACATATCCAACATTTGCATTGAGACTACCAAAGAGATGACCCAAAAACAGGTACATGTAGTTCAATCCACATCAAGATAATAACAACTTATCCAACATTTGCCATTGAGACTAGCAACTAGATGACCCAAAAACAGGCACATGTAGTTCAATCAATGTCAAAACAATAACAGGTACATGCAGTTAAAAAACAGTTGTTGTAATTCTAAAAACTAGAAAGTTTAAAACTAGGGTGTCTCTAAAAATGGAATTGTTTACAAAAACTGGTATGTTTCCAAAAATAAGGCTTTTTTAGTTTTAAAATGGATGATCTCGTTGACATGCAGATCATAGAAAATCATTGGAAAGTGAAGGCAGAAAATATTTCAAAACACTTGAAGACCCACCACATTTCTATTTCAGATTATCGACCTAAAAAAGCAAAAGATGATCGAGTTACGAGAGCAGTTGGCGACTGATAGCAATATTGCTAGAGAATATTTATACTATCTATCTTTCCCAAAGTTTCACAATGACCATGCACTTGGCAAGGCATGTGGACTATACCAGCGGATTGATCCCCTTATCCTTAGAAAAATCCAGGAATATGTTTCACAAGGTATGGACAATTTTTAAAATCTCTTTAATTCTCCACCATTTGGTGTTCGATGGTTTGCATCTATAACAAATGGCAGGTGGTGACATTTTGCATGTTGATGCCTTGTTGAAATTTGGGCTCATATTAAATATTTCGACCTACATGTAGAATGAAACCCAATTTTCCAAACTTTAAAAATACATTTTTCGGAAGAGGAAACCCAAAAGCCCATGATTATGTCCAAAAGTAAAATTCAACCCTTCAGGGACCTGTCAGCATTTATTTGTATAGACAATTTGGGATGATTAAGTGCAGCCTTCTGTCCATCTGTTCATATCAAGTATTGAATCTACTCACCTTAACAGAATCTGACAGAATTTATTATTCCATCGGATGAAGTTCGCCTGATACAGAGGATGCCTCATTATATTTATCCATATTTCAAGTGAAATCTTGGCAATCAATGAATAACATATTTTTATGGTCTCAGTTTTTTATGGCGGTTGGCGGTCGACGTCTGTAACAAATTCTTACAATTTCCAATAATTTAACAAATACTGTATAGACTGACTTCAATTGATGATTTGCGATCACCGAATGGATTCTGTCTTTTAGTGATGTCACAATTAGGTCACACAGCTTTAGATGCTTGATTTTGAGAGATTATCTTCTATATTTCGTGCTTTATTGATTTATTTTTCACGAAAGCGTTCTATTTGACTAGATCAACATTCATGCTAAGCACATACCAAGTCTAAGGTCTTACTGACATGATTTAGATAGCGGTTTAGCGCCCCCCGATTTTGACAAAAACGGGGGGCGCTTATAGGCATCGATGTTTAGTATGAATTTCACCCAAACTTCGCATATATATAGACATACTCATGATCTAGTCAAATAGGCATACCTGGTAAATATCCGACCCATGGTTTTTATATAAGAAACGACAATATTTTTAGCTCAAAACTGCCACGTGTCCGCCATTTCGTGATTCCATCATGTCTAATATCATTTCTATATGACGTCATACCAATAAGACGAAATACGTGACAACAGTATCCATAAACAAAATTCCTGAATTCTGATCGCAAAAGGTCAATTGTTTTCAAAATCATCTACATGTTTTCAGAAGTTCAAATCTGTCTTTATATTTTTGACCTTCAATGACCTTTTCTAGGTCAAAAAAGGTCAAAAAGGTCTTTTTTCAACTTGCTTCAAATTAACTGATTTTTT